CCGCGGAAGTTTTTGGATCCTGCGCTTGCAGAGGGGGCTTCATAGGGGCTTACAAACAGGCGGTTCTTTTCTGGCGGAAAGGCTGGGTAGATATCCGGCACTTCTTGGTGCTCATCATCGTAAGATTCTACCAAAAGCACGAAAGGGGGGATTTCCGGGACACGCTTTACAGTTTTCATCTCCATGTATGCGCCTTGACTTTTGACTTCAGTGGCACTTGTGCTGCTTTCGCCATCTTTATAGATGTAGTTGAAAGTTGAAAAGGACGCCTCTTCTTGCATTGTACTTAAATAGCCGCAGGCAGAGCCGTATTTATATACGTGTATTATCAGCTATTGTGTATTTATTTGTTTGTGCAGACATTTGACGCCTGCTTGTTTTTTCTTTTGATTTGCTTTGCAGGGCTGTGCAGCCATGAAAAGGCCCGTGCACTTCCTGCCAAGAAAACCAAAAACAAAAAGCACAAAATACAAATGAGCTGGCAAACTCCAAAAAAGTTTAGAACATGCAGATGCTCTAAGCAGGCGTAGCCTGTGCTTTTAGAGTTTGAAATGCGCTTTCTATGTACACTTTGTTTTGGCGCAGCATTGCTTTATCTGCCATGAAGTTTCTCAGCCAGATTGTGCATGTGTGCTTGAAGCTGCGTACGATAGAAGAAGACTTTTGGGGTTGGCGCTAAATATGAATAAATGAAACTTGCTATTTAGCAGGCGCAGGAGCCTTTTGGCAGGAAAGGAAGTGGATCCTATGTGTTGAAAGATGCAGAAGGTTTCTGTTTAATAGCAGCGCTTATCAAACTAGCAATGTTTTTTTCCAGTTTAGCTAGTGATGGGGGCGCTGGCAAAACAGAGTTGGCTGGTGCTGCATCCTTCGGGATGGGTGAGATTATTTCTTCGGCTCAGCCAGCATTGGGTCGACGAGTGTTGGCTAAATCGATATTTCCTTATTCGGTGTTGACTCAACTGGGCTTGGACCCGTCTGTTCAGAAGGTACTGCAGGTCTTAGATTCATTGGATCAGCAGGTTTTGGCTTAGCCGATGCTGGATTAACCATTGGCTTAGGCGGTACAGCAGGTCTTAGATTCTTTGGATCGGCCGGTGTTGGATCGACCGCTGGCTTAGCTGGCACTGCAGGCTCTACATTCTTTGGGTCATGTACTACAGGCGGCAGATCATCTGAATTCGAGAACAAGCCCACATCCTTTTTTGCCATATCTAAGTCTTTTGGATCTGTCTTATCTGATGAACCATCATCCGACACAAATGGAACCACGTACACTGGCTTAGGGGGTGCTACTTCCTTTGTTTCAGTTATCGCTGGATTGGTTGGTTCAGAAGGGGTTGATATAGCTGGGGTTGGACTAATTTCTTTAGCAGGAGCTGGGGCACTCGGTGCTGCATTCTTTGGCTCTGCTGGAACTACATCATTTGGCCCAACTACTGCGGGAACTTCCAAGCTCGTAGCTTCATTTGCTGGTTTTGGATCCTTTTTCTCACCCGATGCTGGCTCTTTCTGTGTGCTAGATATTGCATGGCTGGAATCAGATGGCTCTGGGATTTTCGGATCCTCAAGCTGTTTAACTTCAGGCTTAGCAGGGGCTGGCTCTTTCTGTTTGGTGGGCACAGGATCATTTGCACCTGATATTTCTAGTGTTTCTGATTTTCTGGGCGCCACAATTTCAGGATTTGCAGGAGCTGGCTCTTCCGTGTTGGCAGGGTCCGAGTCTTTTGAGGGGGTAGAAGTCTTTTCCAAGCCCTGCGACTCGTTTGAGCCAGAAGGACTAGGCGTACCGGCCGTGCTTTCCTCGGCAGGCCGCATTTTATGTTTCTCATCTGGGACCTGTACGTTTAAACTCTTGCTTTGGCCACCCAAAAATGAAGTGCTTGCCGCCTCCCCTTCAGTAGAGGCATTCGGCAGAGCTTCATGGGTTGGGTGCTGCACAGTCGGGGATGAGTTCGCCTGCGGTATAATAGGAGCAATTCTGTTGCTGAGATGCGCCCATAAATCACTGGGGGCTTCAACCGAGCTAGAATCGGCACTTGGCAATGAAGGCTCTGGATCCTGCAAAGGCATGGGCACGGGCAGAGGGGTGCCTTCTTCGTCTATTGAAAAAGGTTTTTTATCCTCTTCAGACTCTTTGCTTTTCTCTACAGCGGGATTTTCATTCAAACTTTGAATATTTTCATTTTGAGCAGACACGGCTTTTTCTGGCTCCATTGCCCCAGATAAATCGGATGTGCCGCTGCTCTCTTTTAAATCACTTTGTTTTGGTTCGGGTTTCTGCTCGCTGTTTTCTGGTTGGAGCACGGATAAGTGGTTGGGAAGAAGCACATCATCGCTTTTTCCGATTTTCTCCTTCTCATCCGGTATAGTAGGGTTCTTTGCGCCGACAGCATTGTTATATTCTCCCTTTCCCTCTCCCTCTATGACAGTATTAGAGCTTGGGCCTGGGGAGGAGCCTTTCTCTGGCACAGGATCGTTCTTCGTTTTCTCATCTATCGGCGCACTATACTCTACGTCGGCAGCCTTATTTGAATTAGCCTCTTTTTCTGTGTCGGCAGCACCACTATGTGACGACTCTTCTTCTATGGTTTCATGATCCAATAAGTTGGGCTGCATGTGCCTAGGATTCCGCACAACGCCAAAACTTCCATTGTCCGGGCCATGCATAAGTTTTGAAGGCTTGCCCATATTTCCTAGGTTCTCTCTGTGGTACTTCCATTCAACATTTCCAGTGCTGAATTCTGATTCTCCGTCCTTGTCGAAGTTACACGGTATGAGTATGCAGCTTTTTCTGGGGGACGTTTCTTCAAAAAATTCCGCCGCCGACTTCTCTGAGGGCTCGGCCTCGCTGGACTCTTCAGCACTAGAGGACCCGTCCTTCGACTCAAGAAGCTCTGGCGAAGCACCGGAGAGCACCAAAACAGTGGCAGAGCAGTCCTCAGCAGTGCATACGCATTTTTCTTCAGCCTCTGCTTCCTCGATTAATGTCGGCATAGAAGGGGCATTCTTGTGGGAAAGTGCCTTTCTCAGAGGTTTCACGGGCTTATTCGCGTGCGGCTTTGGGCTTTCAGCGCTCTTCCGGGCTTCTTTCTTCGCAGATTTTCCTCCTTCATAGGATATGTATGAATATGCGCCTATCCCTAAAACAATCGACACTGACATAATGGCCAGCACCGTCTTCTTCCAAATCTCCATTTCTGCTTTTTTTCCTGCTTCTTTTATCCTATATTTTTGATTTTAATCTATATGATTACTGCCTTCAATCGAAAAAGAGCGACCGAATAGTTCTTATAAAGTGGAAAGTGCTGTGCCTTTTTCTTGAAAATGCGTCAAAATCTCTGTTTTTAATTTGGCGCATGCAGGCGCTAGGCAAGGTTATTAGTGCATCTTGCGCACGTCAAAAAAACAAAAACAACATGCACACAAACACGAATTTGTGCAGCTCTGCCTTTCTGGGCAGCCTGCTGCGTGTGTGCATTTCAGCGAACTGGGTGCATTTTCACGGCTTATAATTTGCAGCCCGGACACTCGCATGGGCTCTGAAAAAGGCTGAAAGCGCATTCGCATTCTTTCTTTGCGCGCCTGCAACTTTGCACTCAAAAAGGCTTTCTGCATAGAAAAGTGGCTCTGGCTCCTAAATCCTACATAGCAGCGTTTATTTGTGGTGTTGCACTCAGCAGTGCGCTTATTCTGTGCTATGCTCGGAGGCGTTTTTCTGGCGCTGCGCGTCTAGTACTCTCTTTCGTTTGCAATTGCTCCTATTTCTGTTCGGTTGCCGAGATACTCTGAAAACGTGCGCTCCTCCTTTTCCAGCAGGAAAGACCCAAAGCATAGTAGATAGAAGTATCTTGCAAGGTACCCTGCGCTGTCCTTTTGCTTGGCAATAGCCTCATAAACATTTTGGATGTGGTCGCACTCCTGGATCATTTCGTCAACCAAGTTCTTCCCCTCTCTTCCCATGGGAAGCACCTGCACCAGCCTGGAAATTATTTCGTGCTCGTCCGGGTAGACTATGCCCATGCGCTTTTTCAGCAGGATTTCTGCCTTCTCCTGCGGGCTCACGCTGTCGAGGTGCTCTGTGAAGGTAATCAGCCGAGATATGATCATTCCCGTGGTGGTGCGGCCCCTTCCCATCTGGCATGAAAAAACAAGTATCCTGGGCTTGGGCATGGAGGAAATGACGCGGTACATTTCGTCAAATATTTCTGGGAGAGGCGTCTGCTCGTCTGAAATGGGCATTCTAAAGTACTTCATGCCGTCTCGGACAAAGACCTCCTTGGGCGTAAGAACATTCCCTGTGCGAATCACCTCAGACACGAGCTTGCTCTTTCCCTCCTGGACCTCTTCACTGTGCACAATTAGCCCGCTCTGCGCTGACTCCTCAAGGCAGTCTTTCTTCATCCGCTCTTCAATGTCTTCAACCCACTTTCTGTTTATCCCTTCTGTGATCACGTTCTCGTACACGGCGTCTGTGTTTCTTAGCACAAACGGAAACCCGTTTATGTACACGACAGGCTCCTGCCGCAGGCAGAACCAGTTCACAGACGCAGGGCTTTTTTGCTGGAAATACGCCACGAGGGAGTGCACGCCCCAGGCCGTTGGCTGGGCCAGCCCAGCTATTGTGTCTCCGGCGCTTTCTATTGCGCGGAAGTTGCAGCACCCCTTCATGTCCGTGGCGTCAGCTCGGAGTATCCTCAGAGCAGGGAAAAAGTCGTTCTTAAGAATTGTGTGCGGCGTGATTACACGCCCCCAGGGGCGAGGGATAAAAACGGGATCTTCCTCGCTGTTTTCGTTCTGGCTTGGCACCTCTCTGTCCGCGCCCTTCGCTTTCTCTGGAAGCACGCTGTTTTCTCCGCCTGCCTGTTTAGCAGAGTCTACGGGGATTTCCTTCGCCTCGGCGCTGATGCTTTCGTACACGTGCTGCGCGTCTTTTCTTCCGCTCAGCCACTCCCGGAACGTGGCTTTTGTGCCTTCCAGAATGTACGAGGCAACCATCACCATCAAAGAATAGTTCACCAAGCTGTTCGGGTTCTTGTGGAACTCGCTCTCTGGGTCGTATATTTCCTCCCCGGTTGCCTCTTTCCAGGCATTCCGCACGATTCCCTCGGCCACAATTCCCTGGCGCAGGATCCGGATTAGCGTTTCAATGGGCCGTATCATAATAGGCCGGCTTTCTTGGGGGTGCGGGCTTCCTTCTGCAAGCATTCCGCCGGCGCGCTCAACCACCCGAGCAAGAACGTACACTGTGCGGTTTCGGCCCAGGTATCCGCTCGCCTGCAGCACAATCGGCATGTTTCTGTGGGCGAAGAGCGTGCCGTGCAGGGTGTCCACTATGTTTGGGGTCAGCGCTGCGCGCGACACCATTGGAATCCGCACATACTTTATCCTGGGGATGCTTTCAGTGATAAACTCTCGGCAGGTCTGCACCTTCTTCAGCTGTATGTTTGTCATTCTGGTTTTTATTGTGCTCTGCTCTGGGGCGAACAGCACAATTTCGCCCATTGACTGGCTCCCGTCGGTTTGGATTCTTCGTATAAGTATTTCCTCCTGGTTGTTCACCAGCTCGTCCGTTATTCCGGGAAGCGTCTTTATGTTTCTGCCTGGCCGGGCTCTGTCTCGCTCAGAGTGCGGAGTTCCTTCAATGTACACCACAGGCTCGGCGCGTAAGTTTATCCACAAAAGAGGCCTTTCGGCGATGGGAATCCGCGTGTGGGTGTTTGGCTGGTGAATTTGCAAGATACTCCATGGGAAGGAGCCTGCAAGGCCCTGCAGCAGCACACTCTGCTCGCTTTTGGGGGCAGGGCATTTTTCTGTTTTTGCCTTCTCTTCGCCTTTTCCAGCATGCTCATTCTCTATGCACAGCTTCTCGAGTACGCTGTTCATATTTCTGTCTGCCTGCAGAACAGTCCCTGCCCCAATCACGGCGCTCCACTCCTCCTCTGGAATGCCCTTTTGCTGCACCACAGCGGGCATGAACAGCTTTTTGCTGGGGCGCTTGCATATTTCGTGGATTATGCCTTGCGCAATAGACGACTCTGCAATCCACTCGGAAAACGTGCCTTTTCTGGGGCCTGTGCAGTACAGCGCATACAGAACCAGCGAGACATATCTCTCCAGGGCGTTCGCAGACTTTTTCAGATAGCATACAGACTCTGTGCACTGGAATGCGATCACGTTTTCCAGCAGGGACGGCAAAAGCCTGTACTTTAGCGCAGACACGGCCGTGTTTACATTGTGCTTTATGTCCGGCATATTCATGGCGTGTATCATTCTGTCGACAACATCGTAGTTTCCCAGCAGAGCCTTCTCTAGCGCAGGGAATATGTTCCCTGTCTTCACAAGAAAGTCTGCCAAGCTTTGCCCGCTCTTCTCCAGGGCCTTCTCCAGGACCCGAATGACGTGTGCAAACCCAGAGATCTTGGCGCCTTCTTGGATGGGCACTTTGTTCACAAGGGCGCTTCGCAGAAGGCATGCGCTCATTCCATGCAGCACGTCGTCCTGGCAGTACCCCGAGCCAAAGCCTATCGCGCACTCGGGCACGCCCTGGCCTGGCGCCTGGTGCTTGCAGAGAATCCTGTCCAGCTCCGACACAAAAAACTCCCGGCTGCTTATCCTCCCCATTGGAATCCGGTAGTACCACACGCCCTCTATCCGCGTGAACAGGTCGCGTGCTGTCTCAACCTTGCGCACCGACATGCTGTTGGCCAGAAGAGACTTTGGGCTCTTCTCTGCATACACTTTTATCATTCCGTTTGACGCCTTGGCCATCCCTATGATGTCCTTCTTAAGCCGGTTTTCAACCTCTTCCATCCGCTTGTATGTGCATCCTGTGAACGACTTGATGCTGGAAAAAGGGTCCTTCATGTCCCGCAAAATAAATGCGCGGTCATTTATAAAAACAACAGGCTCTTCCCGGAGGTTTATCCAAATGAGCCGGTTCTTATGGTGGCTCACTATGTTGTGGATCCCCTCCGCGGTAGGGTTTGATAGCCCAAATATGCCTCCAATGCTCCTAAAATTGCTGGCGCCTATAAATCCAGGACTATCCGCTGCCTCCGCCTCCTGGCCTGCTGTGTATGTATCCTCCTTCAGCATGGACAGGTTGGTCAGAACAAGCGGCACGTATTTCTCTTCAACGCTCTTCATAAGAAATAAAATTATACTTTGCTTAAAAGCCAGTGCAGAGAAATGCTTTGCCATGTGCAGAGCAGGCTTTACCCTTGGCTGCGTTTTCAGGTTGGGCCGATGCCCGAACAGATTCCTCTGCGCGTGCATTTTTCTCTTTGCTGCAGAGAAAATACCCTGCAGCCAAGCAAATCCCTCCAGCGCAGAAATTGCAGATACGCCTTTGGAAATTTTCAATTTCCGGGCTCCAAGAGGCATGGCACAGCCAACCCATAAAGTGCAAGAAAATGCCCCAGATGCGCCCAGTGCGTTTATTTATGTGTGCGCCTGGGAGAGGGCCCGGCTGGAACGGGCTCCGCCTGCGCATTCTTCTCTCTATGCAAGCTCCCAATTTTTCTGGTAGTCCTCCTTCAGCGAGTACACCATTCTTTCCAGAGTGTCCTGCACCTCGCTGGTGCTCTCTTCAGCGCACTCGCCTATTTCTAGCACTTTGCTGTACACGTTGTTTGAGTGGGCATACCCTGCGGTTGCTCCGCTTTTGCTTTCGTACGCAGCCACAAGCACCCCCTTCATCTGTATGCCCGCGTTCAGCAGAAGCACGGATATTGTGTTTATTATGCTAGAGATGATGCTCTCCCGGGATGTCACCACGTATAATTTTATGTCCAGGATGCACCTTGGATAGTCTCGTATGTGGATTATGCTGGACAGCGTCTTCTCAAGGACCTCCTGCACTGAGGCATACTCTATCCTGTTCTCGCTGCACCCAGTTATAGAAACCCGGACGCTCCCTGCATACATGTTTGCTGTGCCCGTTGAAGGCTCAAAAGGTCCTCCCAATGTGCCAAAAACCCTGCATCCGTCACTCACCACCATCACCCCCGCTCGGTCTTTCCCTATGGTGTCATATTCGCAGTCAAAGTATACCATGCGAAAATATTTACAAAGAAAGTGTCCGGCATAAGAAGGAGCGAGCAGCCCAAAAAGCAAAAATCTGCGAGAGAATGCGCAGGCTGCCACAGCGCCAGGCCGTGTGCAGAGAGGTGGATATCCCTTTTCGTGCTTTATTTTACTCAGGGACTTTTCCTGCTTTCTGGCAAAACCCGCACCCTGCATAGTATCTTTCTATAAACGCGTGCATTTTCTCGTATGCCCTGTGCACCCGCCCTGCAGCGTGCACTTTTCTTCTCTCTGCTTCGCTGGAAACGTAGTGCGGGCACTCTTTGCATTTTTGCTTTTTTGGGCGCACGGCGTCAGCAAGCGGGCTTCCACAGAGCTCGAAAATTGTGAGCGCCCTCAGAAAATGCACGCTTTCTCTTTCAGGGCGGGCTGGCTTAGTCCGTGCAAAAACCTCTTTTATCTCGCTTTTCAGCCTGTCCATGTCGGAAAGAGTCCGCCTGCTCTGGAATGCGCACGCGCCGCTTCTGCAGAGGGCCTGGCTGAAGGCGTGTCCGGAGAGGTCGGCAGGGTGCTCTTTCCTGCACGTCCTGCCAAGGCCCATTTTCAGCTCGTGCCTGGGACAGACTCCCAGCATGTGGCTGGCACACACGTTTTTTTGCTGCCTGTCTTCTGTGTAGTGCAATCTGCAGGCTTCTTGAAAAGCGTGCGAGTTTTTTCCCATTGAAGTGGAGAAGGCAGAAAGAGAAAGACTGAAAAGCAGGCAAAAAGTGCAAGAAAAGGCTGCACGCAGCAGAGAAGGCGCAGGCAAGGCATATGGCGCGTGGGGGAGTGGCAAAAACAAAGTTCCCCTGCGGGGAATTGAACCCCGGCCGTCGCGGTGAAAACGCGAAATCCTAGCCACTAGACCACAGGGGATCCACAAACAGACGGCGTTTTTCTGTCCTCCGGCCACGCCCCAGCTCTTTTCCGGGCATGAGAAGAAAAGAAGAAAAAGAGCGCAAAGATTTTTTACGATGTTGGACGACCAGAGCATATGGGACACGATAGGAAAGGCAAGTTCTTTCTGCTCTTTCAAAATGAAGACACAGACGGACGTTTTGTGCAGGAATGCAAATAACGTCTCCGGAATGTGCAGCAGAGCAACATGTCCTTTGGCAAACTCCAAGTATGCAACGATCCGGGAAATAAAAGGGAAGCTGTATCTTTTAATGAAAGAGCCTGAAAGGCGGCACAGGCCGCGCTCTCTGTACGAGAAAGTGGAGCTGCCCGAGGACTACGACAAGGCCTTGGAAATGGTGTCGCAGGAGCTGGAGAGCTGGGACCGGATGCTGGTGCACAAGTGCAAGCAGCGGCTGACAAAGCTCTCAGACTATTTGGAGAGAAAAGCCCTGCTGGACAAAATGGGCCGGCCAGAGTATCTGTACAGGAGGAGAAAGGCGGAGAAGCAGGACCGAGCCCGCGAGGCCAAGGCCGCCAAGCTGGCGAAGGTTGAAAGCAGCATCGAGAAGGAGGTCCTGGAGAGGTACAAGCTGGGGGTGTACGGAAACAAGGGAATGCTTGAGCAGGAGAAAGCGACCGTGCAGGAGGAGCGGCGGAAGAAGCTGGGCCTGGTGCAGACCCGAGGAATCAAGTATGTTGTCGAGTTTGAGGACGAGGCCGAAGAGGCCCCGGAGGAGGAGAAGGCGAAGAAGAAAATGAAGATGGAGTGGTAGGCGCGCAGGAAGAAGGCGTGCAAGAACAGAGAAGTGTGTTTTCTTTGAGAGATGCAGAATCAAAGGCAATGCAGCCAGGAAGAAGATATATAAATCAAACAACAGATAGATTGCAGTGGCTCTGGCAGAGACGAAAAGGCGCAGGGCGTGGGCCTTCCAGGGCCAGGCGCGCCAAAACAGAGGGCCAGAGCGACTAATAAAAATATGGCAAATGTCACGTCTGTCTTTGCAGGCTCCCATGCGGGCCTCCGCGTTTTTCTATTTTAGAAATATTTCTGCTGCTAAAATATTTTATGGCAGTAGGAAGAAAAGACAAAAGACCGTTCAGCTCGAACCAGAGAGGTCCGCAGAAGAAGTTCCAGAGAAAACCGCAAAACAACAAGACAAAGGAAGTTGTGCTGCAGCCGCACCCCAGATTCAAGGGCGTGTTTTTGGCCAGAGGAAAAGAAGAAACGCTTGCCACGTGCAACTTAACCCCGGGAATAACTGTGTACGGCGAAAAAAGAATACTTGCGGGTCCCGAAGACAGCAAGGTGGAGTACAGGGCGTGGAACCCGTTTAGAAGCAAGCTGGCTGCAGGAATACTTGGCGGGCTGGAGTCGATACACATCCAGCCGGGATCAAAGGTGCTGTACTTGGGTGCAGCCTCTGGAACGAGCGTGTCGCACGTGTCTGACCTTGTCGGGCCAAACGGCATGGTCTATGCGGTGGAGTTCAGCCACAGGTCGGGAAGAGACCTGCTGAACATGGCCAAAAAGAGAATGAACGTTGTTCCAATTATTGAGGACGCCAGGCTCCCGCAGAAGTACAGAATGATCGTGCCAATTGTAGATGTTATATTTGCGGATGTGGCACAGCCAGATCAGGCACGAATTGTTGGGCTGAACGCAAAGTACTTCCTGAAGGAGGGGGGCGGTGTAGTCATCTCAATCAAGGCCAACTGCATAGACTCTGTGAAGGCGCCGGCGGAGGTTTTTGCAAACGAAGTAAACATTCTTAGGAAGCTGGAAATCAAGCCAAAGGAGCAGACCACGCTTGAGCCATACGAAAGAGACCACGCGATAGTCGTTGGAATCTACAGGGAGTCCCCCGGAGGCTCGCGAGACGGAAAAAAGAAGAAGTAAGCCATTCAGCCAGTGGGTAGAGCCTGGAGGGCAGGCGCGGAGACGCGAGCAGCCGGGCCAGGAAATAAATAAAGGAAGTCATAATAACCCAAATCAGTGCTGGAATAACCCGAAAAGAAAAAGAGCGTAGCGCAGAGGGCAGGGCGTGGATGGGTTGTAAACTGCATGGGAAAACGGACTGAAGCGGGGCATGCCTGGACACAGCAGGGAATGGGCACCATCTGCCAATTTTTATTTCCTTTTAATTTTATGTCTCTGAACCCTGGACTGCCCTGCTTTCTTCCTTCCGTTATCTTCTGCGCTGTGCTTGCTGTTCTTGCGCCGAGGCATTTTCGTATTTTAGTTTCTATCTTTTGTTTTTTATGCATGGCAAGCATGAGGGCCACTCTACTGTAAAGACGAACCCAAACACAAAAACTGTAAAGGCGCCGCAGAGCACAAAGCCCATGGAAGGCTTTACGCTGACCAACTCTGCGCTGAACACCTACGTGTACGAGTATATCAAGCCCCCAAGCGAGGGAATGTACAGCCTGCTGTCAGAGGGCTGCAAAAAGCCAGAACAGAAAAAAGCGAGCAAAAAGCAGGAGATCAAGCCGTCCAACATACTCAGCAGCCTGCTGGCATCGCTGGTGGACACTGTGAGCATAGAGAGCATGGAGGCGCCGGAGGAAGAGCGAAGGGCGCGCCGGGTAACGAATAGGCTGGAGCCTGTGGATATAAGCGGGGCGCTGGAGGAAATGCTGAAGGGTGTCTTGGAGGAAACAGAGAAGGAAGGCCAAAAAGAAAGCACCGACTACACGGACATTCTGGAAAAAGTTGAAAAAATGAACCGACAAAATAGAGAGCTGCTGATGCGAAGCAGACGTGTGCATCTTGCGCACGACTTTTATCGCGGGCTAATGGAGAAAATAGATGGCAGCATAGAAAACACATTTAAGAAGCTAAAGAAGAAAAAGAAGAAAGAGGAGGAGACAAACTACTACCAGGAGCTGGAGGATTTGATAGAAAAGAGAAAGCGGATAAAAGACCTTTGCAAGAGCCTTCCCAGAGAGATGGATGCAGGCGGAGAGGAGGCGCCGGTCTGCTTCCTGCGGGTGTCCGACATTTTGAGCGAGAAGGAGCTGGAAACTGTCCAGGACGTCTTGCCAAGAGACTACATGGAGGCATGGGAGAGCTGAAGCTTGGCCGCGCAGTGGCGTGGCTTTGGCCCTGTCTCTGGCGCAAACTAAGCTTGGAGCTAAGGAGGCGCAAACTGTTGTAATTAGTGCTCTGTGGGCACATAAACATCATAGAAATAAATACGTGTTAATATTCCAGCATTGCATAAGAGAGGCGCACGCGCGGTTTGGGGCGCTGGGAAAAGTCTCTGCTGGCACCCGCGCTGCTTTTTGTGCTCGCAGCCGGAGTGAACTGCAGTGCTCCACGCGACTTTCTTGGCCGCAAGCACAGTTTTCAAGCAGAGAAAGCGCTGTTTGGCTCCTTGTTTTTTTGCTTTTGGATAGCCCGAGGATATTTTGACAGAATTCTTTTTGTGTGTGTGAAATTATGCGAAAACTATGTTGTGTTGTGTCATTTTTGACTGCGCTGGGAATTATTAAACTGATCAGTATCTCTAATAAGTATAAGTATGAAAGATTCTCTTTTAAGAAAAATGGAAGACTTAATTAAGTGCACAATTGATATAGATTCTTACAACGCTGCGCTGTCTCAAAACCCGCTCGACACATCGTATGTATATGCGCCCCTCGAGGTCACTATCATGCTGTTCCATATGCTTTCCAAATGCCTCAGAGTGCAAGTTTCCAAAAGCATTCCAGACTTTGCCAAGGAAAAGATTGAAAAAATAGCGAGCTGCCTCACGTATTTCAGCCTGCGCAGGGAAAACTTCGAAAAGAGCGAGTGCATGTGGCCAATACTGTTCGATGGCTCGGACGTTCAGTCCAGCAAAAAGCTCATAGAGGAATTCTTGCAGGACGAGGAGGCCTGCATAATTGACATGGATAATTATGCGCAGATCGAGTCCAACCAACTCCAGCGCGAAAAAATCACAAATCTGCTAGAGCTGCAGCATTTCTGCCTGATTATGAATGAATTTATAGAGGCAATAGAAAAAAACGACGAATGCGACCCTAAAGAGAGTGTGTTCATGCCTATTGTGCGAGCATTCGTTAGAGGGAATAGCATGGCTTCATACGAAACACTCAACGACCAGAAAACGCAAGAGTTCCGAAACCGCATCATTTCCAGAGAGAGGAGGTACATGCTGGGATATTTAAAAGAATCCACAAGCAAAAAGGAAAAGTCAACCCCGGAGCAAGCCCAAAAGGAGAAGTTTTCAATTTCAGTGGATGTGCTGCTCGAAAGCGTGAACAGGCTGCTGGACATCGCTGCCAAAGACATGCTAGAAATGCCCAAAGAAAAGTGCGAGGCATTTTTAGAAAGCATGCTGCGCGTGCTAGAGTGTAGGATGCATGCTGACGCTGCTCATTTCATAGTGCCTGTGCCAGGCACCAAAATTTTCCCATCGCAGCTGAGCCTATACTTCATGTACATTCGCTTTTTCAGACACAAACCCATTGACATAGCTATACAGAATAATTATCTTAGCAATCCGGAAAGCTATCAGAATATCGAATGCATGGCAAAGGCCCTTTTCGAGCACCTGCCTGAAATAAGCATGAATCTTAGAGTTGCGTTGAAAAGCCAAGCCGACGCGCCATATATCGCATACTACCTGGTAAATGTAGCGGGCTTGGCCTATATGGCCTCCAGTCTCGACATACATGAGTCGATGGAACTTCTGCAAGTCGCCAGCCATTACTGGACAAACGGAGAGATTCGCGCGTATTCAAAAGTGCCGTTTTTTATGGAGGTGGTCACCCTATTAAAAAACTGCTGCTTTGCAAACACCCTGCAGAAAAAGCTGAAGGTCCACAAAAAGCTCAAGAAACACTTCACCGTGGGAAAAAACCCTGCTCCGGCTCGAAAGACGCCCAAAACCGCCTGCTCTGTTCAAGAAAAACGCCTGAATCAAAGAGCAAATATTAAAAAAGACATAGAACGCATCAAAGCTAAAAACATGGAGGCTGAAGAAATACACACTCTTCAAAAGAATGTCCAAAGTATTGTAGATATCTGTGTGTATATGTTCCAGGTCTTTCCAGGGCTCAAGCAGCCAGGAAAAAGCTCTCTAGACATCCCAAGCATGAAGGGCACTGATGCCTACTGCATGCACATGAGCGTTGCACAAAAGCTTACAGAGCTGCACGAATTGGGAGTTATTTTTGTAGAGAACCCAAGTTTTGACGCAAGAAAGTGCATGGAAATCGGGGAGGGCCTTTCTTTTGCGACGAATATGCCCTTTGGGTTTCAGATGCGCATCTCCGTGAAGGACCAGAATGTGCAGCTGATTAGAGGCGGGGAGGTTCTTTGCTCGATTGTTATGCGCATAGACACGCCGCATTTTTTGCTGCAAAACCCCGCGCCATGCACTTAGAGACCCTGCGCTCTTTGCAGGCACTGTTTGCACGAGGCATTTCTGTGCACCTAGCACACATATGTCCCTGCCGGTTATACTGAAGGCCCTTGGCGGCTTAAGATTCCCAGCTTGTGTGCTTGGCCAGCGTGCACTCCTTTCGATCTAACTGGTTTTCCCTGGAGAAGGACAGCGGTGAAGGGCTCACCGAAAATGCTCTGGGCTGGCTGGCCCGCTCCAAGGGCATAGTCTGCACCTGCTTTTTCTAGTACTAATGCACTTTTGCTTGCCGCACTATTTTAATTATTGTTCAGCTGTAGTCTCTGCGCCGCCGTACTTGAAATAAATCGAAACACGTTACATAGCGATTTCAAGCTGCGATATAGTCGCCGCTTTAACAGACGCCAGGGCTTTCCCCTGCACCCACACTTCAAGTTTTCGGATCGTCCAGGCCTGAGGTTTCCCACATATCCTGCACCTCCGCAGCACATGGCCAGCACAGTGCATAAAGCATAAGCTGTGCGAGCAGCAAACACGCCCAGAACATCCAGGGGCAGGCCCGCTTTCTTAAGGGAAGCCAAACAGCAGAAGGCGCGCGAAAATGTTCCCGAGTAGAAGCACGCCCTTTGGAGAGAGCAAGAGGGCGCGCATAGAATCTGTCTGGCCGCCCGCTCAAGATGCAGGCTTCTGCGTAAGCACAAAGGCCAGGAATGCAAGCACGCCAGCGCGCAATTAAGAGCTCTCAAAAACGCCCAGCCGGCTTGCATCACAGCATAGCGGATGTGTGAAGGAAAATGTGTGCGAATTGTTTTCTTTTATTTTTACAATTATCATTTTGATTGTGCGGTGGCTCCCTCTAAACCTCGAATGTGCTGCGATTTTTACTTTTATGTACATGCTCGAAGTTCGTAAATTGCGCATTTCGCGAATATTCTTAAGTTATTTATGGTTCAATTTGCAGAATTTTTATTTATGCCAGACCAATGCGAAGAAATACAGAAGGTAAACCACTCGCAGGAAACTCTTGCAAAGATCCAAAAGCACAGAATGGCAGACGACCTTTCTCAGCTGGAAGGCATGAACGTCCCTGCCGAGATAGAATCCATTCGAAAAGGCCTAATAAATGGTTCTATTGACTCATTTCTGGAAATGGCTGAGTACATGTGGGTGGAGCTGCCTCGGAGTGACTCCGTTCTTCTGCCCGCCCTTCGGGAGTTTATTCCCAAGAATAGGTCCATTCGGCTGGTTCCTCCAACACCGCTTATTCCTGTTATATTTCTGTTTCCAGGCGAGAGCGTGCTTAAAGAGTGGGCAATTGTGAACATATGCGAGCTATACAGCAGCCCCCGGTACTTGGCAGGGATGGTGACAGGGGGAAGATTTTTCTACAAAATGCACACGGAGATTCTTGAAAAAAAGTGTGCGTACAGCGAGAAAGACTTCCTCAAGGGGCTTTTTATATTTTCGGTGCTGGGCGGGTCTCTGGTGAACAGCCACTACGCGCTTCTGCGGTCTCTGATCCAAGACCCTCTGCGCAGCGACATGCTCATAGAATTTAATATATACAAGATTCTCCTGGCCGAGGAGGTGGACATCCATGGAAACGTGAAAATCCCGCTGAGAAACACGCGGGGCATGCTTGAGGAGGTTTTGGAGAAAATGCTTAGAATGCAGCTGGAGCAGTTCCTTGGGAGGAGCAAGCAGGTTTCGTCAAATGTGGGCATGCTTCTGCTCTTCACAACGTGGGAGGCGCTTGAAGTTTCAATCCGCCTAAACATATCGAAGGCCCTAAAGCTGCAGGTTATGCAGGCCGGACTGGCTGCTTCCAACAAGTACATTGTGAGAAGGCTGTACCAAAGCATCATGCAGGTGTACAGAGCCGAGGGGCTCAGCATGATTGAGTTGTTTAGGAGCGGGCTGCTGGAGTATCTGATTGCGCAGACGGGGTACATCCCCACAGAGGCTGCGCACTCGGACTACACTTTGCTCATTCAGGACGTTCTATACGAGACGTGCATCCATACGTTTTTGTACATGCTAAAGGTGTTTGGGCTTGACGTGCCGCCCTTGTGCAGCGTGAAGATGGTCCAGGCCCACAAAAGCACAGATATCCAGGAGATGGAGAGGGCGCTTGCGCGCGCATGCGAGGTGTGGATAAGCCGAATGCACATATATCCGGACTCGATTCTGGGGAAGTCTGCGGAGTGCATGTTTTTCGGGTTCAGAAACACCCTGAGCCTGCCCATAGTCGGCGCCACCAACGCGACCGACTTTCTCATGCCGCGAGTGCGCACCTTCTACACGGTTTTGGAGGAGCGGCTGAGCAAGATGGACAGGTCTGGGCTGACAGCGCGGGAGCGGGTGATCATAGCGTCTCTGTATGGGAAGAAGCACGCGGAGCGGAGAGAGTCTGTAGACCCTCGGATTCTGTTCCAAATAATTGAGGAGTGTGTGCAGTTTTACAAGTATGCGAAAGTTGTCCCGTACGGGCTGAACGAGTTCTGCGGAGTTGTGGAAAAGTACATCAACGGATACGTGCTGAAGCAAGACACGGCGATGAAGAATGCCACGCGGGAGGCGGGGGAGGACGCGTGCCTCGACAGCTCGGAGTACATGGGAGAAGACTGGGACATCATACAGCTGCTGTACAAGCTTGTGGGGCTGCCAATCACGGACGCAGTTCTCTCGCAAGTCAACCACATTATTGTGCACTTGGACAAAATGTCCGAGGACGCGCAGAAGGCTGTGGACTTCTCATGGGCTCGGAAGATCTGCCTAAAATTGGCGCAAAGAAAGAACCTGAAAATGACTTTTCTTAAAAACCTGTTTGACAAATATCTTTCAATCTCCATGGGAAGCAAGACAGAGGTGTCCTCTATGATGAATGTGATCCATCATTTGCATGCAGAAAATAACTTGCGAGAAGACGAGGCCATGAACAGGCTGTTCAAGCGAGCAGAAAAAATAACACAAAAGAAGGAGCCTTCTCTCGAGGCCAGCACTGTCAAGGAAATTCTGGCGCCCATGACACAGGACATCATTGCCTGGGCAGCCCCCAAGACCACGTGCAAGGAAACCCGGATAGGGGAATCTGACTTTGTGCAGTCTATCCTCATCAACGAAGCATACGAGAATGCATCGGGCATTTGCTTCAAGTACAAAACGCCGCAGGACTACTTCAACGCATACTACCCGCTGCTAGTCAAAGAAACCTACGCATCAATAATTGCAGCCAGCGAGAATATGGAGGGAAGTGAGACAGACTCTGTGCCGGTTGGGTTTGCGGGCCCTAAAATGAAGTTCAAAGTGGTGAGAATCCTGGAAAAGTCGCACACCATGTGCATGGAAATGAAGTCCCTGGGCAAAATTTCGAGTGGCATCTATGTCAATAGCGTGGTGAAAATTTATAGAGAAGAAAACACCTTGCAGCCGCCTCTTCTGGGGATAGTGGTTTCCCACAGCTTCTTGTCATTGAACATAACAGACGCTGTCAGCGTGTGCATTGGCGCAACCGAAGCCCAGAATAAGTACCACACGGTTTTCCTCCAGCCCTTCACAAACATAACAACTGGGATGCGGGAGTTTAATGCTCTTTCGGCAATGTGTTTGCAATTCTGCGAAATGCAGAATATAGTGGCTGTGCAATGCCAAAAAGCAGATGAGAATGTGCACCCCCCAGAAGTAGCCAGCGCCTCTGCGCAGGGCAGCGAATGGATGGAAAACGACCTAAACAGCAGCCAAAGGGAGGCAATTAATGCAGCGCTGACCAGAAGAATAACCCTTATTCAAGGCCCGCCGGGGACCGGAAAAACCAAAACCATTTCCCACCTTATTGTACGGCTTCTGAATAAAGGGCAAAGGATCTTGGTGTGCGCCCCCAGCAATGCGGCTATAGGCATGCTTGAATCCAGCATGAACTGGAATGAGTTTACGCTCAGCTGGCTTAAGGTTAACGGGCGAACCAAAAGGGCTGAAGCCCCGTGCCAAGACCCCGCCGGAGCCGACAAACTCGAAAGCTTTTCGGCACTGGGCAAAGATGCCTACGAAATTGATGTTAAGCCCGATGAGGGGATCAATGGCCTGGACAGCCGCGAAAAGGCCAGCATACGGGCAGCAAGGCTGGTTTTTTGCACGCTTTCTATGGCAGGGTCGTCGACCATGAAAGGCAACACCTTTGACACTGTGATCATTGACGAGGCATGCCAAAGCACCGAGCTCAGCACGATTATACCGCTATCAACACGGCCGCAAAGCCTGGTGCTGGTGGGAGACCCCATGCAGCTGCCTCCAACCGTGATATCGCGGTCCAAGCCGCTGGCCGTCTCTCTTTTTGAAAGAATGGCGCACAGCGTAAAGCCATTCCTGCTGAACACCCAGTACAGAATGCACTCGGACATATCTAGGTTTGTAAGCGAAACATTCTACGAGGGAAGGCTGCTCGATGGCGTGACAAGAAGCTCGCATCTTCCCCTGGCGTTTGTAAATATCCCTGGTATAGAAAAAGTGGTGAATAAGAGCATAACAAACCGAATGGAGTGCGATGCAGTGGTGAGAATATCAGAAGCCGCGATGGATGTGTACAAAAACGTCGGCATCATCAGCCCGTACAAGGGGCAGGTGGAGCTCCTTGAAAAAAGGCTGTACTTTGGCCATGTGTCGACCGTGGATGGATTCCAAGGGCAGGAGAAGGAGTGCATTATAATATCCACTGTGCGCACAGCAAAGATCGGGTTCCTGAACGACTACAGAAGGCTGAATGTGGCGCTGAGCAGAGCGAAGCTTTCAGTTATTGTTGTAGGGTGTGCAGAGCTCTTGAGGAAAGACCCCATGTGGAGAAGCTTCATTGAGTATGCAGAGAGGAACAACTGCGTCTATAAACAAAAGGCTGTGTGCAGCATATTATTAAAGGCATCAACAAGTAAATAAACTGTGGAAGACTGCCACAAAAAGCCCGAGTCGAGGAAAGAGAAAGCGCCCTCCAGAATTTTATTTTTGGATCTGCTGGCTCTCCGCGGATGGAGGCCTGGAAAGGCGCGGCGTGCTTCAACGCGGTGCATGCAGCAAATCGGCAGCGCACCCCACATAAGAAATAAATTGGCGTCAGCCTATATAAGCTACAGTGCCGAGAAAAGCAGCCCGCATTTGCAGCCGGCGCGCGCTTACTCAGAGTTTTTTAATGAAGAGATAATAGACAGCTCGAGTGCGTATATTTCCCCGGTGATGTCTATAGACGGGTCTTTTATCTTGTCCTCTATTGCCGACATAAGAGCATCAAGCTTCTTCCTCATAATAAAAATATTTACAGCACGCGCCCATATACAGGATCTGCGCACAAATTGCGCCGCTCTTTCCAGGCCTCCATCCGCGGAGAGCCAGAGTTTGTGCTGAAAAGTGTTCAGGCGCGCAGAAATCACGCCTAAGAAGTACCATGCTCTCCCAGCAGCCTCTGGCCTTCCTGGGAACATCCTGGCAGAAATCTGGCCTTGCACAGCCCAAGGCCCGGCGCATACAAGAAAAGAGGGGAACTACTTGGCCGGGCCTTTCTTGTGTGCCTTGCTTCTGGCGAAGGCTTTTTCTTTTCTTTGTGTATTACTCCTTTGTGTTTCCACGGATTATTACTATAAAGTGGAGCAAATATTTTTATAAATGCAAGACCATGAAGTATTCTCTGAGCATGTGCGGGCACTAAAAGACTCTTTTTTGCCGCCCACAACCACATACAGAACAGTGTCCAGTGTAAACGGGCCGCTGGTGATTCTGGACAATGTGAAGGGCCCGAAGTACTCGGAAATTGTTCATTTGACACTCCCCGACGGAACAAAGAGAACTGGGCAGGTTCTGGAAGTGTGCGGAAAGAAGGCCGTGGTGCAAGTGTTTGAGGGCACCTCGGGAATAGACACCAAGCATACCTGCGCAGAATTCACGGGGGAGACTATGAAAATGGCTGTGTCCGAGGACATGCTGGGCCGCACGTTCAACAGCACGGGAGACCCGATAGACGGAGGGCCCCGGATAATAGCAGAAGAGTATCTGGACATACAGGGGCAGCCCATCAACCCGTATGCCCGAATATACCCTGAGGAGATGGTGCAGACCGGAATCTCTGCGATTGATGTGATGAACTCGGTGGCCCGAGGGCAGAAAATACCGATATTCAGCGGGGCCGGTCTCCCACACAACGAAGTGGCTGCGCAGATTTGCAGGCAGGCCGGGCTGGTGGACAACAAAAGCACGGTGGACAAAAGCAAAGAAAACTTCTCCATTGTGTTTGCTGCCATGGGGGTTAACGCAGAGACAGCGCAGTTTTTCAGAAACGAGTTTGAGCAGAGCGGTGTGCTCGACAGGACTGTGCTGTACCTGAACTTGGCAAACGACCCAACGATTGAGAGAATAATCACTCCACGGTTTGCCCTTACAGCAGCCGAGTACTTGGCGTACACAACGGGAAAGCACGTTCTCATGATCATGACGGACATGAGCTCGTACGCAGACGCCCTCAGAGAGGTGAGCGCGGCAAGAGAAGAGGTGCCTGGAAGACGAGGATACCCGGGATACATGTACACGGATCTCTCCACAATCTACGAAAGAGCCGGGCGAATTGCAGGAGTGGACGGGTCAATTACGCAGATTCCCATTCTGACAATGCCAAACGACGACATCACACACCCGATTCCGGACCTTACGGGGTACATCACCGAGGGCCAGATATACATCGACAGGCAGCTGCACAACAGACAAGTGTATCCGCCCATCAACGTGCTCCCGTCCCTGTCCAGGCTGATGAAGTCCGCTATAGGCGAGAACATGACCAGAGGCGACCACTCGGACGTGTCCAGCCAGCTGTACTCGAAGTATGCAGTCGGAAAGGAGGCGCTCGCCATGAAGTCTGTCGTGGGGGAAGACTCTCTGTCGGCCGAGGACAAGCTTGTAATTGAGTTTGTGGACAACTTCGAGAAGCACTTTATTAGCCAGCGAAAGGACGAGTGCAGAACCATCCAGGAGTCGCTTGACCTCGCCTGGGACCTTTTGCGGATATTCCCTAAGGAGATGCTGAACCGAATACCAGATGACGTTCTGAACAAGTACTACACAATACAGGGCACTGAAGAAGGCGCCAGCCAGAAAAGCCTGGCCTCGGAAGAGTCCGCTAGCAGCGGCTCGCAGGAGAAACAGGCCTAAGCATGTGGCGGCCTAACCAGTTATTCCAATAAATGCAGTAGAGGCAACATGTTTGCGTGTGTACATTTATGAAGGCAGCGTGGACTTTGAAAAAAGACGCGGCACCAGACTCTTGAGTCGGCACACAAATCCCTGCGAAAAAGCAGCCTGCTGCGCCATGCAAAGGCGACAAGTCACGAATTGTATATTTATTACGCTATTTACTGATATAGTATTTTCTTATTAGTGTGCATTTTTCCTATGAAAGCGCATTAGTACTTATACTTGGGCTGTGCATTTATGTTTAGCTCTACAATTCCGCCCCCTCGTGGCATGAGGTACACCAAGAAGTCGAATATGTCAGAAGACTTTGCAGCCGAGCAAATGTCCCCTCTTTGCAGAATCCTTCTTTTGCCCTTCTCCGTGTACTGCCACGCCCGCAGAGTCAGCTCCTCTATGAATATCTCCGACAGACGAGAAAACAAGAGCGGGACTTCGCTCGCCACCTTGCTCACCTCCTGCTCCACCTTCATCAGCCGCTTTATCCTGGCCAAAGGGAGCGCGTTGTCTTTGTATACTGATGCTGATGTTACATAGTCTAAAATGCCCTTCCAATACTCTTCTACTGCTGGGTTCTTTCTTTGCATATTTGCCGAATGCGTTTCGGGCTTTATTATGTCTCTATTTATTTGTTGTTATTATGCATGAAACGTGCCTGGGATCTGAAACCCTAAAACATCCCGCCCAGCTGAAACGCATATCCCCGCACGCGCACTCTTTTTCCAGCGCCGAGCCCCCATCATTTTAGGGAAGTCCGAAAAAAGCCAAAATTCCGGCCTAGAGGCAGCGCGTGCATTTTTTATTTAAAAGTAAAAAATTTATCCCCCTGCCTTTAAAGCTCTTAGAAAAGTTAAACTGCTGAGGATGATAGAACAAAAAGATTTATGCGTATTGACAACATTATTATTGACCTCTGTAGGAGCACCTGTAACAGAGGAAAGCATCAAAAAAATCGGAGACCACCTGGGAGTTAAAGTAGACTCATACTTGGCTGAGATGTTCAGCAAGCTCACCAGCGAGCAGATCCAGAACATTATTGCAAACCCAACCGGAGGATCCATGCAGGCAGCTGCAGGCTCTTCTGCCCAGGCCGTTGCTGAGGAGAAGGAAGAGGAGAAGGAAGAGTCTGAGGAGGAAAGCTCTGGAGACATGGACCTGTTCGGCTAGTCTAATAAAGCGATTTACTATGCATTTCGGCGTGTGCGGCTTCTTCGCGCATTTATATTTTGCTAAATATTTTTACGAATGGATGCTGAAGTAAAAAGAATCCTGCAGAACAAGGAGGACCACTATAAAGTGCTGGGCGTGCCCAGGGGCAGCACTAAGGATCAGATACGGAGCAGCTACAGGAAAATAGCTGTTAAAATTCACCCGGACAGAAACTCCGATCCTAGAGCGACAGAAGCCTTCATTGTCCTCAAGCGAGCGTACGAGGAGCTGACAACGGACCAGCCAAAGTTCTCGCACACCGCACACCCCGGGGGCACCCACTACAGGCACGCAGGGGCCCACGCAAATACAGAGTTTGAGGAGCTCCTAAGGTGGTACATGTCGGCGTCCCAGGGAAACATATACACATTCACTGCCCACCACCCGTTTTCCAGCGGATTCTCCAGATTTGGATACAGGCATCCCCGAGAAAGGGCGGATTTAGAGCAGGCGGAAGTCTCAACCAGGGCCCTGGTGATGCTTGTGGTTTTTCTGATTCTGTTTGGGCTAATCCGGGGGTGAGGCGCCAGCACAGAGCTTTTGTGGGCCGTGTAAGCAGATTTGCTAGAGTAGAATAAATATTTGCATATAAATTGGGATTATTTTGAGAAAAACAAATTTTCCCGTGGCGAGCGTTTTCTGTTTGTGCAAGGGGGTGCAGGCCAGGCTTGCGTGTGTAATTATAAATTTGCAATTTTCTTTTTTACTAAAATGAATATTGAGGAGACGCAGAAAGAGAAAAAAGAAGGCCACATTGGGAGAAAAAACTCTATTTACGTGGGGGACATTCCCACGGCAACAAGCGAGTCGGATCTGTTCCAGATTTTCTCGGTGATAGGGCAAATATACACAATTGTGATTCCCAGAAAAGAGGCATCTATAGCAAAAAACAAGTGCTATGCGTATATCACATTTTTTGACGCCGCGTCGGTGCCTCTTGCCATAGAGGCGTTCAACTTCTACGATCTAAAGGGCTCTCAGATTCGGGTCATGCCTTTGGACAAGGAAAGCGTGGTCAGCAACAAGGAGGGAAACATTGTTATAAAGAACCTTCCAAAGGAGATGGACAACCAGACGCTGTACGACACGTTCATTATATTCGGGTCTATCGTGAGCTGCAAAGTGCACAAAAACAGCCTGGGCGAGTGCAGCGGGGTTGGGTACATACAGTACAAGAACCCAAAGGTTGCAGAGATGGCGATCGGCATGATCAACAAGATCGTTCTGCAGGGGAAGAAGCTGTCGGCAATACAGTGCATCCCAAGCCAGCAGCGCGAGAAGAAAAAGGAGGCTATCGAGAAGACCTTCACAAACGTGTACGTTAAGAACTTCCCAAAGAACGCCCAAGAGGGGGCTGTGCGGGGCGTTCTGGAGAAGTTTGGAGAACTGACGTCCTTCCTGGCGCCTCTTGCCGAGTCGGGGGAGCCCAAGGGATTCGCGTTTGCGAACTACAAGCGGCACGAGGACGCGCAGGCGGCCATTGACGCGCTGCACGACAAGGCGTTCCCCGGGCGCACCGAAGAGGAGGGAAAGCTGTACGTGCAGAGGGCAAAGCCGAAGACGGAGCGGGTGGAGGAGCTCGCCGAAATGTTCTCGAACGCGCCGCAGGACCAGGAGTACAGAAGAAACGTGTACATCACGAACCTTCCTGGGACAGTCGACGAGGAGGACCTGCTGGCCTACATGGGAGCTTTTGGAAAGATTATAAGCTACAAGGTGGGGACAGACACGAAAAACAACAGGTCGTACGGATATGTGTTCTACGAAACAAGGGAGGCAGCAGCAGCCGCGGTTGAAAAGGGAAACAAGAGCGAGTATTGCGGGCAGCCGCTGGAAATTACCTTTTTCAAGAGCAAGAAGGCGAGGGAGATGGAGAAAGCGTCAGCAAGCGTGTACAACAACGCGTATGGAGCGCCTGCGGCTAAGAGCAAGAGGAAGGAGCACATTTCGACACACAGTAACAGCTCTACAACTGGGTACCAACTGTACACGCTGATACTGTCTCTTGCACCAAACTACACGGCAAAGATAGAGCAGGCCGGATTCAAAAACGACGAGGAGTTTGCTAAAAAGATCACGGGAATTATTCTGGAGCTGGGCGCAGAAGAGGTGAAGAGGGCTGCCATTTTGGGAAACGTGCTTTCAAACTATGTTGAGGAGTCTTTGGAGGAGATAATCACGCGCAGGAGAAAAGACGAGGACAAAAAGGCTGTAGCCATAGAATAAATAAATACGGTTTACCGCAGATAAAAATGGAGAATCCAAGGATTGAACTCGGGACCTTGTACATGCGAAGCACACGCTCTACCACTGAGCTAATTCCCCAACACTAGCTGCAACCCATGTGCGACAAGTCTGCAGGCATCTGGCATCTGAAGCATATGCCTTGAGGGTGCACTGCCTCGAGAAGAAATCCTTGCAGAAATCGGCCAGAGGCTGCGTCCTGCTCCATTGCGTCTGAACGTGCGAAGACGTACACAGAGTTTTTATTTATTTTCAGAGACGGCTCTCTGCATAGTGAAAGTGAAAGCCAGCGCCCAGAAGTGCAGCACCGTGGACCCACTCGAGCTCGCCCAGTCTTTGCGTCTGCTCTACAAGTCGTATATGCCCGAGGGAGGGCTTTTTGGCGGAGTACTTGTGCAGCAATCTTTGCTGGGGGTTTTAGGAGGTGCCTGTGGCGCTGTCTCCTGCGGGGCTGCTTTCTGCGGCACAGGCTCTGCGGGCTGTGGAGGCGGAGTCTGTAGAGACGCGAATATCTCAGAAAACTTATAAAGCACAAGGCTGTGTAGTGGTGTGGGAACCCACAGTAGCTGCGTGAGGAGGTACACGGAATGCGGCAATACGTTGGGGCTTGTCACCTGCAAGAAGTAGCATCTGCTGCAGTTTCCCTCCTGGCAGACCGAGTTGTGCGCAGGGTGCTGCAGAGAGGTAAGAAACCGAAGGGCCATTGGAAGAATTGTCTCCTGGAAGTCTGCGAAGACAGACTCCACAAAAAAGGGTGTGTCTTTGCAGTGCATGTATCCCAGCAGCAGCCAGAACCCCACAAGCACGCGCAAGTCCATGGCGAGGGAGTCCTTCTGCAAAAGCTCTCGCAGAAAAAGAAGGATCTCCTGCGAAAACACCTGCTCGGACATCTCTCTAAGAGCAACTGCTATGGAGGTTTTGAGAAAGAGCAGCGCACTTGTCAGAGGCATTGCAGGAAGGCTGGAAAAGTCTGCTAGAAACTCAGCCACTTCCTGCGCAGACACGTCCTGTGCAAAGTTGGACACGAGCCCAAAGTATTCTGGAGAGCCTATTTTCTCTTTCTGGGCGCTGTGCACTTTTGCATGCAAGTTTGAGTGCATTCCCAGCACAAAGTTCATCCTGCACGGACACGCAGAAAGCGGCTGCTTCAAAACAGCTGCAAACTGCGGGTCTCGCACGGCGTCTGTGTAGGAGAGGAGAAAAAGCGCTGCTGCGTCTTTTATTCGGAACAGCGTGCTGGAAAAGCTTTCTAAAAGAGGCCGGTACTTTGGGTATGCTGCAAACGCGTACACCACCCGGAGAGCATGCTCTGTGTGGGTTTTGAGCGTGGACTCCAGCCAGCTTCTCCACCCCATCTCAAAAAAGTAGCTTACAATGGAAATGTCGCTGTTCATCAGCTCTGCCAGCGACTGTATGCTGCACCGAGCAAGGCCTCTGTCTTTGCTGCGGCCTGTCTCCATGATGCCCTCTACAAACCCATTGAATATTAAAAACTTCCTGAACGCATTTGAGTCTTTCCCCAGACGCACCAGCATGTCTATCACAAACTCGCTTCCGCTTAGGGCCTCTTCTATAAGCAGACTGTGCTTGCTGCTTCGGGTTATCTCCTCGGCCAGCGCAACCTTGTTGTGGTCCACCACGGTCAGAAGAGTGCTCTTTATGAGGTCGCTGGCGCTGTTTGCGCTGTTTGCAGCTGTGTCTATGATAAAGCCTGGCCCTATTTTTGTGACGAATATGTTTGAAAACTCTCTCCCGTTCTTGCCCGTGAACACTGCACTCAGTATTTTATATATTTCCTCCGTGCACTTCTCTGGGGTGCTTTGCAGCAGAAAAATAAGAGAATCCAGAAACTCTGTTCCTCCAATTATGCCGTCTTCTTTTGTTATTTTAAGCGCCTCGCCCAGGGCAGACAGCCGGTCCTTTGTGTATGTTGACGATTTTAACTGAACAGCCACTATTACAGCGCGTTCTTGCAGGTCCATTAAAAACACACAATATTTTTACAAAATAAATGTCACTCGCGCGCTGGTTCCCCACGCTGCCGCAGTGCACTTAGCCTCTGTGCATTTTCAGGGCAGCATTCTCCTGCCGCGATGGCCTTGCCTCCGCACTTGATCTCCTCCCAAGAGATCTTGTCTGCTTGATGATGGCCTGTTGTGTGCAGAATGGAAGCCCTACAGACGTGACAGACGCATGCTCGTTTGTTTTTTGCTTTGCCAGGCCTCTTTGCAGCCTTCTTAATTGCCTGCACTGTTTCTGTTTTCGTCTGCGATTAGTCGAAGGTGTTTGTCTGCTTTAAATAAAAAGTGTACAGCGTAAACTTTACTAGCTGCTCGCAATACAATTTTCGTACACTTTGTTTATAAAACCAAGGCTAAACACGCCCTGCAAAATCCGCACGGGGGAAGCACTTGGGACTGGGCGGGCCCAAAGAGGTGCAGTTAAGTGCATGCGCATGTGTAAATGCAAAGATATTTATTTTTTGGAGTCCAGCCAGCTGGAAAGCGACTGCCCTGCCAGCATGCCGGTGTAGGCAGCTGTTATGGCCTGTCGGTATTTGTGGTCCTGCACGTCCCCAGCAGCGAAAAGCCCTTCAACCGCGGTTTGCATGCTTTCTTTGTTTGCTCCAATGTATCCGCCATCTAGCAGGATGGGCTTCCCTGTCTCTTGCTGCAAAGACTCGAGGAAGCTTGTAGAGGGGTCGTGCCCGATTGCAAAGAACAGCCCTTCTGCGGTTATTTTCGCGATTTCGCCGGTTCGCACGTCCTTTACCATAACATTCTCCAGGGTTTTTCCCCCAACAGCCTCCACAAGCACGCTCCACGGAAGTATCTCCACGTTCTCCAAGCCCCTGATCTTGCTTAGAAGATCCGGACGTGCCCGGAATGTTTCCGACCTGTGCACCAAAACAACCTTCTTCGCTATCAGGGAGAGATACTGCACCTCCTCCATTGCAGTGTCCCCACCGCCAATAACCACAACCACCTTGTCTGTGAAAAGCCATCCGTCGCAGGTGGCGCACGCGCTGATTCCTTTCTGCCAGAAGTCGCTCACGCCAAGGGTGTCCAGCTTCCTGGCCACAGACCCGGTGGCCACAATGACGCCTTTGCTTCTGATAACTCCCTCGGACGTGCTTAGCAAAAAGCAGTCATTTTCCTTTGACACCGACTTGACCCACAGCTCTTCCACTCTGGCATGTTTTTCCGCATGCGCCTTAAAGACCTCTACCAATTGAGGGCCCTCAATTCCCTCGGGAAACCCTGGGTAGTTGTCCACCCCCGTAGTGGTCATTAGCTGCCCTCCTGGATGCTGCGAGGATGAAGAATAGTCTCCAGCCAGTATCAAGGGCCTGTGCCTAGACGTATAAATAGCTGCTGAAAAGGCCGCAGGCCCACTGCCTATAATGACAACAGACTCAATGTTCACACTAATAGCCATGCTGGGCCGAAAAAAAAGAAAAAGAAGAAATGCAGCATAGGCTCCTACCTGCAAAGCGTTCATTCCAAAAAAAAGTTCGAGCAATAAGGACCAACAAATATTTCTAAAAACGCGCAAATTATGCAATATGATGAGTATACATGCGAAGGGTGTGGAATGAACGGAGTGGACCAGGGCATCAGAAAGGCGTTCAACGTAAACTACTGCAGGCTCTGCAAGAGCAAGCTGTCTCTAATCACCCAGACAACTGCGGTGAAGGACTACTTGCTCAGCAGAGACGACTTGAGGGGCCTGGCGAAGATGGAAATGGTCAACCCCAGAGACGCAGGATGGAAGCCCATGATGCTGTACAGAAAGGCCGACGTGGAGAGAGTGTCGCAGCAGAAGTACGCAGACGTGGAGCAGGAAAAGGAAGCACGGAAAGAGAAGCAGAAGGAGAGAAGAAGCAAAGCAATAAAAAAAAAGCTGCTGCTTCTTCGAAGGACGCTTAAGCCCAAAATGAAGCAAGAGGCCGTGCACGTGCATTCATTTGACGCTGAGGGAAAGTGTGCCTGTGGATTGGCGGTTGAGGTTGAGGAGATATAAGTGCATAAAGCCCAATCAGACAGCGCAAACATTGATAAATAAACACACACACACGAAATAAAAAGAGTATTCAATAAATCGAGCCAATTCAAATAAAAAAGAGAAAATCATGAGAACATTTAAAGAAAACAAAAAGGTGGTAGAGGCTGTTTGCACGCTTATATTGATTTGCATTTTGGTGGGGCTGGCCATATACTACAACGACAACGGCCTGCGGTGGTATTCTGGCACCGATCCGGAGAACAGAAGAGTTTTCAAGATTGTGCAAGGGAACAGAGCGTGGACTTTCAACAAAATTATAGAGGAGAAAGGCATCAACGAGGAACAGATATGCAGGTGTCTAAGCGACGGCTCGGTTGTTCACGAAGAGATGGTCCAAAAGATAGTGCATGCATGCCTGGACAAGAAGGCAAACCGATGGTTCTACTTGGAGGACAAAATAAAGCAAGTGAAGGACAAGCAGAGACTGAACATGCTTCTGGAGGAAAAGCAAGGGCGCGAGTTTATGGATGTTTTGAATGTGTTGCTTTATAATAAGATGTCGAAGGTAGAGGAAATGTTAAAAGAGGCAAAAAAATAAACAGATAAACTTCAAAAAAACACATCTTTTTTCTTTTAGAAACAGATTTTGGCCTAAACCACAAAAACAAACAAATCTACGAGTTTATTAACAAACAGCCCTGTCCTGCGCCCATTTGGTTTAAAGGGAGTACAGGCTTAGCAGCTATCTGTTGTTGGTATGCATGCGGGTGCTGATACTAAAGATGGGCGCCATGCCGAGTTATGCTCTGTAAGGCGCAAAGATTCTGTTTATGCTGGCACAGTGCTCTGCAGTCCGCCCTCCAAGTGCGGCTGTGTGGCCTGGGCCCATGCTCCGGTCAGAAAAAGCGCCCAGAAATTGCATTCACTCATAGAGCATGCCGCTGGAACAAAATACTGCATGCAGCTCTTGCACTTCCTGGGGCTGTCTGTCAGGAATGCTGCTCGCTTTTCATAAAGATCACCCCAAACACGTTTGTGCTGTTTGGCGAAGAAGGGTCTTGGATGGTCGCGCTTCCGTCAGGCGCAATTTGCACAAGAGAGTCTCCCTGGTCGGCAACGCTCTCAGTGTAGTCTACAGGGGGAAGAAAGTCCACCTCCAGGTCAACATCTACAATGCTTATGCCCTCTCCTTTAGGATTTATTTCAGCCACCGTGAATAAAATGTTTTTGAACTCGCTTTCCATGTACAGAGAAATTGTGTCGCCTTGGCTGAGGACCTGGTAGTTCCTTAGAGAGTTTTCAAGCGCTGCCTTCGGGTTTTCAATGTCCAGGAAGTCTCGGCTCTGCGGAAGCAGCTTTATAAAGTTCCCCTTTGGCAGAGACACGCTTCTCACCCGCACTGAAGACCCGTCAAGCGCCAGCTGGTCGTAGAGCCAGTTGGGCATTTGCACTCTGTCAGACGGCTCTATAAACTCGTGCACGCCCACGTGCGTGTATACCGTGTCCTTGTGCGCAGATATTCTAAATATGTAAGGAGTCTCGACCTTTTTTATGTCCAAGTCGATTAAACACATCTGTGGCAGGAATACTTTTCCCGTGTGGTGGCAGTCGACCTTTTCGGGAGAATGCCTTTCTGGAAACAGGATCCACTCGAGGTCTTTTTCTGCAGAGGCGCCTCTGTTAAACATGAAATAAATAAGCAATAATTTTCGAATTTATTTTCTCAGCATGAAGGTGTATGACATTGTAATAGTAGGCAAGAACATTTCGGCTATGACTGCAGCCATATACGCAGGAATGTCGAAAACCAAGACTTTGTACATCAACTGCCCGAACGAAAAGATCGAAGTCACCGGCGTAAACAACTACCTGGGATACGAGGCAGGAACATACGATGCGTTCCATGAAAACACGTACAAGCAGCTAATGAAGTTTCAGGTCGAGAAAATAGAGAGCAACGTCAAGAAAATAGTCATTGAGGAAAACACGGCAAGAATATGCATCGAAGGAGAGCCTGATGTTGTAGCGAATGCGCTAATACTATCAACAGAAGATGTATACAACAAGATAGAAAACAAAAAAGACAGCAGCTTCATATTTAAGTGTGGAAAGCTGCTGAACAATTGCACAGAAATGATTTCCCTGGCAGGAACAGGCAGCATGGCGGCAATAGATGCCCGGCAGTTTATAGCCGAGAAAAAGTAAAAGAAGCAGAGCAGGAAGGGCGCTCTTGCACGAGCACATATCAAACATAAACTGTGTGTATGATTTGCGTGAAATGCAGTGGAGATGTCTGCACGGCTGTGGGCTGCTCGAGCAGGAGGAGGGGCTCGGATTTCCAGAAGCCAGCAACTTTGCTAGTTGAAAGCTCGAAAAGCACGCTACAGACATTTTGCTTTTGGTGCCCTCGCACAGAAAAAGGCCAAAAGAAAACAATTCGCTTATACGAGCCACGGAGCCAGCTGCACCAATTGCCCGAATTACATAGGAGAGTTATGGCTCGGCTGGCCTGCAGAAAAATAAACATCGGAAAATAAGCAGCCCAAACATCTCTGCTGGAGCTGCGCGTGTCTGGAAAGCAGGCAACCAGAAAAACAGCGAAGTTTCACATTTATTTACGTATGTATGACGGGGAGATTGGCGCATGATAGCACCCGGGGTGGCGCAAAGAGCCTAGCCTGCAGCCTTGTTGAACTCTGCAATAAGGCCTTTATGATGCTTTTTTGATATCTTTGTGAGAACCTGATGAAATGCAAACAGCCCGTTTGATATTGTGTTGAAGTTCAGCACAAACAGCTCAGGCACGGAGGGGTCCAGCAGGAACAGCTTCAAAAAGATCTTTGCCTTGTCAAATATGGAGTACTGTATGTCCATGTGCAGCTTCATGAGTATGGCGCTTTTCAGTGGAATTTCCAAAGCACTCATGAAGCACAGTATTTGCTCTGCCTGTGCCCTGTCAAACTTTATTTCCGCCAGCGTCAGAAATATGCACTCTCCAAATATGTCCAGCCACTCCTTCACCAAGTACTCGTATGGTGTAAAAGACACCGCAGAGATTGCATCGATTTCTTTGATGAGGTCGCCCAGAAAAGCCCCAGAGAATTTGTCCAGCTTTTGCGCCTTCAGCACCTTTCTGTTTAAAAACGCAAGCTTGCCCTGTATATTCACCATGTACGACGCATACACCCGGTGCAGCAAGTCGTCAAGCGCGTCCGTGGTCTCTGGAGAGGCCTTGCTCGCAACGTTGAACGTTTTCTGCAGCTTCTGCAGCATTTCTCGGGTGACCTGCTCGATGTAATACACCGTTTCAATGCCGGACATGAAGTTTTTGTGTGCCTCAGAAAATGGCGACCTTCTTATGATCTTGGCAACTGCTTTGTCCACGATAGACAAAAAAGAGTATCCGACGCTAGGAAACTTGAAGTACTCGATTTTCGTGAGTGTTGTGCTCAGGAGCGTGTATATAGAGTATGTGCTGCTGTGCACGCTTTTATCAACAAACAGCATGTTTCTGGTGGCTAGGGGCTTTATTTCGCTTTCGATGTATATGTGTATGTATGGAATAAAGGGGAGCGTGAGGCTGTTTGGCTCGAACTCCTCTGTGCATATGGGGCTTTCTGTTGATATGTCGTCCAGCAGCCGCAGGTGGCTGGGCGAAGACTCTGAAAGCTTCAGCACAGAGACGTCTCGCGGCGAGCCGCCTCTTCTGTTGGTGTAGCTGGTCAGGTAGGTGGTTTCAAACTCCATACATGCCGAAAGCGCCTCCAGGTACTCTGTGCACGAAAACTCCGCGCGGTCAACAACCCGGATCAGCTTGTTCTTCACAATGATGGTCAAGTCGCACAGAATCACTTTGGAAATGTTCCACCAAATGGGCAGGTGCGCGGTTTTCATCCCCACGCGGTCTTTTATGGAAAGAAGAAGCTCGAGTATTTTTGGAATTTCGGAAAGCTTTTCCAGCCTCTGCAGGTCCTTCATGTGCTCTGTCTGCACGTTGTTGGACATCCATGTGACAATGGACCTCTGCACGTCAGACACGTACTTTTCTGATAGAATCGTGGAGAGCATCACAGCGCTTTTGTCCAGGCTCTTTTCGTTGGATATGCTATACTTTATGTCACTGATCAGAATGTTCTTCAGCAGCAGAATGTTTTCGTGGATCATCTCGTGCCGCTGCCTGTACTTGTCCTCTATTTTGTACTTGCTTGGGCTTTTAATTATCTCCTCCAGCGTTTTGAGCGTCCTAATAAGCCCCTTGTAGTCCTTGTACCTGATCTGGTCTCGGAAATTACTTAGCGCCTTCTTGTGCTCCTTGGAAAGGCTCACCAGAGCATCTGCACATTCAGGCGCACTGTTTATATAAATCTCTGCTTTATCTGTTTTTATGTCTGTACACATTCTCTGCTGCTTCTTTTTTTTCCAATCCCCGCATAAATATACTTTGTGAAACAGTGTCGGAGTCGATACTTCCTGATAAGCGCCTTCATGTTGGTGAGCACGACCAGGGCAGAAGGGAGCATTAGAGAGCACAGAAGCCCCAAATTGCACTCGTTGGAGTGCCGCAGGAATACTCGCCTAGGCCGGTTTATGGCTTTCTTTAGCCTTCCATGCAGGCGAAGAATTTCCGCCCTTTTTGCCGCAGGGTTTTCAAGCACACCTCTTACCCGGGCGAACCCAACGATGTCGCTGTATACCACCAGGTCCCTCAGCTTTCGCGTTGCGCCTGTTTCCACAGGCACGCCTTTTGCGAAGGCCTCGCTCAAATACGAGTTGTAAATGTCCTTTATCTCGTCCATCACCACCCCCTGCGCTTTTGCGCGGTGCATAGGCATCAGAAAATGTCTAAAGAAAGACAAAAACAAGAGAACTATGTAGGCAAGGTGCAAACTAAGAACTAATTTCATTTTTCTACTTTTATTTTCTTATTTTTATTCCCTTGTACTTTGTACGTGAGGAAGACAGCGTCTGTGTTTTATGCATTAAGACTGACTATTCCCTCATACATAAATAGTGCAGGGTAAGAGCAGCTCAAATCATTTTGCAGCTGTGTCAGAACCTGCACACATTTTTCTATAATTTCTTCGGCCCGGTCCTGGGCGCATTTTGCGAAACTTCTTTATACTGTGCGACCTGGAGTATGAAATATGAGGCCAGCAAGAAATATGCTATGCGCTCACACGCGGGCTCGTGCAGGTGCTTTTCCACAAAAAGACAGAGCGCCCTTAATGCTGCCGGCAGTGGCTGGAAGGAGAAAAGGTCCGTTGTGCGCCGTTCTTTGGCTCTGTTCTGTGTTTTCTATCCTTTTTAGATTTATTAGTTTCTGCATGCAATAATCCTTTTTTAGAAAATAAGAAAAGCAGTCAAAGCTGGAAGCAAGAAAAAATCAGGCACGATGCTTTATCCGGCAGAGATTTCTGGCTGCGCACAGCCTCCATGATGCATGCATGCGCGCTGTTTGCGTGGCATCCCCGCCTTAAAAAGTGATAGAGCCAAAAAAAGGCCAGAAGTCCCGCGCTTCCTCCTATACCCTAGTAAAAAAGGTTCTGCTGGCAGAAAAATAACGGCTTTTAACAGGTTTTCAATGTAAAAAAGTTAAATATGAAAAAATTTATAGGGCTAGAAATATGAAGGTTCTAAAGGTTTCATCAGAGTACCGATCAATAACCGAAATTTCTCTATACACACTTGGGATGCTTTTTATATTCCTTCCGCTCATACAAAACATTATAGCAGATAGGTCCCAACAAAAGGAGCTTTTGCTTTGCACAGGCTCCTGCGGAAGATCAGAGAGCAGTGCAACTTATGTAAGCAACAACAGAAGTTCGCATGCAGGCAGGATAGAGTCAAGGGTGCAGGAAAGAATGGCATCCAGCAGCGCGCGCCCGCTCCAGACCTTCACAGAACTCGTACAGTTAGAGGACCAGGCATGTGAGGGATCGCACGCTCCTAGAAGCTCCAGGTCGTGGTTTAGCGGTATAGCAGCTTCTATAAGCTCAATTTCGGGTCTGCAGGTTTTGATCATGCTACTTGGATGTCTCCTCCTTTTCATACCGCATGTGATAAGGTACACAGCCCCCGAGAGCTTCAGCCTCTCTTCCACGGACTCTCCTTTCGTAGAGAGCACCGTCGTTGAGCTTGAAAAAGTTCTTAAAAGAAACCGAAGAACCGCGACCAAAGCCGAAATAGACGCAGCCACTCTCGCTATTAACAATGCCAAGAGCTGCATAAAGGAGACAGACTGGGACATATACCGGGACGAGCACGACCGCAAACATGCTGATGCTGGCATTGCTGTAGACATTGTCCCAGCCCTTCCATTTTGCGAAGAATAAGCCCGACTACAGATGACAAATCATCCATAGGCAAAGGAAATTAAACAATGAGAAGCAAGAATAAAATTTTCAATGGTTTACCAAAGGCTTTCGCTTAACGAGCTAATGAAGCCCAAATACGCCTGTGGCTCTGCAGGCCTGTTTTTCATTTTCCTGGGGCTTCTGCTGTTTGACACGCACTTGATGCGCGCAGGCAATGTAGTGGTGTTTATGGGGGTTCTTATGGCCATTAAGTCCCTAGACCATATAAAGTGCATTTTGCTGTTCTTCCTGGGGTTTATTGTCTCGTTCAAGCTTATAACACTTGGCCTGCTTATAGAGATGGTTGCGCTTGTTATGTGGGGAATGGCTAAGATATCCACGATGGCCACGCTCCCTGCAAAAATGCTGAAACGCTTTTTTGTGAAATAGCACAGGCGCAGTCTATGCCCGGGCCTTCTTGCATGCCACTGCAGCGCAATGAAGTGCGACCTGCAAAGTGCATATCGGAAGTAGCCCAAAATCTTAGCACACGCAGCTATAAATGAAAAATATTTTAAATTCTTGCCATGACTAACCAATCCAAAGGAAGCTCAAACGCGAAGCCAGTAAAAAGAAAGAGCGACGAGACAAGCGACAGCGCAACAGAAGACTATGTGAGCGATCCAACTACAGGTGTAGAAGACGAAGATCTTTCTGATCCTTCCGATGATGTTACCCCTTCTTCAACTCTTACAGATGATGGAACTCTTGAGGACGACAACTCTACCACACTAGACGGAGACAACTCAAGTTTTGAAGATATAGATGAAGCCTCAGACTCTGGAAACTACAGCAGTGATGAAAGCGATGAAGAAGATTTCGCGTCAAACAGCCAAGAGAACAACAGCGACAGCACTGCATAAGCATAAATAAAGTTATATGGTTGGCTCAAGTTTTTATTTTTTTTATGCAGCAGAAAGTACTTAGCTCTCTCAACAGTCTTCAAGGAATAGACAACCTTAAGAGAAAAGAGGCAGAAAAGTATATTATTGAGGAATCCAACCGAAACTTTTCTAGCCTCATTGGGGAACTTTTAAACATTCTGACAGACCCTTCTGTGGGCACGATAAGCAATACAGTGACGGCTGGAGTTGTGCTGAGAACGCTTTTTTCATGGGAGTCCGAGGAGAAGCGAGAAGAAGTGGGCAGAAGGTGGTCTGTTCTCACGGAGGAGGAAAAGGTCTTTTTAAAGAAGAAGATGATACACGGGCTAGATCTGTGCACAGGGCACGTTGGGGAAGTTCTTGGGCAGTGTCTTGGGGCTGTGGCTAGGTTTGAGGTTGTCAGCAAAAGATGGCCGAGCGTGTTTTCAGACTTGGCAGAGGTGTTTATGGGGTCCAAGACAAACACCGCCAAGATAAACGTGATGGAAACTATTGGGGTTCTGTGCATGGACACTTCGGGCATGGACGCGAACATGATAGTGCACTCCTCGGGGCACATTCTGACAGTTCTCGTAGACGGGGCAAGGTCGCAGGATGCGGAGATGCAGAAAAGTGCGCTCAAGAACCTGGACAGGTGCCTGGAGTTTATTTCATACAACGTCCAGATCGAGAACGAGTGCATGATTGTGATGGAGACCCTTTTTAACGCGTGCGCATCAGAAAACGAAGCCGTTGCGTGCCTGGCCATGCAGTGCTACACAGGGACTCTGTTTATGTACTATAGCCACGTGGTGAAATATGTTGGGCTTGCTTTTGGAAACATTGCCCTGGAGTTCATGCACTCGGAAAGCGAAAAGAAGGTGCTGGCCGCAATAGAGATGTGGCACGCCATAACACAGCAGGAAATGGAAGGAGAGGGCGAGATCATTGGAAAGATGTTCCCCGCGCTGGCGGGGCAGTGTCTGATTCTCTGCATGAACAAAGACCTGGAGCAGTTTGACGAGTGGGTGCCGCACAAGGCGGCTGCGTGGCTGCTTGAGTCCATCGCGCAGTGCGTCCCCGAGAAAGTCAGCGGAAAGATCGTGAGCAAGCTGTTCAACAGCCCGGTCAGCATGGCCACAGCGTTGGAGAGCTTTTTTGGGTGCAACGACATGGTTAAGCTCGAGGCTGCGATGATCGCGTTGGGATCGGTCCTTAATGAAGCCACTGTCAACTCGCTGAGCACGCTTATAAAGAGAGAGGTGGTTCTGATAGACCAGCTGCTTGGTGCAAACAACCAGGTGGTGCAGGACTCCGCGATGTGGGTGCTTGAGAAAATATTCAAATTCGCATACCCGGCGGTGGAGCAGAGCCAGCTCGAAAACGACATAATAAGAAAGATCATGAAGTTCCTGTCTTTGCGCACGGAGGCTTCAGTGACAGCAGCGTGGACACTCGCGGGAATAGCGAGCACAGCCCGGACGTCCAGAGTCGAGTCGACCAGAGAGCATACAGTGTGCGCACACTTTACTCTGATCCTGGAGACGCTTACGAGCACGTTCAATACTCTGCAGGAAAACGAGTACACGCTGAAGGTGGCCTTGTCCATGGCAATCAGCGAGGTGGTCAGGGCGGCGCCGCAGAGGAACTACGGGGGCGTGTTTTCTCTCCTGTCGGAGATCATCAGCAGAACAAGGTCGGAGCTGGCAAACTCAACAGCAAACGAGGAAACGCTTTCGTGTTACATGAATATGATCCAGTCCTGTATATACACGTGCCTGCCCGACCAGATACTGCAGGCTTCCTCCGATATTGTTCAGGTCTGCATATTCATCATACACAGAGGGCATTTGATATCTCTGTACACAGAGGCGTACCTTACGCTGGGGGCGCTTGCAGACAAGCTTGGAATTGACTTTGGAATGTTTGCAGAGGATGCGGTGTGCCTTATAGTCAGAGACTTGACGACGTTCTGCGCGAAGGAGGAGGCAGAAGAGGGGGCTGCAATATTTGCAACCAGCCTTATCGTGTGTATAGGCTCAATTGCAGCAGCGATTCAGCTGGGATTCACAGCGTACATAGACACGGTCATGCCGCTGCTTGTGCAGGCGGTTCGGTCTCCAAGCCTGCCGAGAGAGGCAAAGGCCACAGCTGTGTCGACATTTGCAGATATATCGCTGGCGGTTGGTATGGTTTTCGACAGGTACATGAAGCCGATAATGGCGATTTCCAGCAGCATCATCAAACTGAAGGACGAAGGAGGCGATAGCGGGTTTATTCTTACCCTTCGGGAGTCGCTGCTTGTTTTGCTCTCGTGCATTGTGCAGTCTTCGGACGGAAAGAGTGAGCAGGTGGCGCAGGAGATGGGAAATATTATGGAGATTGTAAAAACCATTGCCACAGAAACAAATGACTCAGCATGCGTGATCAAGTCTCTGTATCTGATATCTGATGCGTGGCTTCTCTACGGAACAGGAGAAAATCCGGAGGTTATGGCCGTTCTGGAGAGCTCCTGGATCTTCCAGTTTATTGGAGCAAAAGTGCACTCGGAAGTGCGGGAGGTGCGCGATGCGGCAACTGCCACACGGCTCCAAATAAGCTATGTTGACAAAAATTAGACCAATTAAATAAATATATCTTACACGATTCAGTGCATGCACCAGAAAAAAGGAAAAATGCGGCCTGCGCAGGCAGCGCCGTGCAAGAGCAGATAATAAAGTGTGCAATTTATTTTAAAAGTATTCAGTTCTGCGGCCTCTCAGTGTATTTTTTCAGCACGGAGATAGGCAGGGCGTATGCCTCGGGGTCTATTTTTTCGAGGTACTCCTTCTTGAAGGGCAGCACAACGCCTTCCACCACCTTTTCCCCCAAGTTGCACATGCAATATATTGCGCCATAGTGCGACTCGGGCGTCTTGTTAGAGTCCGCCCACGTCTTCAGCAGCGTATTAAGAACCCGCGGCGCCAGCGTGGTGTAGGACAGAGAGTAGACGTCGTAAATGTGCTTTATCGTGGCAGAGGCCCTTCTCCGGGCAACCAGCCGGGGGGAGTCCTCCCCGCAGGCGTCCTTTTCCTTTCCGTCCATCCCTATGCTTTTTCCAACAACGCAAGTAAGCAAGGAGGGCAGCATCTGGTGCATGTATGGTTCTATAAATATCAGCTTGTTCATAATAAGGCTCTCATACACCGTTATGATGCTCACTAGGTACTCCCCATTTCGGAGGTTTTTGAGGATCTCCTCGTTGAAGAAGTGCACGAAGTAGGGAATCAGCTGCTGTATTCCGCTCTCGTTCTTGAGGCACTCTGCAGCCACAGAAACTGTTTCTTTCTCTTTTATAAAACTCACTATCTTTTCATAGTACAGCTGCAGCTCCTTTGACAGAAGATGCTTCATGTGGTTTCGTATTTCGATGTCTTCCTTCATGGCAGCCAAAGTGTCTTCTTTTTTTGTCTCCGGCATCTTTTCCATGGGAAGCGGGTTTTGCGGTATCTGCGGCTGGACGCCCTCTATCGCCAGCCAGTGCTTGGATATGACGGGCTTGTTTGGTATCTTGGGCAGAGGAGAGTTCAGTATCCCCTCCAGGTCCAGATCTTCGTCCGGCACGTAGTAAAGATTTGACCCGGGAATTGTCTTAAACATGAGCGAGTTGCTGGTGTTGTATCCCAGCAGCGGATTCACCTCTTTGGAGAGAAGCGCATAGTTTACATCTTCAATGGACAGCTTAGATCTTTTTGAAGCCAGCATAAATTTGGCGGCCTCCTGTGCGAGCTCCTTCAGGCGGTATTCCAGATCTTGTGCAAGAATCTTCAAGTCTTCATCTTCTATTTCTGGAATGCCCTTTGACTGCGCGTACGCCTTAAGTGTGTCAATTGAGAAGAGCATTGCGAAATAAAAAAACAAAAAGAAGAAAAACCCGAGCAAGCTCCAGAGCCGAGCACCTCCACATACGCTGCAGAAAGTGCCCGCTTCCTTTCCGGCCGGGAAGAACACAGGGCCAAAGAAGCACAGGCATGCACAGCTCCCGAAACTCCGAGTAGTTTCTCTATAGTTTATTTGCTACAAACGCATCGTTTATCACATTCTACTCTTTCTTGGCGCTGGCCACTCTAAACCCAAATATTCTGGGGTTATACTCGATGTTTTCTCTTCTCTTGGGGAAAAGATTTCTGTACATAAGAATAAACAAATGAGGAAATGTAGGGCCAAAGGCACATCCGTCTATTTTGCCCAGCTCATTTGTAGGCTCGTATATCTGCTTGCACTGGTCGCAAAACAGCTTCGCTGTTGACCTGTTTGGCTTTTCGTTCAGGCCTATTGGGATGAAGGGAAACCCGTTGCAAAACACCCTTTTGCACTTTCCAAACACCCCGCTGGATATGATACTGTGCATGGCTTCCAGCCCTTTTTTGGAAACTATGTATCTCTGGTGTATCATGTAGTACAGCGAAACAGTCAGCTCGTGCGAGTGCGGCTCGTACTCCTCCCCTCTCAGCACCCGAATAAGCTTGTCGTACCCTTTGATATGCTCTGATAGCCCGAACAGGTTGAACGGGTCGTCAATAAACGGCTGATCCACTCGAACTATAAGAGAATCTGCAAACCCGTGAACAAATCTGTCGACCCAGTCCAATGATGAACTGCTTGTTTCGTACTCTTCAGATGAGCTAATAAGCATAAAAGCAAGAAAATTAGCGCACAAAAAAATTAAATATTTACGCATGCCACTGCAAATATGCACTCACGCGTTCTAATGCGCTTTGTGCTGCCTGTCATATGCAGATCTTGTTCTTTCTGTTTTCTTATTTATTTGAAGCGAGACACGCATGCCCAGCAATAAATAGACTTTTTGCCAATGCAAAAAATGCAAGAGCACACAAATTTGCACCTGGCCTTCTATAATAGGCCTTGTGCACAATTTTCAGGGCAAATTTCTGCTGGAGTCTGGGCTGAGCCTCTGGCAGGCATGCTTTATTCTGCAGAGGGCGTGCACTGTTGCGCGCGAAAAGGCGTTTTAGGCGTGCTTTGGGCAACTTATTCTGGATGCGGGAAATCTGATTTTTCCAAGTTGTAGGGGCCAGCCAAAGACGGGAAGCATTTCCCCGAAGCCTTTCCCAGAAAATGGGCTGGCTGCAAGGTTGAAGTTGTTCCCAGCATGGCGTGGCTTTAGGTGTTGCACAGGCAAAGTGCAGCCCGCTAAGAAAGCCCCGGCCAGAAGAGGGCAGCAATGCTTGCTCCAGACACAGAAACAAGCACTCATTTGGGCGTGCCGCATGCAGAGCGCCTACTCTAGGCCGTACGAGTACACTTTCCATCGGATATACGCCGTGATGATCCATATGAGAAAGAAGCTGTTTATTGCCAGAAGCTTGTCCAGTATTAGGGGGAGAACAGCGCTTTTGTTGAAGCCCTCCTGGGTTGCCAGTGCCATTTTCTTTTTGCGCGTTTATTTTGCAGAGTAAATATAGAGGGAACTTATATATTCGAGAGATGCCTCTCGCGCGCTCTGAAAAGTGCCCATGCCTGACAAGCTGGGGGTTTGCAGCATGGATTTGCAAAAGAAGACAGAACTGCACACTAAAGCCTGGCTGCACATATTATGTGCCTCTAGGCGCACAGCAGGCTGGTTTTGGCCTAGAGTCCTTGGCTGGTTTTTTTGCATTTATTCAGGCGCTTTCAAACCCTGGCGGGGAATATGCCTGAAATAGGGATGCGCCTTATAGGACTGGGCGCAGGGAGATAAACTGCGCACTATCTTGGGAGGAAATTGGAAAAGGTATTGAAAAAGCAGCATTCGCATTCAGTTGTTGCCAATGAAATACTGTTGTATAGAGGGAGCCAATACGCCAAAAAATCGGCTCAGGTTTTGCTTGGACTGAGGACATCAAATAGAAAAGCACCGCATGTCGGCCGCAGTGATGCAGTTCTTGTAGTGTGCTTGTGCTGTTTTCAGCAAGGAGTGTCTGCAGTGGCTCGGATATCCCAAAGTGTCTCCTCTTGTCTAAGCATATGTCCCTGCAGGTGGTGATGCTTAATCTAACAGTTTTTTAGATTTTTTATGCAAGAGAACACAGCGGCAGAAAAGTTAATAGCTGAAAATATGCGAAAAAGCGCAAGGTATGTGGCACGCTACACGCAAACAAGCATCCCGAAATTTGATACGAAGTGGATTATTTTAGTGGGGGTTATGCTCCTGATGGTGGCTGTTTATGTGATGACCTGCGTAATTTCAGCACGAGAGAAGACGGCGTATATAAATAGAGTGAACGCGAACGCAGAAATTCCTCTGCTAAGGGTGGAGAACGAGGACGGAGTGTGCATAGCTGCAACCACGGAAAGAGACAAAAAAACGTGGCAGAGAAGGCAAAAGCAAAGGTACAGCCAAAACAGGCGCTATATACAGATGGCGCAAGTCGGGATGTTACTTGGAGGCCTACTTTCAATGGGCGTGCTGGCCTTTTATTTTTTATCCCAAATGTGAAGATGCTTGCGCAGAGTGTGCAGGCAGTGCAGGAAAACCCAGACAGGTCTATACAAGAAAAAGCACGTGTCTGATAGAAAAGCCCCCCAGAGGAAATGCACGGATGGCACGCCTGCGCACTGGGTATTAATAAATCCGCATTTTTTTTATTTCATGGAGAGTGCATTGAGCGCAAATGTCCTTGCAGACTATTTTGAGTACAATGTGTACAACGGAATGTCCCCAAGGGAGGGATGGCTTCTGAACTACCACATGGAAAACAAGACGTGTGCAGAGAGTGGCCGGGTTATGACACACGGGATTATGTACTTTGTAGATAGCGAAAACAAAAACTTTCGGATAGAAGTTCCTTTCTCTTCCAGGCTTCTGGTAGAGGTGGGCGAGACCTCACTGACCAGTGTTGAAGAGTATCTAGTGGGAAAGTACCCAAACAGCATAAAGTCTGTGGATGTTGTGAAAAGAGTGGACTTGCAGAAGGACAACCATCTGGCAACGGATGGGTGCGAGTACCTGGAAGTTAGCATATACTCGGAGCAGGATGCGGCCCTTATTCGGAAGGAGTTGGAGGAGATTTCCCGGAGAAACAAAGCGCAGAAAAAAGAAAAGGCTGCAACGCTTCTTTTTGTAAAGGAGAAGAGGCAGTGCGTGGAAGCAGACCCGCAGGAGGCCATAGTTGGCGTGCACGAGTACGATATTTCAACAGTGGTGCAAATGTCCGTGGCGCTGGGCATAAATGCAGGGAGGTGGTACAGGATCGAGTGCAGCGGCGAGTACAAAATCACGGAAATGGAGAAGGTTATCCCCCCAGACTTGCGGATATTTTCGTTCGACATTGAAACCACAAAAGATCCGCTAAAGTTTCCGAGCGCGGACAAAGACCGAATAATGATGATATCCATTATGAGCACGGTGGAGGGATGGCTGCTGATAAACAGAGAGATAGTCAGCGAAGACATACAGCCTTTTGAGTTTCGGCCAACGGAAGACATTGGGGGAGACTTCGACATTTTCAACGAGAAAAACGAGCAGGACATGCTGAACAAGTTTATGGAGCTGCTGCACACGTACAAGCCGCACATAATAACCACATACAACGGAGACTTTTTTGACTGGCCGTTTGTTGAGGCGAGGCTGGCACACCACGGCATAAACTTGAATGTGTCGCTGGGGTTTAAAAACAACGGGAAGGACGAATACGTGTGCGATTACATCCTGCACATGGACTGCTACAAGTGGGTAAAGAGAGACAGCTATCTTCCTGCCGGCAGCCAGGGCCTGAAAAGCGTAACCAAAGCAAAGCTGGGATACCACCCGGATGAAATAGACCCGGAAAACATGGTTTTGTTTGCAGAGACAAAGCCCAAGCTGATGGCGTCATATTCCGTGTCGGACGCAATTGCCACGCACTTTCTTTATCTGAAGTACGTGCATCCTTTTATATTCTCGCTGGCGTCGCTTATTCCCTTACCGCCCGATGACGTGCTTAGAAAAGGGTCGGGAACACTTTGCGAGACCCTTCTCGTCAAAGAGGCGCGCGGGTGCTCTGTTCTGATACCCCCCAAGAAGAAGGCGCAGCTGCTCCACAACTACAACGGGCGGATGGCGGAGTCTCTTTCGTACGTGGGCGGGCACGTGGAGTGCCTGAAGTCGGGAATCTACCGGTCGGACTTTGAGTACGAGTTTTCCTTTGATAGGAAGGGCATCGAGAACATGGTGCGCAATGTAGAGACAATTGTAGACTTAGAGCTGAAGGGAAGGCCGTGCAAGAACAAGCAGGAGGTGGTGCAGAACATAGTTGAAAAGCTCGAGGGCCTTAAAGAGCTGGAAAAGGCAAAGCTAAAGCCGCACATATACCACCTGGATGTGGGCGCCATGTACCCGAATATCATCCTCACAAACCGGCTGCAGCCGTCAGCAATCACAAACGAGAAAAGATGCGGGCAGTGCGTGTACTTGGACCAGAGAAGCATATGCCAGAGAAAGCTGCAGTGGAAGGCGCGGGCAGAGGTGTACCCCGTGGACGAGAAAACAGTCGCAGTCCTCTCTAAGAGGGCGTCCGAGCGGTATTACCGGGAGAGAGCTGCCGCGCAGGCTGAGGGGAAGCCGAAGGAGAAGGGAAAGCGGGAGCAGTTTATAACGTACGAGCACTACCTGAGAGAAGGCCTCATAGAGTACGCCAGAAAGAACAGCAAAAAAACCAGAGAGGTCATCATTGAGGAAAAGCAGAGCATCACATGCCAAAGAGAAAACCCGTTCTACGTGAATGCAGTGCGCAAGTTCCGAGACAGAAGAAACGAGTACAAAAAGCTTGCAAAGGCGGCCAAGGCCCAGGCTAAGGCAGCCGAGAGCGAGCCCCACCATAGAAGCGGAGAGTCGCCTGCAGAGTGGGCCAAAAAGGCAGGGGTGTACGACTCGCTGCAAATTGCCCACAAGTGTGTGCTGAACTCTTTCTACGGATATGTAATGAAGAAGGGCGCAAGGTGGCACTCCATGGAGATGGCGGCGGTTGTTTGCCAAACCGGAAGCTCAATTATCCAGAAAACAAAAAAAGTCATAGACGCTTTTGGAATAACGCTGGAGCTGGACACCGACGGAATTTGGGCACTTTTGCCGGAAATGTTTCCGCTGAACTACACGCTGCAGACAGAGAGCGGCGAGGTCGGGTTCTCGTACATATGCTCTCTTCTGAACCACATGCTTTTGGAGGCATTCAGCAACGACCAGTACCAGGAGAAAGACAGCACGGGCAAGTATTTGGTCAGGTCTGAGAACTCCATACAGTTTGAAATAGACGGGCCCTACAGAGCCATGTTTTTGCCTGGGTCCACAAAAGAGGGAGAAAGCATCAAGAAGCGGTACATTGTCATAAACAACAAGGAGAAAATATCCGAGCTGAAGGGATTTGAGTTCAAGCGAAGGGGAGAGCTTATGTTCATCAAGGCGTTCCAGGAGGAAATGTTCAATATGATGCTGGCCGGGAAAACTCTTGAGGAGTGCTACAGCGCACTGGCTGGGTGCGCCGACTACTGGATAGACATCATCGAAACAAAGGCGGAGGCACTTGCACAGGACGAAATTTTCACGTACTTTGGTGAAACCCGAAACATGGCAAAAAGCGCGGAAGAGTACTCCGTTGCAAAGTCCACGTGTCTCACTGCTGCAGAAAGGCTTACCGAGCTTCTGGGGCAAAACGTGGTGGCAAAGGGGATGTCGTGCGCCTTCATCATCACAAAGTACCCAGAAAACGAGCCTGTAACGTCGCGGTCCGTGCCGCAGTCTGTTTTCTACGCGTCAAAGGAGCTGAAGGACAAATATCTGCGAAAGTGGCTGTGTCTTAGAACTGTGCCGGAGGACATCCGAGAAATCGTCGACTGGGGCTACTACTTGGAAAGACTCTCCAACATCATAGCGAGAATTATTATAGTGCCTGCTGTGCTGCAGGGGATAAGCAATCCTGTGAAGCGCATCCAGCCGCCGCAGTGGACTGTGAGCAGAAGAAAGATCATCGAGTTCCTCACAAAAACCACAGCGGAGGAAAAAGAAGCTGCAAGCCCGCAAATTCAGGCGCACGCCCAGCCAGACCAGGCCAAAAAGGAGTCTGCACCCGCGCCAAGAACGCCTGCAGCGCAGAAACTGCTGGAGTACTTGCAGGTGAAGAAGAAGGAGGCAGCCGCAGAAAAGGCAGACGCACAGAAGGAGGGAAAAGCACAAAGAGCGAAAAGAGAGAGCGAGTCTGCAGTATACGTCTCTCGGATTTCTGAGAGCGCCTTTACAGCAGTCTATTTATGCGACGGCAAGTTTGTTGAGCAGGAGAAAAAGATAAAGAAGATTTTCTATCTGCAAACCAGCGCGGAGCTTTTAGAAGCTATTTTGCGCACAAACCAGACTGCTGCAGCCTCTATGAAAACTGAAAGGGTGTTTAAGCACGCAGTTGGCGTTTCGGGGGAGAGAGAGTACGTGCGGATAGAAATAGACCCCGTGGAGTTTAAGTCCAAGTTCCACAAGTACACGGGGCTTTTTGAGAGCCCGGAAGTAAAAAGCATACACGAGCTCGACATCCCGCAGGAGATTCGCGTGCTGGAGGCAGCCCGGTTCAGAAAAGTTCCGGTGTATGTGGTGGCAGCGTGCACTGCCGAAGGAAAAAGCACGTACTCGCTGTTTTGCAGCTCGGAGTATGCGGGCGCGGAAGTGCCGGAAAAGTTTGGGCGAGACACTGAAGGCGTTCAGATCTTTGAGAATGATGCGTATGCGAGCCTGCTCAGTGAGCTGGAGATAAAGCCTGCTGGTGCTGTTTTCTTCACAAAGTCGCTTCCTGGGGGCCCGCTGAAAACAAAGCATCTCCACATTCCGCTGGACGTTCCCTCCGTGAAAACCATCCAGGGAAAAGAAGTGGCCAAGGGCCTGCTTTTGGACACGCTTTGCAGGGCGTCAAAGGCTGCGCAGAGCCTGGTGGATATAGCAGAGTACTCTAACACGCCAATACTCCCGGGGGACCTTGCGCAGGGCAGTTTGGTTTTGGACTACCTTCACTACAAAGAAAGAAGCGCAAAGAACATCATAGGATGGAACGACTCGCAGAGTGCAGCCCGCGCCCACTACACGCTGGGCACAGACGACGAAAATCCGTTCAAAAAAGAGTTCTACAAGGAGGGCGTGTACGAGGGCATTTCTGTGGGCGTCTCTCTGTCTGGCACAGTTTTGCTGAGCATTATTGAGGCAGACACGCTCACAAAAGAAGAAAGATCGTCTTTCAAGCAGGGCGTGGAAATGGAGGCGTTGCAGGCGCTTGCGAAGAGCGTGGTGTACGGGTGCATCAAAAAGCAGAAGGGCGCGCTCGAGCTCGCAAACAGGTTCCCCTTTTGGATTAGATCATCAGCAAAAAGCACAACAATAACCGAGGCTGTTTCCGCCAGGGTGGGTCTTCTGCAGATTAAGTTTGTCTCTGGCGTGGTGGCAGCCATAAACCGGGCGGGCAGCGATGTTGTTCTTGCAGACTGCGAAGACCTTATTGTTTACACAGGGCAGGCAACCCAGCAAATGGCACAGGTGCAGATGGACAGCGTGGTTTCTGTGGTGGGGGCGCTGGCATACGGGTCTCTGCTGCGAATCCACTTTTCGCAGTGGTACAGAAGAATACTAATAATAGATCAAGCAAATTACCATAAAAAGTACCTGTCTGGCAAGGTACAGTACGAGTTTATGCATCCTATACCTGCAGGAGTCATAGACTCGCTTCTGAGCAACGACGACCTTTCGGCGCTCGAGTGCATTAAAGACGCGTACATGAAAGAGAGCCAAAGCGGGGTTTTGCTTGCTAGGCTGCTTATTAAGATACACGGGCTAAAGTACAGGGAGCCGCACTTCTCTAGAAAGGCTTCTGCGATTGTGCATCTCAGCCCCTTCTCGGAGGAGCTTTCCCGGGAGTTTGGCGAGTTTGTTACTCTGTCCATGGAATGCGCGTGCTCGGCAACAACCGCCATGCACTCTTCGCTGGTAAAGCCTTTGAGCTTCGCGGAGACAGAGCATATCTTTGCCTGCTTGATACAAAACAGCCAGAAAATCGCGCACAAGTGCCGAAAGTGCTTCGCTCCGTTCTCGCGCGCAGTGATGGAGGCGCGCCTCATACAGGAAATGTACAGGGTTGCAAAAAGAGTGATAAAAATGGAAAGAAAATGTAGCAGATGCAAAAAGCCTTGCTCTGGCATGATCGAGAAAAGGTGTGCGTGCGGCGGACAGTTTGAAAGGAACGTGAAAAAAGACTTCCAGGGCGCGGTGAGCTGCATTACGTCCCTGTGCCTAATTGTCCCCACTGCGTCAGTAATAATATACGCCAAGGAAATGGTGAACCATCTGCTGGTGTGCAATGAATAAAGACTATGCTCTAAACACTTTTCCGATGTAGCCAGCAAGACACGGTCTTTCCTGCTGGCTTTTCTGCTGGGCCGTCTCCATCTCTTTCCGCCGCATCTTTTCTCTCTGCCGGCCTCTGGCACCAGCTGCAACTGTGCTCTCTGTCATGCACAGGCTTTGTTTCGCCCTTTGTGCATGTGACTGTAGGATGCCTTCTAACTACGTTAGAGTAATCCAAATATTTATTGTTTGTACATAGCAAAAAAATATTAAGCTATGCAAGCCCTCAATATTCGGGCTTTTCTGTTGCTGGCAAACAATTTGCAGCTGTATAATTGTGGTCAAGCAAGGGCCGGAGCTACTTCAGTCCATGGAATTGCAGCATCTGCAATTCACATCCCATGCCCAAGCCTGAATTAGGCGTTGGGTCTCTGAGTCCCCACTCACTAGCGCTTGTATAGCGGGTGCGACTTGATGAGCTCGCTGAACTCTTTGCTTTGGAGCTTCGCTGCTAAGATCTTCAGAATTTCATAGCTTGTTTCTAGCGGCGCATGCAGCCCTGTACCTCTGTTCATGATCTTAAACAGCCCTTTCTTTGTCAGGACAACGTTTTTGTACTCGAGAGAGTACTTTCCTAGCTGTAGGGTCTGGAATTCATCAGAAACACTCCTGGAGGATCTGCCAAGCGTTTCTTCTTCGAGAATAACTCCCCCGTGCTCCAGCGCCTTCTTCTGCAGCAAGGCGTCCAGCTCCTGGTGCATGCTTGCATTTGAGCTGTTGTAGTACCTCTTGTACACGAAAAAAATCATTAGCAAATACCCCACCAAGAATGCAAGTCCAATCACAAAATAGGCGATCACACCCCACATGTACTTTCTCGACTTGGTATTATCTCCCCGAATTCTCATTCTATTCATAGGCCTAGGCCCTATGTAAATGGTCCTGGACGAGTACACCCCTTCGTCGCTGGCCTCTTCTTCCTCCTTCAGGCAGCTGTCTTCGACCCTGTTAAAGTCCTGCAGGCTGATATATCTCTTGCGGTGCCTTCTTACATAAAAATCATAACCAAACTTTCCCAGGATGAGCAAAACCGGAAACAATACTATAAGCCCCAGAAGAGAAAGAAGCTCCAGATTTTTAGGCTGCATGCTAAAATTATCTGCCATGGCGAATCTTCCATCCGCCATTCCTTCCATATATGCGTTTATGTACTCTTGGGTGTCCATGTAAATTTAAATTGCTAAAAATAAAAGACATATAAAATCGGTTTTTCAGGGCCTTTTCTGCAGTTTTCAGCCAGGGTTTTTCAGGGTCTTTTAGTTAAAGCATGCAAAAAAACTCTTTTCCTGTTTATTTTTAGCCTATGCAGCTAGCCAGCCTCAGCAGCAAAAATGCACTAATTAGGCCTGTCTGTTTGGCATGCGGCCGTTTTTCTTCTGTGTTACAGCATTTCTTCATGGGCTTTCACTGTTTTTACTACATCATACATGGAAATGTATTTTCTAGAGCGGCCAAAGTTCATCATGCGAAGGGCCGACTTTCCGAACGTTTTTTCAACCAGGGCCTGCATAGGAGAGTGTGCGCACCCAGACTTTGTGCAAATTCCCTTCAGTTTTTCTTGAAAGTCTTCGACTTTTTTCTCCTTCTGCTCCATGCGCATAAGAAGAGCGTGCCCCATTGTGTCGAAATACTCGTATGCCTCTTTCTCGGCAGAAGCCTTCTGGGGGCTTGTCCACTTCATATAGCTTGCAAACTCTTTGGAAATGCCCATAACAGAGGCGTGCGCGTGCCTTACGTTGAAGTATGCAAACATGCTTCTTCTTCCAATGTAGTCGGATATTTTCCGGACGTGCTCGTGGTCTATTGTGTATGGTATTTCAGCCATAAGATACGGGTGTTTGGGGTCTATCTTTCTGTAGTCTCCGTTTGCGTACAGGCACACTTTTCTGGCTCTGTCCCCGTATGTGGACACCAGATGGGCAGCTACGTCTTGCGGAAGCCCAAACTCCTTCTCAATTTCAGTTGAGAGGTTTCGGGTGTACCCGTGGCTGCCTATGACGCGAACGTACTTTGTGACACACTCTCTCCCCGGCAAGGAAAATATTTTTGCAGCTTCAGTGACGGTTTCCTCCGCCATTTCTCTGTAGCTTGTCCACTTTCCGCCTGCTATTGTGACCAGGCCGGACTCAGACTGCTCGATTAGGTGCGACCTCACAATGCATGTGCTGTCCTTCCCTGCAGACGGGTCCATGGCGAGAGGCCGGATGCCTCCCCACGCGCTTAGAATATTTTTTGCCTTTGGAACAAGGCTTCTGTCCACAAACTCGCCCATTTCCCCGACAAGATACTTTACATCGGACTCTGTTGCAAGAGGCGTCTTAAGACCCCGCACTGAACTGTCCGTGGTCCCCAGAATGGAAAACCCATGCCACGGGATTAGAAACAGCACGCTCCCGTTTTTTGTGTTTGGGTTCAGCATTCCAAACTTGCCGGTGTAGCTTTTGGGCACCACCAAGTGTATTCCAGCACTGGGCGCTATAATCCGTTTTGCCTGCGGGTTGTCCAGCAGCCTGATGCCGTCGCTGTACGGGCCAGTCGCATTTATGACCCCTGAGCACCGGACTGCATGCACTTTTCCGGTTTCTCTGTCCTTGAAGGAGAGGCCAACTATTTTTCCGTTTTCTTTCGTAAGCTCTGCAACTTCTGCATAGTTTAGGGCATGCCCGCCATAGTACACGCCGGTCTCTACCAGCATGGTGTTAACTCTTGAGTCGTCCATTTGCCCGTCAAAGTACACCATCCCGCCCGCTATCTTTCTGTAGTCAATTGCGGGGACTGCCCTTTTCACCTGGTTTTTGTTTATGAAGTAGCTTTTCTGTATGCCCAGCCCCCCAGACAGCCAGTCGTACACTTTTGTGCCCAGCCAAAAGTACGGAACTGTGACTTTGTGCCGAATTGGCAGAAGTATGCCAACTTCTCTGGTCAGATATGGGGCCAGGTTCAAAAAAGACCTTCTTTCTCGCAGGCCTTCCACCACCAAGGAAAGCTGTCTGTAGTCCAGCTCTTTAATCGCTTTTTCCAAGTATCTAATCCCGCCGTGGATTAGCTTGGTGCTTTTTGAGCTGGTTCCGCTCGAGAAGTCTCCTCTTTCCAGCAGCAGGACAGAATACCCACGGGTTGCTGCGTCCAGCAGGCACCCAGCACCGGCACTGCCTCCGCCTATTATGACCATGTCGTACTTCTGCTCTTGGGCTTTCTTTATGGTTTCGCCCCTGCTTTCAGGCATCCAGCTAAGCGGGACCTTTTTGTTGTATTTCCGGATGTATTTCCTCTCGTCTTCTTTTTTCAAAATCTGCTGTGCAACAACAGCGCCTGTGAGGGCAGTAAGACAGAGTCCTCGTATAAGTGACATTTGTTTGCAATTTGAGGAAACAAAAAGTTTAAAACCTTCATTGGCCATTTAATTACGCTGCAAATAGAAGAAATGGGCGCATATGCCAAAAAAACAGCGCATATGGCACGCCCAAATGAAAGAAAGCGTGCATTATTGATTTGGCTTTATTAAAATATTTATGCTTTTCTGTGCTGCGCTCGCCTGCGTATTTACACTGAATATTTTGCGTGCACTCCTATAAAACCTACTTCACTTTCTTTGCCTTCTGCTCGGCCTTCTTCACCGCCTTCTTCGCGGCCTTCGCCTCTTTCTTGCCGGCCACTGCCTTCTTGCTTGGCGCAATGTCTCGAATGTCTTTTTCTACCCGGCCCTTCTTAATGAACTCCAGCGCCATTCTAACGATGAGCACGGACCAGTATGCGTTCAGCACGAACACTGCCAGAAGCAGCCCCCAAATAGGGACGAGCAGCTTACTTCCAAACTCCCAGAGGAATCCGTATCCCGGTATCAGAATCATCACCAAGTACACAAAGATGCGAGGAATGATAAACATGAACGCAAATATAATGAACATGATGTTTCCAAGCGTTTGGTGGCCTAAATACACAGCTATTTTGGCCGAGTCCATCCAGGGATCTGAAATGTCGTGCAGGAACATAATAAACACTCCATAGCGAAGGAAGTTGTACCTGTACGAAAACCCGACCAGAACCAGCGTGGCAAAGTGGTGCCAAATCATCAGATAAAAGTCAGACTGTTTTTCCTCCAGGAACATTGTGATGAAGCTCCCTGTGTAATAGACAGTTTCGATTACATAGTATATGTTGACCTTGGAGGGCGTCTCGTTGTTGGGCCACTCCAGAGTTATTCCCAGGGGCGTGAGCATCCACGACTCTCCATACAGACAGATGGCGCCGCACAGGCTCAGCCCTCCAAAGCAAAACGCCTTCCACAGGGCCCGAGTGAACTTTCTTTCGTCTACCTTCTTGGGGTCTTTTGCAACCCGCTTTATCAGCTGCGCAGCCAGCACTTGCTTGACTATGTAGTGCAGCACAAAGTACACGACAACCCCACACCCGTATATTATGACGTCCTCGGGCAGTCTAATCGCTGGGTCCAAAGACCTATTCTTCCATTCTGGGCGCATGCTTTGCTCTTTGGCGCAGTATAAGACCCACAACCCGAAACGTGTTTCACATTTTATTTTTATGCTCAAGAAAAGACAGGAGGGAATAGCCTGCTTGGAGGACATTCTGACGCTAACAGAGGAAATTCTGGCACTTTCTAAAATCACAGTTGACGATAGGGAAAAAGATATCCACCGAGAAGTGCGAGAAGCCTTCCAAATAAAAACCAAAACGGAGCTGCTGATTCTCTCAATATCTACGCTGTACAACACAATCATAGACGTTGAGTCGTATAGAGAGTGCAGCAGACTCTGGAAAGAGTCGCAGGAGATATCTCCAAAGATACTGCAGCAGCAGAAAAATCGAGACATGCTCCGGCAGTATCTGGAAAACATGAACATGGGGAATAAATAATCCGAGTTTACTCTGTGTATGCCCTCCCTTTCGCGCACATGCCTGCATGCTCGCCAGGCTTTTCCTGTGTCTTTGGGTGTTTAAGAAAAAGCAGTGTATGCTTTGCCCTTGCTTGCCACTAATCTTCTATTCGGGTGCATGCGCGCTCCTGGTGTTGAATAAAATCCGTATACTTTTTGTGCAAATGTGTACATTTTAAAATTTAGACTTCAATTTTCACGGGGAAGTGCAGAGCACACGCGGAAAGCCGGGAGTTGCCCAAAAAGTGACGTATGCACCCGCCCTGCATATTCCACCAGGGGATCCTGCCCGAAGGACAGGCTGCATGTCCTGAACGAAAGACTCTGCCGCATGCAAACGCAGCAGCCAATCCAGCGCGTGCCAAAAGCCCATAGAAAGCCAAATCACATAGACATCCCTTTATTACAAGCAATTAGAAGAAGTAATTAGCAAAAAACTGCCACTCTAAGCTAGACATTTTCAGACTTACAGCGCACACACGCCATTTCCGAGGCGCAGTGCGGCCCAGACGCTGCCCCTTTTTCGGAGGCCAGGGAGCTCCAACCGCAGGATTTCCTGCAATTCCGCAAGAAGTGCAAAGTGTCCTGCCAGAGCGCACTAAAGAGCACTTGCATGCAGATGTATCTTGCTTTATTTAATATACCTATAGCATAGCATACTTCTGTGTCCACTCCCGGGCTATTCTCATGTACTCAGCCCGGTTTTCTATATAAAGCTTTGCAATATTTGTGTCCAAAGGATCCGACGGATTCGGATCTGCCAGCAAAGAAGTTATTGAAAGAAGGACCTTTGATATAGTCAGCGCCGAAGACCACTCTTTCCCTATGATGTCCAGGCAGATATACGTGTCTTTTATGTTGCAGTGAAATATCTTCGTGCACACCCGGACCTTGGGGGGTGCGTACGGGTAGTTCAGCGGAAACACAATATCAAACTCAAAAGAGCCTCCTTCGTACGGAGTCCCCTCTGGCCCAAAGATAGTGGCTTTCCAAGAGAGTAGATTATCAGAGTCCACAGGCCCTGCACTAAAGCAAGCACTTGTGTCGTTGCTCATTTCTGCCAGGTCATTTAGTATCCTTCTAATATGCTGGCCACTTTCTTTGTACTTCATTGTGTTTTATAAATATTTTCACTTTACTAATACTCTGAAACAGAGTATTTTTTTATGAAACATGCAAAACACTCGTTTGCTCAGACAACGCCTGCGCTGCCGTATGAGTATAAGCTCAGGCGGTACAAACCCAGAAAAATCAGAAAAGAAGAAGTCAAGGAGGTCGATGAAATAGAGAAATTTGCAAGTTGCACTGCAGGAAGAAAGCAGGACGACAAAGAGACCATGCACTCGCACAGCGTGGCGTTTCGGAGGCACATACGAAGGAAGGATCTGGAATTGAAGATAAAGAAAACCGCTTTGGAGGCAGACGGAGTAAAAGAGCCGCCTGCCCCTTGCCACTTTGAGGTTGTGCCTGTTAAGGAGACCTCCGAAGACACGGTGTATACATTTGATGTTGTCCCCTGGGAGAAGAACATTGACAACATAAAGGAGGACAGAGAGGCAGAGGGCAAGCTCCTGCTGGACCACAACTACGACATCATGCAGTGGGAGCAGAGAGTGATATACGACGACTCAACAGTGAACATGCAGAAGCTGGACACGCATTTGGTAATCGATGCGAACGACCGGAATCTTCTTTTCGACATAGTGGACAAGGAGGTTTCAAAAGAGAAAAAACCCAAAAAGAAAAGACACCATTTGAGGCTGCTTGCAGGGAAGTACAACATATCCGGGGACAAGAACTACATAGAATCAAACGAGACGCTTAAAAGCGCGCTGGGAATACAGGGCGTGCAGCACTCAATACCGGCCCTGAAGCTGGCACCAGAGCTGTACAAGACGTACCTGAGCAAGGAGGAGCTGAGGTTCTTCCACAGGCCGCCGCTGCACATGGCCCCGGGAACAGAGATCAAGTTCGTTCCTTTGATAGAAAGCGTTGCCAAGCCGTCTTCCATTCTCAAGAAGAAGAAAGAGCTGACGCTCCGGGACACTGCCGACTTTGTGCTTCTTGAATACTCGGAGGAAATTCCTCCGTTGATCATCAAGACGGGAATGGCCAGCATTATAACCACGTTCTACCGGAAAAGCACGTCCAAGGACACGCCAACGCACGAGCCTGATGTGGGAGGAATGACTGTTTTAGAGCCCAAGGATCCGTCTCCGTTTTTATTCATAGGAGACGTCCAGCCGGGGGAGAGCATATCCGGAATCGTGAACAACTTGTACAAGGCGCCTATTGTGTTCCACAAGAGCAAGGACCTGGTGGCTATCCGGACAAAGGGAGAGAAGCCGGCGTATTACATCCGGCCAATCGACAGTGTCGGGTGCGTGGGGCAGACGCTTCCTTTGGACGAAGCCTTCAGCCCGCACTCGAGAAGGCACAACGTGTTTTGCAAAAACAGAATGAAAGTGGCTGCGTACAGGCTTTTCTATGAGAAGGGAAACAAAGAGAGAAAAATGTTTATATACCAGCTGGACGAGATGTTCCCGCACTTCAGCGAGGGAAGCAAGAGGAAGTGGCTGAAAGAGTACTCTGAGTGCATAAAGAAGGGAAAGGACAACTTGTGGGTTTTGAAGCCGTCTGCGTCCCTTCTGAGCGAGGAGGATCTGCGGAGGCTTGTGACGCCGGAAAAGGTCTGCCAGTACGAGAGCATGCTGGCGGAGGAGAGACGGCTGAAGGACGCAGGAATTGTGCTGGCGTCGGCGGAGGAGGAGGCCGGAGAAGAGGAAGAGCTGAAGCAGACTGTGTGGAACTGCACCAGAAACTTCGTGAATGCAACCGCTGGAAAGGGGATTCTGGAGATTTCGGGGTCAGGCGACCCCACGGGAATAGGCGAAGGCTTCAGCTTCGTAAGAGCCAAGAGAAAGGAAAAGGAGACAGAAGACGAGGGCGAGAAAAAAACCACGGTGGAGCAGATGCAGGGATACAAGGACGAAATAAAGAAGATCTGGGACATGCAGATGCACGCGCTTAGAAACACCAACCCCCCCGAGCCCCCAGCGTACGAGAAGGTGGAGCACGTGGAGAAGGTCAAGAAAGTCGTTCCCGAGGCAAAGCCGTATAAGATACTGACAATCACAAGAACTGTTGTAAGGGGGGAGAAAAAGACGCAGGAGACCGAGGTAGTCACGGACTCGCGGATTATTGAGGCATACATGAAAGCCAGGAAGAAGCAGTCAAAAGAGGACACGCGGACTTCTCTGCGGTGCGGGTCTTGCGGGCAGATAGGGCACATGAAAACAAACAAGTCGTGCAAGAACTACCAAGGAAAGCCTGCAGAGAAAAAAGAAAAGAGAAAAAGCCCGCGGCTGCTTCTGAGCGAGATTATACAGGGCGTTTTAAAGGAGCTTTTTGCTGTTCCCTTTTCCATAGCCTTCCACCGGCCGGTCTCTCTGAAGAAGTTCCCGAATTACTTGAGCTTCATTCCAAATCCAATTGATTTGTCCACAATGAAGACAAAGGCAAGATCCGGCGACTACAGAACGTACAGCGCATTTATTAAAGACATGCAGCTTATGAACAGCAACTGCAGTACGTACAACGGGCCCGGACATTCTCTGACTAAAATATCGGAGGAAATGCTGGAAATAGCGACAGCTGCGTACAGCAAGAACCAGGAGGCAATTGAAGCGCTGGAAAAGACGAGTGAATGAATAAACAGCAGATTTGTGTAATTCGTGTGAGGGCCTGGGGATGCCAGCTACTCTTTTTACAGCACAGCCTTGCCTTTCTCACGCACTGGGCAGGCAACTGCTTGTGCTGCCCAGAGAGCCCGCATGGAGTTCGGGCAAAGCCACACGGGCGAATAATGGATAAAATTCAGCCTTCTGGCACGCCCAATGGGAAATTTAAGTAAAGTAAATTGAAGAGATCAGAAAAACACCAGATAGTGCTTTTTCAACTGATTTTTGCAGATAAATGGGCATAAATAGAAATGTTTTTGAAAATCCCATGGAAGAAAGCCAAAAAACAAAAATTATAGTAGATATGTCTCCACTCGATGAAAGTGCACTAAACAGATATATTTGCGATAGCTCATTTGCTTTTCCCATAGAAGAAATTTCAATTTCAACTTTTAATGTGCTTAAGAAGCATATAGAAGTGAGCATGCCCAGCGGAGTTGAAAAAAACCTTGAAAAAACCGTGCAAGAAATAGCAGAGGTGTGCATATACATAAATCTTCGCAGGGAGTGCCAAAAGTTCAGCAATACTCTTAAGAAAACGCATGCCAAGCGCAGGCTTAAGAATGCGTGGCAAGATTCAGAGTATAGAAGGGATTTGTCTATGTATAGGGCGGAAGATAAGAACATTAAAGACCTGCTGAATCTGGTTAACTGGAAGAACAACCAATGTAATGAAAAGATGAACTCGCCCAGCCATAGCTCATACGAGGAGAAAGCCGAGTGCACAAAAAAAGCACAGGCGTTCAACGTCATATATAAGGCCATGAACGGCGCAGGCCAATTTTTCAACCGCAAGCACAAGGAAAGCATGGAGCACGTGGAGAAAATTACCAGCGAGGGGCATGCCATGGGGAAAGGCTGCAGAATTGCATATGCCGAGAACTTGGAGGAGGCGGGCGAGAGGCTGAAAAACACGCCCTCTGCAGAGAAGACTCTGATTCTTTTCAAAGACGACCTTCTAAAAGGTGTCCAGGATGCGCTAAATTCCGCATTTTTCTTCAAGGGATATGTCTCTGACGATGAGAGGGTAGAGTGCCTGGAAACGGTCGCATTCTCCATGAGAACGCGGATGCACTTTGAGGTTCATTACATGGCGGTGGGAGAAGAAAACGGGGCGGGTGCATCTCTTCCAACCACCAGCTCGTATCTGAGGTACCTGATCGAAGGGAAGCACATCACAAAAGTGCTGTACCAAGAGGTTCCGGAAGAGCACAGAGGCATGTGCATGCACACATACACTTCTATGATGCTATTTGAAAATATGCATCTGATTGTAAGCAAGACAAACCAGCTTTTTATAGATAAAAAGGGCAGTGCGGCTTCGATGTTTCCGCTTATAAACCAGAAGCTGCGGGAACTCAACATTGACCCGTATTTGGCACACCTTGCACTTTGTTGGGCAGATGGCAGACCCACCCAGCAGATGCAAAGGTGCTTTTCGTGCACCATAGAGCTTCCACTGTTCGCGGCATTCAATGCCATTATGAGCGAGTGTCACAAAAAGGGTCTGGTTTTCGAAAAGAAAAATACAGAGGCTTGCAAAAAAGACCCAGGCAGCCTCGAAAACTCCATCGAGGCAGGGTGGATTAACCCCATACAAAAAAACAAGGAAGTAGAGGAAAATGGCGTGGAGGATGATAGTTGCATGCCTCCGCAGCTAGAATGGTTTAAAAATATGCACAATGGCGTGGAGATGCACAGTGTGCTGGACATGCTGGTTGAAATTGCATTGTTTGAGAATTCCAGGGACCCCAAGGTGCAAGAAAAGAATACCGAGCTATCTAACAAGATAAAATGTATGCTCCAAAAGCGCGTTATGATATATGATATATATCCGATTGGTTTCAACGCGGGCACCAACCAAGTGCGCATAGGGCTGCGTTTCCAAATAGCACTTCCTGCAGGCATTATGTTGAATGTGTTTGTGGGTGAAAAGAGAGTGCAACTTTTGCAAAAAGGCAGCCACATTAATACATTCGGCCATACTTACTCAATTGGATGTCCGGACTTCATAAAAAGGTACATGTGGAATAGAAGCCACCGCTGCGCGCAGAAAGACGACTTCTCGCAGGAGAGAAATGCGCTAATTCAGCCAGAAGAAGAGAGCTTTTCCATAGAGTCTATGCCTATGCTCGGCCGCGATCAGACAGAAAGCACAGAAAAGGGGGAGAAAACTTCTAAAAAGTGGTATAGTGCATATGTATGCACAGGCATGCTATATATGCTGTTGGCCCAGTCTCTATACATTTGGGGCTTCAAAAAAGGCGTGTAGGAATTCGGGTTGTGCACAGAAGTGCATGCTATTGCGTCTTCACACACAAACTATGAATAAATGCGCTTTTTACAATTGTCTGAAATGCATTTACACACAGCCTCTGGCGCATGATAAAACCTCCAAATTAAAGGGCCCTGCTAGTGCGCTGTTCAGCTGCCAGACTCAAGGACAAATAAAGGCAAGCGCACACAATAGTACTTTCAGGCTTTCCGCTGGCATGCTACTGGAGAGCCGGGCTTCTATTGCATGAAGCAAACCTAAGCCTGCACTCCTGCTTTGCATCGATTTTTCCATGCTCGGTTATAATGAGGGGCAGAGAATTTTAATGTAGAAAAGACTATAAATTGATGCTTGGAAGCATGAGCAAGATAAAATTGATAAAAGAGTAGACATGAAATGGAATAATTTTTGCCACTTTATGCAAAACACCGAACTCAAAATAAAGGTTTCATTTAAATCTGAGCCCCTGCACAGAGAAACTCTAAAATGCAAACCAGCGATTTCGTACACATTTTCCCCCATGGAGATTTCTATGCTGCTATACCCGAAAATACAGAAGCACATCCACCTGGAGGTCGAAGGCCCTGCAAGCAGCTTTATGACCAAAAAAGAAAAGACATCTCTTCAAGAAATAGCCCAGGGGCTGATGTACGAGAACCTTTACAACATCTGCTACGAGTTCAGCAACAAGCTGAAGGAACAAATTGGCGAAGCTTCCTCAAACAGCCTGCAAAAACCCGGGAGCTCCAGCCCCATGTACATGCAGGACCTAGGAAGCTTCAACAAAATCATAGAAGGCATCGAGCTGTTGGAGTCCAACTACAGCAGCGAACTGTCTGCTATAGGCGCGGGGCCAGGCTTGGACTTAGCGGAGAATGCGAATGCCCACAGCGGCTTGGATGTGTCTGCAGATGGAGGCAGCAAGCCAAACAGCCTTACTATGGAGCAGCAGGAGCTGGCCTTCAAGATGGAAAAAACCCGCACAATGCTGGAGTATGTCAAAAAAGCGAGGGAGGACTACGTAAAAAATACGCACAAGAGCTGCATGGCTCAGAGGAAGAAGCACGAGGAAAAACTCGACTTTGAGAAGAGCATTGAAATTGTGTGGGTGCAAACGCAGTCAGAAGCAATTGCCCAGGGAAGCACCCCAAACACATTTTTTCTGTGCGAGGAAGAGCTCCTGCAGGACATACAGAGCAAAGTGTCTAGGCTATACCACACAGAGGTCAGGTCGATAAGGAGGGAAATAGAGAATATTCTGAAGTCTATGGCAAACTTGCTAAGCGAAAGAATCACACTCGAGCCTATAGGCATGGTCAACAGGTCGGAGACGCAGGGCGCATATTCGTCCAACCTGAGCCTGTTTTTAAGGTATCTGATAAGGGAGATGCACACGCCATGCCAGAAAGAAGACAAAGACAAAGCAGTTGCGAAAAACCCCACAGAGGCGCCGCCCACCATCTGTGCCATGAGTGCGCTGTTTGGAAGCATAGAGAAAATAGAAGAAAGGCTGGAAGAGCTTTTTTCCAAGCACCCGGACAACCCAGAAGAAGCATACCGCACAGTATGCGAGGAAATGCGCAAAATGGGAATAGATCCTGGCCTCGTATGCTCTGCGCTTGTCTACACCAAAAAGGCGTCCAGAATGTCAGAAGTTGAGTATGAGTTTATGTGCAAAGCTCTGTCTTTGGCCTCTAAAAGGCTCTTGAAGCAGAAAAAAGACGCCGCCCGGAGCGCACAGAGCGGGTTCGCATGGAATGTTCCGGTGCTGAGTGTGCTGAGCCCCCAGGACAAGGCCAGCGAGGAGAGGCCTGTTCCCGAGAAGGATGAAAGCGCGCCGAGTGCCGTGCATGTAATGCACGCGCTTTCTGAGGCACTAGGAGTTTTCTCCACTTTTTCAAAGAGCAGCGGGCAAGCCTCCAATGCGCATGCGATAATGGAAGTGCTGAAGAAAGCTGCGGATGAGAATCTCGTTGAGCTGATAGACTGTGCAGAAGACGAAGAAGGAAGGCTGCTCCCAAATAGCCAAACGCACATTCAGATGCTTCTTCCGAGCGGGTTCGTCCTGCAAGTGTCTCCTCTGCAGGGAGAAATAGAGCTAGTGAAAGGCCAGAACACACGCCCAGGCCTCGTCAGAAAAAGCAAGCCCTCGACTGAATTGGCACACTCAAGCATTCCCCGCTCAAATGCGTCACTTTTATCATCAGACTTCAAAAACGTGTCTTCACGTCAATCAAAGACCATTTTAAGTGATTTCAAAAAAATGAAAGTCTCATCTTGCGATTTTTTGTCTGCAGAAAAGCTAAACACTTTTAAAAGCAGCGAAAACATTACAATGCCTGAAAACATGAACACCCTGGAAAAACAACACAAAGGCCCAAGCCAAGTAATACTGAACATACAGGCTCTGGTTGTGTCTGCGCTTTCTGAATCTGAAGGGCCAGCTGTTGACAGCCTAAAAAGCGGAGAGCAAAGCACTGCGGGAATGGGCCTAGAAGTTTTGCGCTCAAGGGAAGTTGAAATAGAAGACTCGGCTGAAATTGCCTCATCCCCGAAAAAAGCAGAACTCTTAGAAGAAAAGCTAAATAGCGAAGCAGATGCATCGGTGGAGACGTACATACCCATGAAAGAGAGGAGTGCTATGGACGCACCAGAATTTAACGACCCTAAAGAAATAGGCAAGGACTTTCTGAAAACCAAAAGATTCTACATTAGCGAGGAGTCTTTGGTCGACAGTATATCAATAGAGGCTAGCACAGAAGAAGCCCAGGCTGATGCATCGAAAAAGGCAGTAGAGGCCATCCATAACAGCATAAAAAAAAGAGTATTCATAAAGAAAATGGCGTGCAGAGCGTTTCCGTATGTGTCTGCAGTTGCCATTTCAGTTTTAATAGTGGTCATGATAAAAAGATACGTAAACAGCTAGAGCACAGCAGGACTTATATCCAAGTCTTCTGTGTATGCTGCATTGCCGTTTATCCGCGCATAGGAAGCGACACCAGACCAACCAATAAACAGAACGCATGCATAATTTGTTCGCGGGGAGGCTTTGGGTGTGCATCCACAATGTGCTCTCTGCCGGAGGGCCAGGAGGTGTGCACCCTACGCCTTGACTTGATATTTTTGGAGTTGGCACGCCGCGAGAGAAAGGTGCATGCGATCGGTTCCTGGATAGTTTCGAGGTTATTCCGGCTATCTTGTGGCCTCCCAGGATCCAGCAGATGATCAAACAGGCAGATTTTCGGGCGTGGCTGAGCTTCTTGGCGGATTTTACACGAGCACCCTAGAGCGCAGTCGCATTCGAGTCTGTTTGTGTTTTGGCGTGCGCAGAAACGACAACCTACTTACAGAATCACTCTTTAAAGCAATAGAGATTCGATATTCCACAAGAGCAAAAAAATGTTTTTGGAGGCTATATGGAGTAAAGGCTGCGCGTTCGCAAGAACAAGTACTTTGCAAACCTGTAGAAAACCAACTATCCCTGGTTTGTCTTTGGCCCAGTGCGGGTGTGCGCATAGGCTTTACTCCGGGCGTCCTCTAGCGTGCTCGGAGCATCCTGCCGAAACTCCTGCGCGCATAGAAGACGGCTTTACGCAGAGCCGCACCACACAGCCATTGCAAAGACAAACCAACAAAGCCGTTCTATGCAACATTTTCGTGCCAAAAGCGCGCGTTCTGCACCCAAATAGCCAGAGCCCCTCCAAATACGCGCTCTCGGTTTTCAACGTATGCAGTATAGTGTAAGACATTTATTTAACTTCCGCAGCTGAGGCAGTCTCCGTCAATTGGACAGCTGGTTGGCGTTGGCGCTGCCTCCTTCTGGAGGTAATCCTGGGCCTGCTGCTTGTCTACCGTGAACTTAATCGCAGCCTGGGAAGGCTTTGTTCGCAGGTAGTAAGTTCCTGTCTTCAAGCCCTTCTTCCATCCGTAGAAGTGCATGCTTGTGAGCTGTGCAAACGTGGGTGTGGCTATGTGTATGTTCATAGACTGGCTCTGGTCAACATATGCTCCTCTGTCGGCGGCCTGATCAATAACTGCCTTCTGCTTGATTTCCCAAACAGTTTTGTAAAGCTGTTTTATGTTGTCAGGTATGCTTGGAATGCTCTGTATAGATCCCTCGTGCTCGATGATGATGTTTTTCATCTCGGGCCCCCACAGACCCAGGTCTGCCAGGTCCTTGACCAGATGCGAGTTTACGATCTGGAACTCCCCGGAAAGTGTTCTTCTCGTGTATATGTTGCTTGTGAATCCCTCAAAGCACTCGTTGAATCCCAGTATCTGCGAGGTTGAGGCGGTTGGCATCAAAGCCACAAGCAGGCTGTTTCTGACTCCGTGCGCGGCAATCTTCTCCTTAAGGCCCTTCCAGTCCCACATGTCAGACGGCTGCACGCCCCACATGTCGTACTGCAGAACTCCCTGGCTGACTGGGCTTCCCTGGTACGACTCGTACGGGCCAAACTCCTTAGCAAGCTCGTTAGACGCCTCAAGGGCTCCGAAGTATATGGTTTCGAAGATCTTTTTGTTCAGCTCTGCTGCCTCTGGGCTTTCAAACGGATACCCCATAAGTATGTATACGTCTGCGAGGCCCTGCACCCCCATTCCTATAGGCCTGTGCTTAAAGTTAGAGGTCTTTGCCTCTTCCAGCGGGTATCTGTTAACATCGATGGCCTTATTTAGGTTTCTGGTGATTGTTTTTGCGACCTCCTTAAGCTTTCCAAAGTTAAACACGCCCTTCTCCAGGTATGTTGGCAGGGCGAGAGAAGCGAGGTTGCAGACGGCGATTTCATTCTGGTCTGTGTACTCCACTATTTCTGCGCACAGGTTACTGCCCTTAATAGTCCCCAGGTTCTTCTGGTTGCTCTTCTTGTTGCAGCTGTCTTTGTACAGGATGTAGGGCACTCCTGTCTCAATCTCTGCTTCGAGAATGGCCTTCCAGAGCTTTCTTGCAGGCACAACCTTCTTCTCCATCTCCGGGTCGCTCTCGTACTTAGCGTAGAGCTCTTCAAACTCCTCCCCGTACACTTCGTGCAGGCCCTTCGCGATGTTTGGGCAGAAAAGCGACCACTGTCCGTCCTCCTCGACTCTCTTCATGAACAGGTCGGGCACCCACAAGCCCAAGAAAAGGTTCCTGGTTCGCATCTCCTCCTTCCCTGTGTTCTTTCTCAGGTCCAGGAAGTCAAACACGTCCATGTGCCACGGCTCCAAGTACACAACGATCGATCCTGGGCGCTTGTTTCCGCCCTGGTCAACGTACTTTGAAGTGGCGTCAAACACTCTCAGCATAGGCACTATTCCATTCGAGTGCCCAAACGTGCCCTTAATGTACGATCCGCTGGCCCTTATATTGTGGATGTTCACTCCGATTCCGCCTGCGCTCTTCGAAATCAGCGCGCACTGTTTGAGCGTGTTGTATATTCCCTCAATGGAGTCGCTCTGCATTGCCAGGAGGAAGCAGCTCGACAGCTGCGGGGCTCTGGTTCCGCTGTTAAACAGCGTGGGCGTGGCGTGTATAAAGTGCTTTGTTGACATAAGCTCGTACGTGTGTATGGCTGCGTCGATGTCCTCTCTGTGGATCCCCAGGCTCACACGCATCCACATGTACTGCGGCCTCTCCACTATAGCTCCGTTGGCTTTCAGAAGATAGGACCTCTTCAGAGTCTTAACTCCAAAGTATGAGAACTCAAAGTCTCTCTCGTTCACAATTGCAGCGTCCAGCCTATCGCCATGCTTTTCCAGGAGGGCCATGATCTCTGGCGATATCACTTCTGTCTTCACATCTGTCCCCGCAAGCACTGCGTTAAACAGAAGCTTCATTGCCTCTGAAAACTTTTTTGGCGTGCTTTTCTGGAGAAGGGATGCCTCTATTCTTCCCGCGAGCATAGAGTAGTGCGGATGATTGGTTGTCATATCAGCTGCTGTTTCCGCCACAAGTATCCCTAGCTCGTGCGTGGTCATGTCATCACATACCCCCATGGTAACCTTCTCAACCAGCTCGTTTATCTTAATGAATGTTGAATCTAATCCCGTTGCGAGTGCTTTTAAATAGTCCAATAGAACCTCTGGGTTGTATTCCACCCTGGCTCCGTTTTTCAATATTGTCCTTTCCCTTGACATTATAAGCTGGGGTAAAAATAAATTCACTTTCATAAATTCTGGTTATGAATTACGAGTGGTACGAGAGCAGAAGCACCGCCACTATACGAGTCTTCCTAAGTGAAGGCGAAACTCCACTATCCGTGAAGAAAGAAGGAGGCACGCTGGTAGTTGAAACCTCTTTGAGTGCGCACAGAATATCGATAGTCCACGCGTACGAAGTGGGTGCGCACAAAGCAAGCAGCAAAGTGCTTGAGATCATCCTGCAAAAGCCCGAGAGCAAGAAGTGGGGAAGCCTCCAGGAGACTCCGCATCTTTCCTTCGAGAGGGCGAAAGAGGTGAAGCCAGGTGCAGAAACCCTGTCAAACGACCCAATTCTGAACATGTTTATGGAGGTGTATGCAAATGCCCCGGAAAGCGTGAAGCAAGAAATGAACAAGTCATTCTACGAGTCGGGCGGAACAGAGCTGAGAACGCACAAGAAGGATGCAGACGCCCTTGAGAAGAAGCGCAAAAAGTAGTCGGCCAGGAAAGAGCACGAGCAGGCATTCGCGCAACTGCCACAAAACAAAGGGTGAAAGGGTATAAAATAAAGAATATGCTGTAATGTGATCCTGCATGCTTTTTCCAAGGAAATTTACTAAGTCCTAGCGCGCCTGCTGTGGATTGTGCGCGCTAAATACAGGCCAGCTTTGGCTTTCCTAGGCAGGGCGAGTGTCTATCCTGTGCTTGGTTCTGTAAGGGGGTCTATGCTGGCAATTACTATGTCTGTGTTCACTCTCGAGAGAATCGAAAAGTGCGGCTCAGACACGTTTTTAATCAGGCCGTTTGGGAGCCTGGGGATCAGGAAAACTATGCGCTTTATCATTGTAAGCAGCCTGGGGGTTACTGTGACTCTTTCTGACGGCGGTTTTGGGGAGTCCGTTATAACGGTCACAATGTCCGTTGAGTCAATAGTCGGCGACTCCGGGAATATGGAGGCAATGTGCCCGTCCTCGCCTATCCCCAGAAAGGCCAGATCCACCTTCGCGTTCTGGAGAAGCTCTTTGTACTCGCCAACCATTTCCTCGCGAGAGAGTGCTGTATTGTAGGGGTGCACAGTCCCAACGCCCTGCAGGAACCTTTCAGCGTCCTTGTAGTTGCTGAGAGGGTCTGCAAGCGGAACAAGACGCTCGTCTGCGAAGAAAACGGTCCACTCTTTCTTGTCCAGCTGGCTAATAGTGGCGCATTCCAGTATTCTGAGTATAGACCCTCCAGAAATCAAAAGGGTCAGGGGCTTTTCACTGTACACAAGGAGCTCCTTATACACCACTGTTTCTAGGTTGCTCACAGCTAGCTTTGTTTTCATAAATACAAGAACAAGTATTTTTTTTATGTCTGACACAAATACGATTAAAACTGATCCAGAAGGCACTTCTGTTGACCTAGCCCCAAACCAGCCTGCAGATGTTCCCCACCCGTGCATATCGTGCGGGGGTGCTGGCGTGCTTCGGCTGCTGATTGTTCCGGACATGTTTTTTTCGGACTCACTAATAAGCACATTTACGTGCTCCGAGTGCCCGTTCCGAAACAAGCAAATAGACGAAATGCATCTTTCTGAGAAGGGGGTCAGAATAAAGTGCAGGCTGAACAAGCCCGAAGACCTGCGAAGGTATCTGGTCGTGCCTTCTGGTGCGCGCGTGTCTATAGACGCGGGGGAAAGGGGGGTTTCATCCCAGCAGCCAGAAGACACTATTGTAACAGTGGAGTCTTTTATTAGAAACATTTTCGAGAAGCTCATATCCATGGGAAGCATGCCAGAAGACAAAATAACGGAAGAAGAGCTGGCAGGCCTGGAAGAGTATGCGGACATAGCAGCCTTCCTGCAGAAGTCCATGGACGACCTGGACGTAACTCTGAGCATTGAGGACCCGAAAGGCGCTGCGCGCGTAATGCCTGTGGGAAGAAACATGCAGACAACAACCAAAGGGCTCCCGCTGGAGTACTTCAGAGACGGGGTGGTTGAAATCGAGGAGTACGAAGTGAGCCGCAGCGCCCCAGAGGATGCTGGAAGCAGGAGCAGCCCGGAAGACCCAGAGCAGCCAGAAACAAGAACAGAGTGAGCATGTGCTGCAGCACGGCCCGGAAAGCAGTAGTATTAAGACCCAGCGCGGGAGCTTGCATTTTTGCCGTGCAGTTTTCGCGTTCTCCCATGAAACGGGCGCGGCAGATCTGGGCGTGGAAATAAAGCATTTAGAAGGCCGTGTTGAACACATCTTTGGAGTTTGGGCTTAGATTAGAACTCTTCGAATTTCCACCGACTGGGCATGTCTGTATATTCGCGGGGCGTGCCAATATTTTTTCAGACCGCGAATGAACGAAGGAGAAGACAAAAAAAGAAAAATATGCGAAAACGGGGTTACAATTGAGGGCGGCGCCTTCTACAATCCGGCACAGATGTTCAACCGGGCGCTTACCATAAAAATCATAAATCAGTTTATCCAGGAAGGGCAGCGGCCAGGCGTGGTGCTTCTGGAGTGCATGTCAGCAACTGGGCTCCGGGGAATCCGGTACGTAAAAGAAATATCCGGGGAAAACACAATTGTGATGAACGACATATCGGAAAGGGCCTGCGAAAGCATAGTGTCGAACTGCCTGCAGAATGGGGTGCCTGCAGAGCTCAATAGGGTGGTCTCGTCCGGGAGAAGCTCGGTTGAGGTGCGCAATGAAGACTGCAGAGTGCTTATGCTGAGCAGAAAGAGGGCGTTTGACGTGATAGACGTAGACCCGTTTGGAACGTGTGCGCCGTACATAGAGACGGCGATTGAGGGGCTTGCAGAGAACGGGCTCCTGTGCGTTACGTCCACAGACTCGAAGGTCCTTTGCGACAAGCCCCCCGAGTCGTGCTACAAGTACTACGGATCGGTCTCCATGAACAACTCGCACGCCCACGAGACGGCGGTGCGAATAGTCTTGTCGTACATATCGAGAACTGCGGCCAAGCTAGGGCGGCGCATAACTCCCCTGGTCAGCCTGTCCATGGACTTCTTCATTCGGGTCTTTGTTCAGGTGTCGTACGACAAAAAAGGCTCAACGGAAACCCTGCTGAAAAACCAGAACTACTTTATATGCGCATGCATGAACAAGAAGGAGCAGCCAATCCTGCAGAAAGAGCCGAATAGGGAGGTGTACAAGCACGTGAAGGCCCCTGCCTCCACCACGTGCAGGATGTGCCAGCGAACTTTCAGCATGTACGGGCCCATTTGGAGCGGGCCTCTTCACAGCAGAAAGTTCCTGGACGGAGTCATTGCCGGAATAGACCGTGCGGACATATCCAGCAAGACGGGCGGTGTCAAAGAAACAGCGTACACTGAGCCGCAAATCAACCGGAGGATACACGGAATGCTTTCCATGGCCAGGGACGAGCTAGACAGCGTGTTCTACTACTCGATTCCGACAGTCGCGTCAATACTCTCGTTTCCTGTGCCGCCGTTCCCCATGCTCATTTCATTCCTGCACGCAAACGGCCTTGCGGTCTCTCTAACGCACTGCAAGCCCAACGCCATAAAAGTCGACGGAGCAGTTGAGTACGTCTACCTCTCCGTGATTTTGTACTACAAGAACATTCGCCCAAGCGTATACGCAGTTTACGAGGACAGGCTGCAGGGAAGGCGCGCCGATGTAGAGAAGAACACGCACAATCTGATGGTGTATCTGGAAGAGTTTGCCCAGAAAAACAGCGTGCAGGAGGTTTTTGAGGTTGACGAAAAGGCTTCCGAGCTTACCTCCAAAAAGTACCTGAAATTCCAGGACAAGAGCGGGCTTGGGTGGGGGCCCATGAAAAGATGACGGGGAAAGAGCAGGCAATGCCCGCATAACCCGAATCCTCTCTGGACGAGGCCGGGGTTTTGCCATGCCCGGATTTGTGCCATAGAAAGACAGGGCGCACGCACAGTGCAGCAGGCCTTTAAAGCCCGCAGAAACTTTGTGCAGAGCCATGCGAAGAAATTGAATAAATCGGCAGAATAGAAAGAGCGCAGCGCATTCTGGATATGTTTGGGCGAGAGGTGCACAGGAAATGGCCGAATTCAAAGGGAAGTGTGCCAAGGCATTTAATAATGTTGTTTTTGGAAATTATTTTACACATATGCAGAAGAGAAGGTATAGAGAAGAGGTGCTGGAAAGAAGAAATCCGATAGAAGAGCGGCTCCCAACTCCAGAAAGGGCGTGCGAAATAGCCATAAAAAACGCACGTCTGCTGACAAAAGAGGAGCTGGAGCTCATAACCACCAAAATGCCGTACGGCGAGTACTTCAGAAGATACTATGAGGTGGCTCTCAAGGAGAAAATAGCGAAGGGGCTCTTTGATTGCATATGGTACTCAGAGAGAAGTATGTGGCTGCTAAAGTCGCACACAGACCGTTTCATGGAGTTTCGAGACTTCATGGCAAACACGCAGCAAAGCATTCGGCTGGACGCCTCAAACAAAGAGGTTCTTCTGCAGGGCGAGCTATTCGAGAAGTACAGGGCGGAGGAGGTTGATGCCTCCGCTGTCGTTGTGCTTAAGTGCCTGAGGGAGACCACTAGTGTCAAAGAGCTTATGCAGGGCATTGAGAGCGCAGTCCACGTGGACGAGTGGGAAATGGCGCAGTCGGAGGACCGAAACGAGTACAGGAGAACCGTCTACATGCGGGCCAGCGTGGGAGCGGATGAGCTTAAGGAGAAGATGGGGCCAGATGCACTCGCCAACGTGATTGTAACGCAGCGGTTTTTGCCCACTTCTATAAGCGGAAAGCCCGTCCGGGAGACAGGGCGGCAGTTCTCGGATAAGTACGTTATGGGCGAAACAGCGAGGCAGTGCAAGTCCATTCTCGGCCGAATGTCTGAGCTGTTCGGAGTTCCTGACGTGAGCACGACGGTTGCTTCGCTCGAGGCGAGGGTTTCCCCGCACGAGGTTGGCGACTTGTACGTGCTGGCGCTCAGGAAAATATTCAACTTCTGCTACTACTGCGGGCTGAAGTACGACTGCCCCTATGAGATGGTCCTTAAGTGTGGGCTTTTCCACCTCCGGAGCACAAGCGTCTTGGACGACTCTAACCCAATAGAGCACGCGCACAGGATGAAGCCGTTTGAAATCGACAGAATGGGGTATTTGGGGGGCATACCCAGAAGCATAGACATTCGGAAGTTTTGCAGCAGTAAGACCAGAGAAGAAATAGAGTGCAGATACTGCGAGAAGAAGTTTGAAAGCATGGAGTTCTTTGAAAAGCACTTGGAAAGAAAGAACCACCACGCGTACGAGGCGTATGTAAAACAGCATGCAATGCTTATAGAGTGCGTTAGCACGCTATGCTACCAGCTGATCAACAACATTGAGAAGCGGCATAAAAGAATCCCAAACGACGTTGCTGACCTGATGTTCTGCAAAGAGGAGGTGCCTGTGAAAGAGGTGGATTACAGTAATTTAGACAAAAAGTATCCAATATTGGAAGGGTACATGCCCATTATGTCCGAAGACTTCGACGGGGATGAACTATAAATAGGATAAATAAAATGCACAGCAGCAGACATTTCCTGGGTTTGGCGGATAGGGCGATATTTTGCGCTTCTGCAGGGCGGAATGTGCACAGCCAGAGCGCTGGGAAACTTTCGCACTTCCGCTGAAAATTCTCTGGAGCTGAAAATGCCCCGAATAACCCGACTTCTGAGCCTTTAAACTTGTTTATTTATGGCCCAGGAAAGACACTAGCGGCCCGAGCGAGGAGAGGTGCTCACACAGTTCCCAGCGAGAGGGGATTATTGTTAGTGTTTGCTTCGGGCACAGCACTTACTTGGACTTTTATGGGATTGTTCTCCAGCATGCTTTTGTCAACAGACTTCAAAATGGCGTCCAGCTCTTTCTTCATGTCCACGTTGTGCATCGTGGAGAGGGTGGTGCTTATTTTGTTGTACAGCTCGGCAAGCTTCAGAGTGCAGTCTCTGTTCATATTTCCAATTTGCGTCTCTTTGTCGAACACTGTTTGAAGCAGCTTTATAATGGCGTTTTTGTTCTGGTTCAGAAGATCAAAATAGCTTTTGTGCATGCGGTTGGAGAGGAGGCGCGTGTCTGTTTCGGGGGCATCGCCCCACTCCAGGCCGAGAACTTTCGCTTCGTGCTCCAAACTTGCACGGATCGTGGAAATTGCATTGATTATAGACATCCCGTGGGACTTGTAGAGATAGTCGCTTATTTTCTCTGTGCGGTTTTGGTGGATTGCATGCGAATTGTCCCGGGCTTCTTTCTTGATGTTCAGCTCGGAGATGGCATTTCTAAAAAGCGCGTAGAAGTCCAAGTCGTGCATGCCCGTTTCATTCTTTATCCCCGCCATAAGCGTGTCTATAACATAGAACGTGGTCGCGTTTACGTGGAGTTCTGCGCTGCTTGCCTGGATTGGGAACCCGTCTACAGCCAGGGCCAGCGTACTGGGGATGTCTTGCACGTTTTCGGTGACGGCCACCTTATAGCACACCGCCATGACATCAAGCAGCGTCTTTAGCAGATTCGGCTTTATGGCTTTGCACTTCTGCTGGTCGTCAATGGCCTGCCTGCTCTTAAACAGGGCGTTCATAAAGAGATTGAAGTATGCGGAAAAAAGGTTCTCGTTCTGGATTATTTCCTCTTCTTTGTTGGCTGGGTTCTTTCTCTTGTACATAAGCATGCTCGAAAAGTCGTCCATTAGGTTTGTCTCGGCGCACATCCCCGGGGAATTTCTTATTTCCTCGCTTATTTTTTTGGCGACTTCGTTATAGCATTCTATGTACTTGGAGGGATTCTGGAATCCGTACCTGTTTATGTAGACCTGCGTGTTTTCCTTTTGTGTTTCGTTGCCGTGCCTGCCCTCATAGTGCACCTTCGCATTGATGGCAGAAATGACCAGGCCTGCGTCTCTGACGTCCTGCTGGCTTATAGTGTTTGACTCTATTCGGGCGTCCAGCGCGCGAGAAAAGTTAGACAGGCGCATCACAGTGCTGTCGCTGAGGGAGTCGTCCAAAGAAGGATTTTTCAGCCTTTCAGGGCTTTGCAGGCTGCCCTGCGAGTCTTCAAGCACTTTGCTCGCTATGATTTTGGTTGACAGCTTTCTATGGGCGTGCTCCGCCAGAAAATTCAAGCTTGACAGAAGGGAGATTATTCTGTGGTGGGTGGCCCCGTACCCAGGGTTGTCAAACGCGGCAGTTTTGTCTATGCTTAATACCACATCCTCAAGGGCCAAGTTTGTGTTTATGAGCACATTTGTGTAGTTTTTGTACAGCGTATACACGTTTTTCCAAAATGTTTTAATCGAGGGAATTTTACGCACAAGCGTGTAGTAGTTTCTTTTGCATTGCGTGTACTTGTCCTGGAACTGCTGGGCCTTCTTTTTTAGAGCATCCAGCCCTGAAATTTTGACGCCGTGGTTTTTCAGGTACAAAACGGTGGGATCCGTGTTGACAAAGTACAGTATCGACTCTACCTTCATGTATATGCTCATAAGCAAATACTCAAAAATAAGGTTGTTTCTGTTAAAGACGTTCTTCTTATAGGAAAGAAGGGCATTCGCATTCATCGACTGCATGACCATAGGGGAGGGTGTAGTGACGTTTTGGGCTCTTTGGGCGTAGCCTTCCTCTGAGTACTCCACAAGAATGTTTTGGTACGCGTGGTTTAGCTCGCTCTTGTACGTGGAAATGTACTCCTTAAACGTGTTTATGGTGTTGTACGTGTCGCTGTACTGCCGCATTAGGTTTCCCTTGTGCACGGTTGTGAATATTAGAATAATGTTTTTTATGTCAAACAGGGGCATGGGCTTGTCTTCTATGTAGTGGAAAAGCTGGTCCTTTATCCTCTGAAGATCAGATGCTCGGGTTAGTATCTGCTTCTTTTTAGCACTGAGGTAGGATGATTTCTTCACCGGCAGGAAGATTTTGTTGTTTATTGGATGCAGCTGCTCCAGAATGTGCAGAATTTCTTTTTGTCGCCTCAAGTGTATGATAAACATGGAATACGCCTGCGGCATTTCAACGTCAATTAGAACCAGCGGGTTGTACTTGTTGTATGCACACTCGCCTGGCACCATCTGCAGCATGTGTGTGTTGAATATTATGTCAAGCCGAGACTCTGTAATAATGTTGTTTATTGGGGTGCTGTATGTTTTCAGCATCTGATCGCTTGCATGATCCCTGCACTCCACGGGCATTTTTGCCTTTTCTGCCGAAGAAGTCTCTGCAGTGCTCATGGGCAGGTTTAGTATAAAGTATGTCAGCCAACCCAGAAGAAACAGCATAAAATACATAAAGCGCGTCAAGTGCATTCTTTTGTTCTTGAGCACAATAATAAATACAAGAAGCATGCTGGGATTGATATGCGATTTCCACGTTTTGATTTGGGTTACCCAGATGCTGCTGGGATTTTCGAAAAAATGCCTCTTTCCAATAGAGACGCACACGAAGAGTGAGAATCCTCGGGCTTGACCGGACACCTTCCTGCTCTGCCGTTTTCCGGCACTGAATTGCACTGCATTATTCAGGCTATGGTTTCTGTGATGAGAACTGTCAGTTTTCCAATTGCATTTAAAATATTCTAAACTAGGGACATTGTAAATATCTTTATAATAGCATTTTTTTACAAAATTGACAATGCATCTTAGCAAATATTGCCTGAAAAAACTTAAAAACCAGTTTAAATATGCGAATGAATACGCCAAGAATTTTCTGGTGTACAAAATAAGTAAGAAAATGCGCATTCCCATGGTGCTGGACGTTCTCTACAACATTGTCCTGTGCGTGCTTATTTTTTCGGCCATGCTAGTCGGTATATATTTTTTCTTCGGGTCTCTCCCACTGTATGCGTACATGGCCGCATACATGGCTGTTCGGCCTAAGGCACTGGAAGCATACGACGGCCTGGTAGGAAACTGGATATACGTCGGCACAATTGTTTTCTGCATTTTCTTTGAGCTGTTCGCACATTTTACAGTGTTCAGGGTTTTAATTAAAAGCTACTACAAGTCTGTCGTTCAGACCTCGACGCTGAACCACATAGGGTCTCTGCTCTTCTACTTTAGCTGTGTGTATCTGGGCCTGCTCCTGAGCTGGGTGTTTGTGGACGTGCTGGGAGACCTGCTAGACCTCCTGTCCATCAAGGAGCTTAGCGGACAGATTGGCTTGGCGTGCATCTCCTTGTGTTTGATCATCCTCGTGGAAAACGAAGCCAAGGGCGTGCACCGCCGGATAGCAAAAAGTACGGACAGACCGTTTGCTCTAATTCTGTACCTGTGCATGGTCTGGGCGGTCCTTCCCATGCTGGTAATTTGGTTTGCAGTCGACTTTGGAATTCCCCTAACAGCATACCTCCTGGAAGCTGCCCGGCACGAGATCAAAGAAATATTTGCGTAGAAACAGCTAGAACAATAAATAAACACAAGCTCTCCGGCCCGCCTCTGCCAAAATTCGCGCATATTTATCTTAGTATTTACTGATTGTATGGCCTCGCTGAATCTATATTAGGCTGCGCATTAGTCCCACTGCCTCTGGGCTCTGCACAAGCACTGCCTTCTCCATCCCGCACGAAGACGCAGCCAGAAACGGAAACTCACTTTCCGAGGCAATTACGACCGGCGACTCTCCCTCTCCCTCCGCAGGCAGAGTGCACGCGCCAACCAGCGCATCCGGCACAAGAGAAATTCTGTACACGCTCCCTTCGCGGGTGAGAACGGCCAAACTGTCCGCTCTTTTCACCAGCGAAAAACTCGCCCTCTCCAAGGCCACGACAGCGGACGGAAGCTCGAGTGTAAGCACTTTTTCCATGTGCCCCCCGACCTTTTTCAGCAGAGAAACTGACCCTTCCTCCTCCTGCGCATGCCCCACGAGAAAATAGTCTTTGTTGAAAGCCGCAAAAACTTTCTGCTCGCTCTTTGCTCTGTCAATGTATGTTGCCTGCGGCTGCTTGAGCTCTGTGTCTGGCGCGTACAGCCTGATCCGGGCGAGTGAGTATTCCACCAGATACGGCTTCTTTATCGCGCACCGGGACTCTGGCACGCCTGCACATTTTCCGGGCATTTCCAGGCCTTTTCTGCCCACCCTGTACGTCTGCAGGCCCTTCGTGGTGTTGCAGTACAGGACGCCTTTATTCCTGTACAGCGACAGAATCCCCGTCTTATTCAGAACTGCTCTGTCTATCTCCTGCAGGGCTGCGCCCCCAACCTCCAGCAGCACCAGCACAGCCCCGTCCTCCGTGTTTATCCCCAGAGCCACGCGCCCGTGCAGTCTCACTGTGTGCACTGAGTTCGCTCCCTCGTAGGTTATGCTCCCCAGAAGTGCCGCTGAAGAGATGCTGTACAGAGACGCGACAATCCCGTTCGGGCGCCCCAACTCCACGGCTTCCTTCACGGATATGCTCCTGCTTTTACTGCTAAGAACGAGCATGTACTTGTTTTCAAGTGCGACAAAGTCCAGCACGTCCTTATGCGGGACTTCTTCCGTGAGCGCGTACTCGCACGCGGTGTCTAGCCTGTACTCCTGCAGGGTCTCCTCTCCCGTCTCTCTATCGTGCACATGCATCACCAGGACATCTCGCCCGTGCACGCACGCAACTCCCGAGCCCCCGACTGGTTCCACGTACTCGGCGCACATCTCGCCTGTCCTATGCCTGTACACAAGCAGGGTGCTATTCATCGTGTTCACGAGCAGTCCTCTTTCTGTGTGCCTGATGTTCCTAAGAATAACGGATCCAGCGCATATATTCACTGCATCCCCGCCTGCACTCATGCACCACAGGCTTCCGTCGTGCTTGTGCACCAAGTACGTGGAGTCCTCTACCCGCACCACCGCCCGGCCAAAGAAGGGCAGCTTTTCCTGTGCCTGCGTTTCCACGTCTATGGCCACGGAGTCTTCTGCATTTCCTATTACAGCAACTCCCCGGTGCATGCTCAGCGAATACGCTGCGTGCTCGCCCAGGCTTATTCTCTTTCTCTTCGCACAGCTCCAAAAGTACGTTCCCGCTGCGGCCGTGTACAGCAGCCCATCTCCCTGCATGTCTGCCTGCAGGATTGCGTCTTCGTGCATGTGGCCTGGCGCGACTTTCTTCACATTCTCTGTTTTCTTTTCGTGCCCGCAAAAAAGGCAGTTCTCCTGCAGGACTCTCCCGCTGTACCGGCAGACCAGGCCAGACCTTGTCACAAAAACGGCCGCTCCCTCCTCGAACGCAAAGGAAACCACCTCCACCTCCACGCCAACAGGCTCTCCTGCCTCTCCCTCCTGCCGGATCTCGGAGCCCTCCAAATATTTTATGAACGTGTACTCTTTGCTTGCAAGTATCTGGACAGGCTTTTCCCGAACCACGGTCTTTCTTGTTGGGGTCTTTCGGAGCTGCCTTCTGATTTTTCCGACCATGTGCCGAGTTGCCTCGCTCTGCAGGGCGTACAGCGGCACAGTCCCGAACTCTGGCACTGCTTTTATGTGCGTAATTGGGCCTGCCCTTCGCAGCACGCGGACTTCTCCGTCCTCGCAGATTCCGACCTCTCCCTTTCGGTTGTAGATGTAGAAGGCGTCTGGCGCCCTCACAATTCCCTCGGTCACTATGCACGCTGTGCCAATGTACTTCGTGATCCTGAACTCCTGCGTGTCCAGCACGCACAGCTCATCCGACAGGCCGCTCATCAAAAACGTCCGGCTGGAAAGGCTTACTCCTGTCCGCACAATAGACTCGCCAAAGCTCATGCTCCTCCGCTGGTTCTCCTGCCCGTATATGGAGAGAGTCCCTCTTTCCACAGCTATGAATCCCCCGCTCTCTACGCTGAATATTTTGTACACGTTCTTGGAGACGGCCACCTGCCCCAGCTCCTCAAGGACGCCTTCCATGCCCATCCTCCTCACCACGTTTTGCTCGCACGACGACAGGAGAAGCACAAAAACCAGCTCTTCCCCCTGGGCAATGTCCATCGCCAGGATCTGGTGGCCGTACGGCGTGTATCTGGCCACCCTTTTTCTCTCCACATCGCACACAAGCACTTCGTTCTCCGCGTGTATAAGCAGCCGCCCGCTTTTGTACCAGGCACAGATCACCTGCACGCCCTCCAGATCTACTTTCATGATTTCCTGAAAGTCGGTTGCCTCTTTGTGCACAAGAAGTATGCTTTCGCTGGTGATTGCATACACCATGCGCCCGTCTGATGCAGTCCACTTAATCCTTCCCTGCAGCTTCACTTCATGACTGTTCTCTAAAAATAGGACATAGTTGCTTCCTGCTAAATAAAAAGAATCTGCCCATCCGCAGCACTTCACCGCCGGGGAAGCACGCACTTGTTCCAGAAAAAGGCCCTTCATGTCGCAAAAAAAAACTTGCTATTTATGAAAGCGCTTGCCGTGCAGAAACAAGACAGGCCAGACGGGGCCATAGATGCAGTATTTTACGAAAACGCGACCAGAGGCGTATACTCTCTCTTTGCACACGATAGTCCTTTTTCCAAAGTTTCCATCGAGTCGGAAAAAGACTTCTCCTTCGTTGAGAAGAAGCTCGAGGGGATTGTCCAGTGCGTTGTAGCACCGCATCCTCGCCTCTCGTACATGTTTCACGTGCAGTACATCTCTGCGCCTTGCAGTGCTTTTGACGTCTACACAGACGCAGTAACGGCACTCTCCGTTCTGATGGTCCATGCCGGGATAGAGGCCACGGACACGCTTGTCCCGTACGTGAAAGAGTTCCCGAACGGGTCTGTGTGGGTCTGCAAGAAGTTCTTCAAAAATGAAATTGTGTCTATGAAGACATCGGGGCTTCTTTCCAAGAGCGAGGCCGTTATGGCTGCAGAATACATCCCCAACCAAGAGCTTTCCGGGGTCAAGAAGTTGCTGGGCCTGCTTTAATATTACGAGAAAATAAACATAGACGGATTTGTTTGAATTACTTTTTTCATGGTCCAGGAGAAGCAGAGCTGGCTTAAAAATGTCTTTGACTCAGAATACTTTGTTTTTTGGATGGCGCTAACATGCTTATCCAGATACAAGGAGGAAGCGGTCCATCAGTATTTGTGCTACAAGATGTTTCAAACCCGGAGGAGCGAAGCCATGATATACTACCCGCAGCTGTTTAACTTAATGCTCGTGGAAAATGGCCATCTGTGGAACAGGCCTATATTCCGGCTGCTGTACAAAATATCCAGAAAAGAGAAGCACTTTGCAGCTACGCTTGCCATGTACTCCGTCTCGGTCTCAGACTCGTATGCGCCCTCCCAGGAAAAATACAGAATATGCATGGGCTTTTCGCGCGCAATCCTGCACAAGAAAATGCGCTGCCCCAAGCCCAGAAAGATGCCGAAAAAAAGCACTCTGTACACGAGGTATCTGAAGATGACGTACGGCTCAAAAGTGGGGATGTCTCCCGTGGACAAAATGCTGGAGCAGCAGAAGCAGTACTACATGCTGCCAGACCGGGTGTGTGCAAAAAAGAGGCACAAAACCCCGTCGCTGGAGTCCGCCATTGCTGCGCTGGTCTCGGGCCTGGCCTCTGTCGTGGACTTTTCCCAGCACAGCTTCCTAGTCGACGTGGCGCACGCGAATAGAGCCATTCCAGCGGCCCGGGCTGTGCACACGAAGGAAGCGGAGATGACGCAAGCCCAAATGGTGAGAGAGTCTGGCGAGGCGTGCTTCATAATGAAGCTAAACGCGGTATCGAACTCCCTCATTCCGATTCCCAAGGCCATGCGGGACCAGGCACTTTCGACCGAGCTGAACCTATTAAACCTGTACCTGCCTGAAGACGTGTGCCTGTCCATACTGTGCCCGGGAAGCTGCAAGCACCGGAACATCCTCTCTCTTTCGGTGGAGCTGTCCAAAACCCTGGACTCTGCCACGCGGGCCCCCTTTATGCTGGTCTTTGAAACCTCCCAGGAGGCTAACATTCCCCGAAAGATTGAAGCGGTTGAGTCTCCGTCCCTGTACGAGGGAAGCACGTGCGAGGAGAAAAAAGACAGAAAGCAGGAGACAAAAGAGAGAATTTTCAAAACAGCCATAAAAATACTCGGCGGCCTGAAAGAGCTCGACTCCAGTGCGCAGGTGGATCTGGACATTTTGTCGATCAAGACTCGGGTGATTAGAAAAATATACAACATGCACACTCCGCAGTACATTGCGCCTTCCGGGAGCAAATTCTCCGAGGAGTGGGGCGAGGCTGTGAGTGCTGCACGAAAGCACTCTGTGTACAGGGACTTGCCCACCTGGGGGCTGAACTCTCTAATTGTGAAGACGGGCTCGGACATGAAGCAGGAGCAGCTTACGTCGCAAATACTCAGCATAATAGAGAGCATCTGGGCAGGCGACAGGGTCGAGCTGTGCCTGAATCCGTACAAAACCCTTGTCACCGGGAAGGGCTCTGGCCTGATAGAAACCATTTTGGGGGCCAAGTCAATCCACCAGATAAAAGTGTACCTGAAAGAGAAAGGCCTGCCCCAGAACCTAATAGAGTACTTCCGGGAGAACTGGGGCAGCAAGCTGGAGGAGGCGCGGGAGGTCTTTTTCAAGAGCCTGGTGGCGTACTCTCTGGTCTCGTACATACTTCAGATAAAAGACAGGCACAACGGAAATATTCTTATAGGGAACAACGGTGCGCTGTTCCACATTGACTTTGGGTTTGTGCTGGGGTCTCACCCAGGGTTCTACTCCGTTGAGTCTGCGCCCTTCAAGTTTGCTCTGGAGTATGCGGAGGTTGCAGGGAAGGACCGAATGGAGACGTTCAAAAACCAGTTTCTGAAGGGGTTTCTGTCCCTGCGCAAACACATGGACCATATAATTATACTTGTGGAGAGTGTGGCCAAGTCTGGCGGTATTTTATCAATCACGCACGCCTCTGTCCACTCGCTCAGGGACAGATTCCAGCCAGGCCTTACAATTGACGAGTTTTCCGAGCACGTTTCCGAGATTGTGGACCGGGGAATGAAAAACGTCTTCACAGACATATACGACTCCCTCCAATACTACACGCAAGGATACTGCAAGTGAGACCGAACAGGCATAAATAAACGCATACCCCAAATCCGCCTTGGCGCCCTTAGAGGCAGCCCGAACTCTGGGCCTGTGCTTTGCGGCTGCGAGGAGTCCGCGCATTTCCGTACATCGCTACTATTCTTGTTATTGTTGATTTTATTATTTCTGCGAGCGCCCTCTGCCTATCCTATGCTGCTTTATGTGCTGTCCTGCGCTCACTTTTTTTGAATAACATTGAAGATCTCCATTCTCTCTTTCTCTGGGAGCCCCATCCAGGCTGCATGCATAACTGTGCCTGGCGCCGAGTTGCACACGCCCTTAGCGTAGTTGAACGGGTCAATTCTGTCCAAAGGCGTCTCAAACGAAGGGTCCTCATCGAAGCACTCCATTCCCCCGTAGCTTTCCTCGTCCTCATTGTACTCGTCCTCTCTCTTGAGGGCCTCTCTCCTGGCAAGTGCTGCCGGCATTCCCTTAATCGCAAAGGCAAACACGCTCACGAGCAGGTCTCCCTGCATCTGCGCCGGGAGTGTTCCCTCGCCCTGGGACAGCATCATTCCCGAGAAGAGAAGCAGAAGCTTAAGGTCGTGGACTCTTTCAAACTTCTTGTGCTCTGCCTTAATAGTGTCCATGAGGAACGCCACGTGCCCCCCCTTCTGCAAGACATTCACCGAGAACCCGGGCATGACAATGACCGAGCACAAAAGCACCTCAACTGCCGAAATCAGGGACACTGGCGTCTCCAGCATCTCCTTATCGGAGAGAACCAGCTGAATCGATGCCTCAATAACTGTGCCAAATCCATTCCCGAGGAGGTGTCCCATATTCAGGAGAATGCTCTCGAGTATCCTGCACAGGTACGGGAAGTCGTACTCCAGTATCACGCCCTGCATCATATCCCTGAGAATGGCAAAAATTGGCTCTACGTACGCGCACATTTTCTCGCATCCGTACGTGATGAAGTTGTCGAGCACTGCCGAGACTTCGCTGATGTAGATGGCCAGCGTATCCCCCGGCAGCTTCAGCATCACATCCAGCGCCTCAAACATCCCGTCCACGGACTTCATCGTGTACGAGGCCACGACCAAAAGCGAGAACAAGTCCGGGAAAAAGTCCGGGTGCGTGCTTCCGACCTGAACGGTCATTTTTATAACCGGCTCTATCAGCGCCCTGATTCCCTCCGGGTTCTTTTCCAGCGCCTCAATCAGCGTGGTTATTGTTCTGACGTATCCATCGAGGACTTCGTACTTTTCCTCTGGCTCGCCCTCTCCGCTGTCGTCCTCTGCGTCTCCAAGCAGCTGTATGACTGACGCGCATATTGCCTGAACAATTCCCGGGGCAAACTGCAGGGTTTCCTCCGTGCACAGCACAATAACGTCCTCAAGTGCTGTCGCCAGTGCCTCAATCTGCACCTTATTTGCAAGGTCCAGCAGCAGCTTCACAAAGTTCGGGATTGATGCGCGCAAGCACTGCCTCATCTCTTCGTTTGCGAGGATGTTTGGGAGGCAGAGAATGCTCTCAACGGACACCCCAATCTCCGGCGACTCGACTCCTGCGAGGAACGGCCTCAGTGCTGCTGCAGGCATGTCCACGTAGTAGCTGAAGTGCTGCAGCGTGGAGAAAGCTGCGTACTGTATAATTGCGTGCGGTGCTGAAATATCGCTAATAACCATGTTCATTGCGTCCTGGTTCTTGCTGAAGTATTTTCCAGCGACCTTCAGGAGCACGAGTCCTCCAAACCTCAGGCGGACTGCCTCCTGTGCGGGGTATCCTGCGACTTCTCTGAGGAGTGTGCTGACAATGAGGGCGCTGCTCTCCCCCGTGCCTCCCGCCTTCTTCACAATATCCAAAAACAGCTCGCTGGCTATTGTGTCTGCGTTCTTTGTGTACTGCGCCTCTATCTCTCGCATGAAGTCTATCTGGCACGCCTCCCAGGAGCTTTCCATCGTCTCTGTGAGGGAGACTGCGGGGAGTATGAACCGCGTTACAATTGAAAGTGCGTCTCTTTTAACGATCTCCCACCCAGCAGGCTTTCCAACGACATTTCTGATGAGGTCGAACGCCTGTGCCTCCACTCTCTCTGAGGCCTTTGTCTGCGTGTACATGTCGAGAATTCTGACTGCGTTCCCGTAGAGCACCTCCAAAACCTCTTTCCTCTCGAATATGGCGAATGCCGGGAGGTCCTTCTTCTTCCGGGTCTTCTTGAGGAGGCCGTTCAGCACGACCAGCGACCACTTAACAGGCGCCACGAACTTGTACAGCGTGTTTATGGTCATTTCAATCACTGAGATCAGGTTCTGGACGAACTGCGGGGTTTTGAACGCGTTCGGAATCATGTAGCTCTCGCACGAGTGCCCAAACACCTTCATGGCGAGCCCTGCCGTTTCCGCGTCTCCTTCTTTCGCGGCGTTTGCCAAAATGGAGAGAATCGGGACTCCGAGCGTGTCAAAAATCATCTCAAACTCCTTCTCTGCCTTGTACTCCTCCACGAAAGCAATGATCACCCTGTTCAGAATTTTCAGCCCGACCTCCACGGCTCTTTTCTCGCTGCTCGCTATGAACGCGCTGACCTTCTCCATAATCGGAGCCCACTGATCCGCCTGCTCCTCCTTCAGGATAAACTGCAACGCGGCAAGAAGATGCTTCTCCCCGTCCTTGGACGAGCTGAGGAGAATCCCTGGAAGCTCCTTAATAATGCTGTGCTTGTCAAATCCCTCCAAGCTCCAAAACTTTTCCAAGTATCTTCTGAAATACGAAGCTGCAAACATTCTAACAGCTGGCTCTTGGTCCTTTGCTGATAAGTGCAACAGCGCAGTTAAGAAGCTAGGGTTCCTGCTGATCTCCTCAAGTTGTTTCTCCGCGACTCTTTTTGCATCCATGTCTGGTTTCATTGACATGAGAATGCATTCTCGTAAGTTTGCTTCTGGATATACTGTCATATTTACGGGGGTAAATTTTTTTGCAATTTACGCATGAATTGCTTCAGTGTGGACAGATTCAAGGAAGAAGCCTTTGACGTGAAGGAGCTGCTGGAAGAGGTCTACGAAGAGTGCAGGCACAAGGGGGCAGGTGTCTGTGATGTTGTGATTGCAGAGCTTGAAAAGATAAAAGAGGCTCTATCCTACAAGGAGGAAGAGCTTAGAGAGCAGAAGGTGCACTTCTCTGGAAAATCGCAAATAGAAGAGCTAAGCAATGCCCTGTCCTCTATTGAGATGTCTCCGTACAGCCTTGAGTTTACAAAAATATTTTCTGAAAGAGACCGGCTCTTAAAAAGAGAAAGGTATACGGAGTACTTGGCGTCTGCTGAAAATGGGTCTCTGCTTAGGGATGCCCAGACCCCTTCAGACCTCGTGGAAATAGCTGAATTTGTGCAGTTGGTGATACAAGAGGCTGGGCAGGACGAAAACCTCGTGGAGGGCGAGAGCTTTTTGGGGGGGCTGGCTTCCTCCATTCCAGAGGCTATTTCCTCCGCTGTTTCTCTGGTTGCTCCTTCCGGGCCTGTCGAGGGAAGCTCTTCGGGGGAGCCTGCGAGTGCTGGGGGAGTGCCGAATTCGGTGATTGCGAGTGGGTCTGTGCCTGAGGGGCGAGGGCCTGTGCTGGAAAGTGCGCCAGGCGGGGGCAGGGTCTTGACGCGGAGTCTTCTAGGCCGGCTGGAGGGGTACAAAAGGAAGCTTGCACGCCTTGCAAAGTCTACGTACAAAGAGGCCGTGCAGAGCGAGAACATGGAAATGGCGAAGAAGGCAGCTGCTTTGTGCCGCGTTCTGGGGATGCATGCGTATCCGATTGAGCATCTTGTGAGCACGCAGAACGCGCCTTCTTACAGCGCGCCCATTCTAACGGAGCTGGACCTCCTGAAAGAGAACGCCCTGCAAGAGATGGTGCGGCACTTGGCAAAGGTGCAGGAGCGCATGGAAAATGCAGCATACCTTATAAAAGACCTGATAGTTGGCAACCAGTACCTGCACAAAAACAGCGTGAGCGCAGAGGCTTTTGACGCAAACGAGATATTTGTGCTGATCAAGAAGCTTCTGGAAAGCTCGTTTGCGCCTGTTTTGGAGGCAATCGAGGGGTCTGACGACCCGCTGGAGTATCTTATTGCGGTGGAAACAGTGTTTTCGCACATGGCTCTGCTTAGGGGCAGGCTGTGCTCGATAGTGCCCTGCATAAAGGACCGAATGCAGACATTCTCGGTGCTGAGCGTGCCAGAAGACGAGCTGCTCAAGAAAGAGGCCGAGGCCATACACGTGGTGGTAAACGGGCTGGTGAAGGCAGTTGTCTCGGGGAAGAGCGTGCTGAAATACCGGCTAAACGGAGAGGTCATTACGTCTTTGAAGAACCCAATTGAGGCTGTGTTCAGGTACACGGCGGTGTGCAGCAAAACCTCGTTGCGCAGTGGGCGGCTGGGGTACAGCAGTAAAGTGCTGGACACGCTGTATAAGTCCCAGCAGGGGGGGTTTACTGCTCTGCTGGACGCTGTTTTTGGCCGAAAGTATGTTCCCTACTTGGGCACGGCCATGCATCTGAACACGTATATATGCATTAAAAACTTCTACAAAAAGCTGTGCACGCCCGCAAACAGCGAGTCTATTTCCAAGGCCCTCGTGCAGCTAAACGCGTGCGAGTCGGAAAGAAGCAAGAACATATCCACGTTTGAAATGTCGTATCTTGTGGAAAAGTTTGAGGAGCTGCTTGTTGAGGCCAAGGCGCAGGAGACTGTGCTTCTTCTGAACGAGGCTTTTCACCACATTGAGGACAGCCCCATTTTTGGCGCAGTTGCAAAGGAAACCCTCCAAATTCTGTACACTAAGATAAGAGAGCGCGCATTCACGCGCACCCACATTCAGGACGTGAAGAATATTCTAGAGTACATAGACTCGATCCACCGGCCACTGAAAGGCCTGAAAACGGGCGTGGAGAAAAAACTCAAAAACCTGAAGGGTCTTCTAGAGGCTGTCTTTGTCGATGCCTCCGACGTAGAGCGCATATTTGACCTGGTCAAGGCCTCGGAGGAGGAGAAGTCAATTATTCTGCGGCTCAGGGAAAGAGTAAAAGCGTAGTGTGAAATAAAATATTGTCCATCTCTTTAGAAAAATGTACTCCTTTTATTTGCATTTCTGGCGTGCCAGAAGGCCCCCAAAATCGAGCCCGAAATATGGAAAAAAAGCACCGCAGAAGCAGGCTCTATCCCCGCGCGGCCGTGCCTCAGAAGCCCACACAGCGCAAGGCAGAGCTGCTTGCGCGCTTTCCAGGAAGTTTGAAACTTTTCGCTGGCATGTCCACGAAAACCCGAACTCCGAAAGCAGGCTGGGCTCTTAAATTCTCCTCTCGGAAAGCCGTGTGCTTGCCAGATGCGGCAAAACCTAGAACGGCGCATTTAAGCGAAAAGAGTGCTTTGTGTAAATCCAGCTCGTTTATGCCGAGCATTTAAGCAAAGCATGCAAATAAAATATTTATGGGTGAAAGCGAGAAGACCAAGAGGCTGGACGACCTAACTGCCTCAATAATACAGCTTATAAACAGCATGCAGGAGGTAACGGATGGGCTCTACAGGCACACGTACGACATAGATACGGAGCTCCCCCAAATAAACAAGGCTGTGCTGCAAAGCGCCGAGAAAACTGTAAAAAACATAAAGGGGGAACTCCTTGTTTCTGAGGAGGTGGTTTCTTACGTGGAGAGCAGAGAGGCAGACATAAATGTGCTGTTTGAGTACGTTGAGGAGAAGGAGAAGGAGAAAGAAGTGCTAAAAAACATGGCCCTGGGAAAGTCAAAGTACTTCAAAATGCTGCACACAGGCATGCAGAAATGGCCCACGGATAAGTAGGCGCAAGAAGAAAGCCTGCGTGTGATAGGCCCTCTTGAATTTTATTTCAGTCTGCCCAGGGCATTTCCATTCAGCTGCTCGGGTTAAAGGCGTCGATATTATTTTTTTTATGAGCTTACTGAAATACATTGCGCCGCTTCCGCTTATATCCTCTATCAGCGAAGCAAGTATGCGAAGCACAGGAAAATTCCCCAAATATGCGCTGGGCGTGGGGATTCTTCTGGGGGCAGGCCTGCTCGCAAGAACAAGGCCAGGAAAGCGTGTTTTCGCAGAGCTGAAAACCATTGCGTTTAGCGACCGGAAGGGAAGCCCACTCCCTCCCCAGGAAACAGCTCTTCCCACGGTGTTTATAGACATAGACGACATTTTGGTGCATAAAGTGTGGTCATTCCGCATGCTTGGATACGAGTATGAAGTGCGGCCGAATGCAGGCGCCTTTCTTTTTCAACTGTCAAACGAGTACGAAGTTGTGGGCGTGACTTCCATGCCGAGCGAGCTTTCCGCGGAGGTTCTTTCGGTTCTAGACCCGTTCGGGTGCATAAAGTACAGGATGCACGTTCCAGACACAGACCAGCTAGACATAGGCCTGACACAGCGAGACGTGCGAAGCGTAGTCCGCATACGGAGCAGGGCTTCTCTCGCGGACGAGGTTTTGTCGTTTGGGAAGTGGGACGGCCAGAGCGAGTCTGGGGACTTGATGGGGCTTTTGGACTTTCTGCTGAACTTGAAGCAGCTGGAAACAGGCGACTTCCGGGAGGTTCTGAAAACGTACAAGGCCAAAGACTTTGCAAAAGCGTATGGAGAGGTGCAGAAAACCCTGCATCCTGCAAAAAGAAGCCTGTTTCTCTTTAAGAACCCAAACGGTGCGAAAGACACGATCGACGCACTGAACAGAACCCGGCTGCAGGAGTATGAGCTGGCAAAGGCCTACATAGAGAACAAAATGAAAATAGAGAAAGTGGCAAAAAAGTGAGTCTGCAGAGAAAGAGCCGAGCCCCCGGGTGGCACCCAAGCAAGCAAATACAAGGCTTCCACACTTGCCTGCTGGGCGTGTGCAGGCAGTTTATGCTGCGAAAAAGCAAAGATGCAGCTTCAAATATCCGGGCAAGTCCAGAGAAGTGCACACGCTCTCACCCACGGAAGTGCCCAGGAGAGCAAAATACGCGTTCTGTCGCCTTCTAGACTGCGCACTTTCCTCAAAGGGGCCTGCTTGGATACTATCCGATTTTTAATTCGCGCATTTCCCCTGCTGGGCGCAGTATTCAGCTGTGCAGCACCCGCACATTTTGCATCCATGTACAAGACAGCTTCTGCTTGGCAGGCGCTGAAAGCTGAAATATAAAGTATCTTACAATTGTGCATATATAAATACGGTGTTTTATTTCGCAAGGCTTCTCGGGCGTGCGTGCACCGCAGTGGCGTGGGCTTCCGTGGAGCTTCTATGCCTGGTGCACCTCCGTATACTCCCGCCGAAGAGCCTCCAAGTCTTCCCGCTTGAACTTTTTTGGGTCTGACAGGACCTGGCTTATTCTCTCCGGCTGCTGCTTCTCCTCGTTTGAAAACTTGTTTTTTATCTGCTTTCTCGTTTTGTCCGTGAACACTTTTTCAAGCAAAGTAAAATCTGTCCCGCAGAGAGAGAGAGCCTTGTAGAAGACAATCGTCTCCTCCTTCGACCATCTGCTTCTTCCGGCGCTGGGCCTTCTCCCGTAGGAAAACGCACTCATGCGGTCTTCTATGACAGGAGTCTTTGCTGGCGTGCCCCCGCTTATAACGACCTGTCCGTCCACAATAATAAGACTTTCCTTCTGGGGCTCTTCCTGCACTGCGGTTTTTCTCTTCTTTTGCGCCTTCTTCCCCGCTGGGAAGTTTCTGTTTTCCAGAAAGTGGGCAAGCGTCTGCTTTGGTGGACTTTCCATCCGTGAAAATATTTTCACGGCCTCGCTATATGTGCGGCTGCAACGCCGAAACAGATTTTCCTGCGCCCACAGAAAGCGCGTGTCTAGCAGGAAAGCCTTCCCCAGTGAGATTTGACTCTGTCCAGCATGACTTTAAGAGAAACTTCATTTCTGGAAAGCACCTCAGCCTCCAGCTCCTGCCTGTCGCTTGTGAAGTATCCGCGAGCAATTAGGCCTGTTGACATAAGGTCGGTCAGCCTTCTAAATACAGTGTCTTTTCTGGTTCTTTTTAGGTGCGCCTGGTTTGCCACCCGCCGCTCAAACTCGTCGTAGACGCTGCAGAGCGTGACTCTCTTCACAGTTGCGGACAAGAGTATTATCAGATGGATGGAGTTGAGCAGGGCGTACGGCTTGGCCTCTTCCACCTCGTATATAAACTTGAAAAACCGCAGAGACATTCCTTCGTACGTGTTATCCATAAGGTATGCAAAATGCACGAATTCTTCTAGCTTTTCCTCTATCCTCTGGAAGTTAAACTGCACGCCTTTTTTTGCGTACTCCTCCACGCGCGCCTTCAGAATTTCAATGACGGTGCTGAAGATTTTCAAATACTCTTTTTCGCGGAGTTCTTTAACATACGCCTTTACGCCGTCCATCCGGCTCACTATTCTCTTATCTAGCTTCATCATGTCGGACACCCGGGGGATTTGGAATATAAACTTGGTCTTTTTTGAGCCAGAGGGCGCCCCCTTCTCCAGGATTCTGTACAGTATGGACCGGCCGGACTTCATTGTGCTGCTGGACATGTCCAGGAAGTAGAGGCTGTCCTTTTCGCAGGCAGACTTTTTGTTCAAAATTTCCAGAGGCTTCCCCGTGACATTCGATATAACAGATATTATGTGGCTGGTTATCTTCCTGGGGCCGTACACCCACACTTTCTCGCTGAGATCGGAGTTTATTCGGAGTATGATTGTTTCAATAACAGAAATGTATCTGGCCTCCACTTCTTGGATATACGCCATGCCAAGAAGCTCCGGAACAGTGCTTAACTTGCTAAAGGGGTCGTCTACAACCGAGCTTTCTACGGACTCCTGCGGAAGCTTAATCTTCTTAATAGGACGGATTGTCATAAAAAAATATGAAGTTGAAAGTAAAAAAAGGCCTGCTGCAAAAATCCGCGAAGTGCGCGCTTTTGCAGCAGGCTTTTATGGGGTTTTGGGCGAAAAAAAGCTTTATGCGCGCACAGGACGGGGATTCCTGCACGCCCTGTAAAGACGGAAACTTTTTTTCTTTGTAATTCTGCAGAGGTTTCTTCCCTTCTAAGCCCACTCCATCCCTTCTAAGCCGCTGCCTTCGTGCATGCGTGCTCTCCAGAGGCATTTGGGCGTATATCCCCGGGCAGCGAAGACGAGACTTCCTGCGTGTGCAGCGCCTTTTGGTCCTTGGGCCAGCACTTCCCACGCGGCTGGGGCACATTGCAGTGTCCAGCCAGAAGCACTCATCCAACCAACTGCCGTGCTCCATCGACACTCACAACAGGACAAATAAAAACGAATATTTGTGTTTCGGACTCTGCTACAAGGCCGATGCAAGCACGCTATAATTCGCATGAAGGCGCTTCTGCGAAAATGTATCGTGCAAAGAGGCTTTTTCCATTGCGCATGAAAACTTGTTCTGCATAGCGAGCACGTGCCGGATCCAGCCAAATGGAGACTTTCCGCGCATTTCTCTTCAGCGCAATCCAATTGGGGGATTTGCATCCTCTGGCGGTGTGCAGCGCAAAGAGGAGAGCAAAGCCCTATCCGGGCACTTGGCAGGCGCGCAAAACCATGAAAAGTGTGCCTAACATGTGTTTATTTCTCTCGTGGAGTGCTCCTGCGCGCGCCGGGCTGCCTCCAGCCACGCCGTGCACGGACAAGCACTGTATAAATATGATCTTTCAACTCTCGGGCGTGCAGGTGCTGGGCAGCCTGCTAAACATATGCGGCAACGAACAAATAGGCGTAGTTGTTTATTAAACGAGCGTGTTGTCTCTCTTTAGCTGTTTAGTAGACTCCTCAATTTCTCCGATGTAAAGGTCTCTGTCCTCTCGCACGGCCTCATCGTACTTCCTTCCCAAGTAGATGGTGGAAGCATTCCAGACGGACGCGACAACGAGCACAGTTACCACAAGCAGCAGTGCTGCCGTTCTAATATCAGACAAGTTGAACAACCCCAAAATAACTATCTGTATGTTTGACGAGAAAGACTTTCCGAGCTTACCACACACACCGTCATACACTCCCTTAAACCTGGCTTTGTACTGCTTTGGGATCTTTACTCCAATAGCCTCCTTACCCACGTCGAAGGCTGCGTACTTCAAGATCTTAATCATGTTAACAGCGCAGAATCCAACGTTGTACTCCAATTTGGTGAGCGAGTTCCATCCAATCGAGGTGAAAAGGGACTTTCCAAATCGGTTAAGGAGGTTCTGGGCGTCTTTTCCTGTGACTGTTACAGACGAGTTTGCCCACACAAGCGAAAGGAAGGGCAGGGCTGCCAGGAGCGAGCACAAAGGCGTGATCATTCCCAGGGAAAGCCATCCCTTCTTCTGGATGAGCGACTTGATTGGCGAGAAAAGAATGCAGATAACAATGCATCCAATGCATATCTGCTGCATTCCCTGTGTGAAGACAAAGTTAGTCATGACATCCTGACCGTCAGCCTTTGACTTACTTCTCACTGCGGACTTGAATGCGGCCTCTGTCAAGTTGGTGCAGATTCCATATCCGAGCACTGTGATGGACAAGTGGAAGACAATTGGGGTCTTAAGCATGATCTTGAACCCGTCGATAATTCCGACCTTTTCCTTGCCCTTCTTCTTCGGCTGTCCTGCGTCTGCCATGATGTAGATGGGGTATGGTATGATATTCTTGACAAGGTGTCTGTACGTGAATATGTTTATACCGCAAATGCATGCCACGGCGAGAATGAATCCGCTTACAATCCATGTCTTGTACTGTGGCATCCCTGTGAGCATGTAGTAGTTTCCTAGCATAAGCAGCCCAGACGAGATGAGTCCCAAGTTAGCTCCGATAATGAAGAGCGGGTAGAATCTGAGCGCCTGTCTGAACGGGCAGATTTCGTTAGCCACTGCAAAGAACATGACGGAAGTCATGACGTTACCCCAGAGTTCTGCCGTTATGTACAGAAGCGTTCCTGTCCAGAAGTTAACGGTAAGGAAAAGTCCTTGGAGAGCCTCCAACCCGTTAATGTACATTTTCTTGTCTGCGAAAATATCGCAAATCCAAAACTTGTACGGCTCAATGTGCTCGACATTTGGGAGAAGGAGCGTGGCGTATATTGCGAAGAATATACCGAATCCAGCGTTGAATACGAACATGAGCTTTTCCAGCGTAGCTCCCTTTGCGAGAAGCAGCTGGAACACAATGGCGAACCCCATAGTGGCTGCCATTACTAGCGTTGACTTAAGATATTGAATAGATGCCGGTAACATTCTATCCATCACTACTGCGTCTTTTGTGTCTCTTAGTATGGAGTATGCCAGCACAATGCAGAAGTAAAGGAAGGCCATAGAGAAGAACTTTGGATATTCTACTTTCAAGACCTTGAAAAACCTACTGCACTGGTCGGCTTGCTCCTCGTGCGCCTCCTCTGTAGGTAGAGAGGAGTTTCTATAATAGTTTGTTAGTCCTGCTGTTTGCATGGGGTTTTTACAAAATTTTAAATAAATATTTATTTTCACATGAAAATTTGAAAATAATAGGATACTCTGTGCCCCTGGATTTGGCAATATTAAGGGGTTACATTTGCAATTTCTCCATGCCTGCAGACATTAGCCAATCACAAGAAGCCATTTGCAATCATGGGGCCGATTTGGGGCATATTAAAAGGCCCCGGGGTTACTATGGCTGATTTGGGAATATATATCAATCTAAAGTATAGATCAGAAATGGATTTGAAAAAAATATTGACATAATATTTGCAGATGCGATTCCGCCAAAAAGTGTACAGATCATTTTTCAGCGTCGCACGGGAAACAAGATGTCTGCCATCTGAAGCCTCCTTTGATCTGCAATCGCTGCCATGGCAACCCGCAAACAAAGGAAAAGCCCCAAAACACAGCAAGATCTGAGAAGAAAAAGCGAGAGTGCGCCCGAGGGCTCGTATACAGGCGTAATTTTTCGGGCGCAAATAAATGCACTTTTTCGGATTTCGGACTATCATCGCATGCCTGCACTTGCTTGGCAAGCCTGCGGGGGCATAAACTTACAATATTTTTGCAAATTCGAAATTCGCTGAAGAATGACTATACTGAACATGCTGGAAAGGCTATCTTACCACTTGGCAGGCCCCCACAGGAGGGCGTTCTACGGCACTCTTGATCGGTGCTTGGAGAAGGAGGAGGTGCAGAAAGATGAAGTGCACTTGGTCCGGGTCTGCACGATGAAAATGTACAGCCTAGCAACGGACGGGCACATTGCAGAGTCCTTGCGGGTCTACTGCAAGTGCGTGAAAGAGCGCGCTGCACTTCTCCGGGAGCACCAAATAGAAAGCGCAATGCTCAAAGAGAGCCTGATACTTATGGACAGAGTCGAGGAGGTGGAGACTGCAGGCCTCTCGGAGAGCGAGAAATACGAGGTGTTTTTGCTCCGGGGGGATCTTGCGGGATGCAGAAAAAGTGCCATTTCCTTGCTGAAAACGCATCCTATGCTTGCAATGGGGCTGTTTCTCGTGGAGGCAGAAAAGCACCCGGGCACAACCCCAGCGAGTTTGCAGCTTCTTCTGAAAAGAGTCACCGTCGCAAACTCTCTTATTACGGCGCTTTATCGGAAGAAAGTGCCGTACTCCGTGCTTCGGCCGCACATTCGAAGGGATCTGGACACTTCATTTGTCTTTCTCATGAAGGCTCTTCTCCTGGGAGGGGAGGATATTAGCGAGTTTGTCGGACAGGGCGTGGACGGCCTTTTGGACCTTCTTGACGACTGGGAAGTATACGAGCACGCGATGAAAAAGGGCATCTCCGTGAGAGAGAGGGAGGACAGCATAAACAGCCTGCGGTTCCAGATGGAAGTCCAGCGCACAAAAGACGCCATTTCCCGCTTTATCCTCGCAGGAGGGAGCGTAGGCCTGTGCAAAAAGCACATAGAAGGCCTGCCAAAGTGCGAAAAGCAGGCGCTTATTGAGGGGCTGCCGGCATGCGCGCGCATGAAAGTTGAGTACTACCAGAACCACTCTGTTGCTGTTTTTGGGGAAAGTCTGGGAAAGTGCATGGCCTCAGTGGGCGACTTTGTCTTCGTAGTGGGCGCACTTCTGGCGGATAGAACAGAGCAGAGCCTCATGGACAGCCTGGTTTTGTGCTATGCAAAGAAAACTGCGTACGACTCGGCATACCAAGTCCAGCTGCTTCTGTGCGTTCTGTACAGGTACTTGTGCATGTATGACGCAATGCTGCAGGAGTACATAAGCATGTCTGTGCAGACAGTGCAGCTCGAGGGAATGACGTACATTTGGAGCGACCTCCAGATCCTCCTGGGAGAAGACGAGCCCGCACTGAAGGAGCAGTACGAAAAAAACAGGCTGCTCACGCTGGGGACTATAAATGCAAGCCTTCTCGGCTTCATAAAGAAGGAGGAGTATGCGCAAGTCGGGCCTTTGCTGGAGTACAAGCAGGCGCTTGTAAATTCATCCGTCCACAGGCAGATCGTGGAAAACAAGTTTTTCTGTCTGGACAGGCTGCCTGCGATAGAGAACATTCTGGTTCCGGAGAGCCGGTACATCTTCGAGAAAGTAATGCAGCCTCCAAGAGAGAAAAAAGACGCCACGCTTTTGACCATACACAGCATGCCCGTGGAAATCTCCCGAGACAAAGTGCAGGAGATGCTTTGCAAGTCCATCGAAAAAATTCGCCAGTTCGTGGAGGTGCCCGAGAGCATACACGAAGCCTTCAGAATGGGCGAGGTGCAGGAGCGCGCGTGGAAGAGTCTGCGTGCACAGTAAATAATGCGGAGATTCCGCCCTTAGAGCACATTTGGAAATAAATAGCTGTTTTAACACGCGCACGTACGTGCTTAAATATCCAGTTTGCAGAGCTCTTCTTTTACGGGGGATTTGGGCAGTTCGAGCGCAGCGAATGCGCAGAGAATTATGCAGCGGCGCATTTTCAGCTAAAGCAGAGCAAGTGGGCGGCGAGTGGCAGCCTGTTCAGTGCGGGCATGCACAGCATCTGGAATTTGCGCGGTTGTGTTGCTTTGGATGGGCCTTTTCTACTGCAGGCGCTTTCCGCGTATATGCAAGAACCCGTAAATATTTTTAAAGAATGGACGCCCATTGGATACAGACACTTTACACGCTGTTGGAGAGAAATGAAATCGACAAAACACTTTTGCAGCCGGAGGAAATAGAGTGCATAAAGAAGGCGGTGGCCCTCCTGGGATACAAGCTGACTCCTTGGTACGACGCAAAAACTCTTGTCATTAGCTGCGCGCAGGAGACGGAGTCTGCAATAACCGAGTACGAAGTTGCTGCCTTGGACATTCTGTCGAATGTGGCGAGTAACTGCGGGGGAGTCTGCGCTGCCTCCCTTCAGAGCTGCACCATAACAGCAGATCTCATCAGGAAGGGATGGCTTCTTGTTGAGGGCGGCAGAGTGAATCTCACAAAAAGAGCAAAGGTAGAAAAGGCGCAGATTCTCTCCGAAGCCACAGGCACGAAGCAGTGCTCTTTCTGCCAAATTCTCAACTCGGAGGGAAATGTTCCGCACGAGGAGTGTCTCAAGTACATCGCCGAATAAATAAAAGATCCAAGTGTAAAGAAGCACTGCTTCCGTGGGCCCGTGGGCCGCCCAGAAGGGACTCTGGACTTTGCGCCCGAAAATCACTTTACACGTTTATTGTTCGTTCAAAACCTTCCTCATTCTATCTGAGCCCTTCCGCAAGTACTCCGTGTACTCTTTTCCGCTGACATTTGGCACTAGCATGGCCCTGTACACGGCCAGAGCAATAATTGCAAGGGATATGGCCGTTATGCTTAGCACCAGAATGACAAATAGGTTTGGTATGCTGCACATAAACATGCCCAGAAGCAGAACTGTGATTACTAGGAGAACCACGCGGCTGGGGGAGACTTTCTTGCTTCGCTTCATTTTTACAGAAAAACAAGATTTGTTGATACTAAATACTTCGCATGCATATTTATTGTACTTATGGTGCGGACTCGGGCTATATTTTCTCTGCAATCTCCACCAAGAACCCGTCAATTTCGTCTGTGGTTGCTCGGCGAAGGCCCTCCTTGGCCGTGAAAACCGCGAGCTCCACGTTTGTGGCCAAATAGTCAGCGCCCAGGGCCTCTGAAAGCGAAATTAGTGCATTTTCTGTTGCCTGCTCCTGCGTCTGCTCGGGCGTGTAGAGCTTTTCCAGCTTCTTCATCATGAGCGACCCGCCCTCTCCGAAGGCCACGGCTTTGTATGGGAGAAGAATGCCCGACGAGTCGGTGTAGTATATCATCGGGCACTCTTTCTCGTACCCCACAATTGCCAGAAACACTGCTGAAATGCGCTTATAACTCTCCTGCGTGTAGAGCTGGAATTTATCTGCCATTTCCCTGGCTATAATATCCGGTGTGGGCACTTCTCCCAGGTCGTGGTACAGATCCATGGCAGCTTTTTTCACATCTGAAACTGTGATCTGTATGTCCATCAGGTATCCGCTCGCCACACCAACAACGCCCGGGAGGATCTCAAAGAAGCTGGAAATGTACTCTGGATCCATAAGTTTTTCTGGCAGGCGCTTGGAAGCTGCCATGACTATGCAGGAGGGCGTTCCCACGATAACGCACGGCATTCCCTTTTTTGCTGCCTCCAAGGCGTACTCTACCTGGTAAAGAGTGCCTTCTTTGCTAAAGTCATTGTTAATTCTTTCATTGCTCATAAATAAAAATAGAGCATGGGTATTAATATATGGAAGAATGCTGGATTTCTCAAGGAAATGACAATTAAAGAAGCCATGCGCATTTTGGGGGTAGACGTCCTTACTGCGCCCACAATAGACACCAACTACAGGGCACTCCTTCGGAGAAATCACCCAGACTTGGGCGGAAGCGAGTATCTTTCCCAAAAAATCAACGAGGCCAGAGAAATGCTCATGAGCAGAGTGAAGTAAAAGCAAAAACGTGCTCCGACCGGAAATTTCCACTCTAGAAATTTTGCTTCACTGCGTGCCAGAGACCCTATATAGAGCACTCCCCGCCCCCCACCTACGGCGTCTTGCTGTTTCTTACTGGTTGCACCATAATTAGCTTCAGAAGAGTGTTTTGTGCAGGACTTCTGCTGGGATTGGACGGGGCCTGCGCGGGAGTGCCAGAAGGCGCCTCTTTTCCCGCAGGCGGCACTTGCGCCTTTGCCTTCACCTCCTCGCTTGCCTGGAGAACTAGCTGGACGGGCATCTTTGCCATAATTGCGTCCTTTAAGTCCATGCCGTTTGGGTATACAAGCTCGAACGAGCTAGCGCTCTTTCCCACCTGCGTTAAAACCGCCTTCTGCCCCATAGCAGGCGCACTCTTTTCCGAGGGATTTCCCAGGGCAGGCGCAGAAGGGGCCTTACCCGGCGGCTGCGGGTCCTTGGGCGGCTCAGAAGCAAACCTGCTGCTTTTTATGGCGAGCCCCGACGTGTCTTCTTCTTTGGGCTTTTCCTGGGATTTTTTCTCTTTCACAGCATCTTCCTTCACCTGCCCAAAGACTGCGGATATGTATATGTTGTTCTCGGCCTTCAAATAGTACACGCCCATGTGCGTATACTCCGGTGCTGCGACAATGTTTTCTCGGTGGGTCTCCGACTTTATCCACTCCCGAAAAATGTCCATTCCGTCCATCTCTTTGTTTATGCTCTTTCCTATGTTCTCCCCCATGGCAACGGGCTTGTACCCGTGCTTGCGCGCCAAGTCCCACAGATACTCCGTTTTGTTTACGAGCTCAGAGGCTTCGGCCAGAGACTCGGCTCTGTCCCTGGCTATTTCGTTCATCGTGCTGGTCACCTTTAGAAGGGGCATGCTCGACTTTTTCCTGCTTTCCTGGATGGCTTCTATCACCTTCATGGCCACTCGGCACCATGCAAGCGGGCAAAGTGCCAGAAAACATATTCTCATTAGTAAATAAAGAATACCCCAACATATACACGACCCGAAACGCACCATAGAGATTAAGAATTAAATGTTCCTGTGGCATGAAACTCCAAAGTATGAACACGAAGCGAAAAACACAGGCGCCATGGGATAAAATAAAATTAAAATTTAAGCGCAGAAATTCGCCTCTGCCTGCAGAGTCCGTGGGCTCTGGATTTTATGCGGGAAAGGCCGTGCATCTGCTGCTGGCGGCTGCATGCAATTACATCTTATTACTTATTTATTTCTAATGTGTCTTACTATTTCTTCAAGCTCGCACTCTTTTATGTCTGCCTGCAGGGTGTGCAAGAGCATTTTTCTGTCTGTTTTTTCTATTAGGTCCGCCAGAGTGCGGTGCTTCTCTTTTACCTCTAAATATGCACGGTATGCGGTGCTTCTTCTGACTTCGTCCGCTGCGCTCCACCCAATAAGCCCTGTTCTGAGCCAGAAATACTCGGTTTCTCTCTCGTCCAGGACGGGGTTTCCCTCCACGGAGCACTCTTCAAAAAGTCTGGCTATTTCCTCCTCGCTCATCCTCTCGCGCGTTTTCTTGTTTTCCCGTTTTCTTCTTTTAAGTGCCTGGTGCCAGAGTTGGCTGCCTGCGGGTCTTGCTATGCAACTCCAGCGGAAAGAGTTTTCTGAAAAGATATGCCTGCCTTTAGTGAATAGAGCGCTGTTGCCGCAATAAGAGCTCTTTTTACCAGAATTGTGTTCGAGTAGTTTATGCTGTACAGTATAATTCCGGCGTATAGAACAGCCTCCTCCAGTATAAAATACTTTGTGAAGGAAGAGCCTGGGTTTATTCTGCTAACCGCTGCGATGCCGAGAGCAATAACTATGCCAACTGCCTGCAGAAGAAAAGCTCTTTTGACTCCCCGCTCCCAGGAGGGGGATGCCTCTCTGTATTTTTCGTGGAACAGGACGATGTATGCAAGCCCGCAGCCGTACAGAAGTATCACGGCGTTGTTTTGCAGGGTGTTCATGTAATTTAGGACAGCCACAAACCACGAATAGCCTGAAAATATCAGTATGCTTACAAACACCGGAGCATAACGGTCCAAGCAGAAAAGAACCTGATACTCCCACGGGGTTCTTGTGTAAAACCATCTGGAGGTTTTTTGGCCTGCCCTGTTTTTGTAGTGAGCTGGCAAAAGGTGCTTTCTCTCTTTGTACATGCACATTTTGTGTATCATTTGGGCAAAGGAGCACATAAAAAAATCCACACATTTATTGGCCACCAAGTGACTAATAAACTTGCAGATTTATATGGAAGACTCTCTGCGGGCGTGCTAGCTTCTGCATGCATGTGGGCCAGCTGCCCTGCACGCTGTTCGCAGAAAGTCCCGAAAATGGTGGCCTTCCATGGTGGGTCGCGCACAAGAAAAAGCAAGCAAACTAAATGATTTTATTCAGGACCTATGTCGCAATAAGAATTAGTATTGTAACTGCATTTAAAAGGGACAGCAAAAGATGGCTAAAAAAGGCGTCGCTTAGCATGGGCTTTCCTGTGGTTTCTCTTAATATGGGCTGCTCTTGGCGATTGGCACACTTTCAGCGAGTCTATGGGGCGTTTACTCCGCTCTTTTTGTGCATCGCCCTGGGAAAGGCCCTTCTATTTGCATGCGAGGAAATAAGATGCGCTGTTTTTCCGCAGAGAAAGACTGTGCACTCACTGGTGCTCTTCCTGCACGCTATAGGCCGGCGCACGTGATGAGCTTGTGCGCCAAGAGACCAATCCGCGCGGGTTTTGGCTGAAGCTTCTTCCCAAAAATAAAACCATACAGCAAGCACGCACAAAATACACATTTATTTTCGCAGAGCATAGCATCCACAGAGTGCAACTCAAGAACGCCCTCCAAACACGGCCAGAGAAGCGAGCAAGAGAGAGTTTGGCTCAATAGAGCAGCTGTGCTTCCTGCACAAGAGAAGGCCAATGCCGTAGGAGCCGTTAAGCGAGCAAAAGTGCAGGGACGGCCGCTGCGTATGTGCGCAGAGCAGCTGATAACCCCCATCAGCGCGCGCAATGGAAGCCCACAATTCTGGCGAGCCAAGACAATGTTCCTTTTATAGAGAATTAAAATTCCAACAAAGCAAATATAAAGGCAGTGTGTTCTATTCTGGCATGTCAGCGACGCAGGAAAAGATACTTTTGGCGCTTAGAGAGAAGCTCTCCCCGGAGGCATGTGCAAAAACAGTCGAAATATTGCATGCAGATAGGCACAAGGAAAAAGGCAGCTGCATGAAAATAGAGGCTGCAGTCTTCTACTTGCTGAAGAAGGTTGATTTACAGGTTGTGCTGCTAGAGGCCGGCCTGTACGAAATTCCGCTGGACTATGTACATGCGCACTTGAGCACCGTGGAGATTTCCCAGAGCACGAAAGCAGCCGTCTTCTCGGATGTAGAGGCCTCGCTTGGAAATGTGCTCGCATACATATCCAGGGAAATATGCGAGTCCCAATATCACTACGCGAGATCAAGATGCAGCATCCACGACTCCGAGGCATACAAAGCAATGTTTTCCTCGGCAGTCAAGTACCACGGCATACAAAGAGGGACAGGCCTGCTGGTGGACCATCTTGTGAGCCAGATCGCATTAATAACTCCCAGCGCAGAGTATGCAGCAGCAGAAGTGCTTCCTCTGGAGCAACTGTACGACGCCATGGAGGGAGGAAGCATCGAGCAGTTTGTGGTCCAGCAGCTGGATGTGATGCACTGCATGCTAAGCACGGAAGCCAACTTTGAGTACGGGGAGAGAATACGCGCGGACCTTCTGAGAAACGCCAAAAGCATTCGGCACCACTGGGGGAAAATTGTCGGCACAGAGGCCCTGGGGCAGTCGCTTGACTGGTGCAAGTCCGTAATAAGTGCGTACATGGACGGAGAAACAGCCGAATACTCCTTTGCAAGGCCGAGCCAGAAAAGGGGAAGAGTTGACTCTGGGGAAGTTGCAAGCCTGCACAGAGACTTTGCATACGACATGAACATGATTCTTTACGGGCACTCTGTGAGGCACGGGATGTCAGTGGCAAGCAGGGCTCGATGCAAAGAAAATGCAAGCGAAGCCCTGCACTGTGCAGAGGCCAGCAAAAGAAAGGCCTTTTTCTACAGTGCAATAGCGCGCCTTGTGGGGGCAGTTTCCTCGATTTTCATAGGAGTCTCCTTTGCGCTGCTCATAAATCGGTCGCTCATAGAGAGCATAGACCCAGTAAAAGGCAAGGCAGGCACTGCTAGGCAGCTCGAACTTGCACAGCCGATGCTTCTGGCGCTTGCAATGGGCTTCAACGGGCTGGTTTTGCAGAAGCAGGTATTTGCCGACAGCAAGAAAAGCTTTTCGGAAATTCTATCCAGAGAAATCAACAGAGTCGTTTCAAAGGTCGTGCTTCTGGGGCTTCTATTCACTGCAATATTCTACGTGGATCCAGCCATATACGCTCTTAGAGAGGCAAAGGCTGCAGTGCTCTGCGTGTGCGGGGTGGGGGCAGTTTTGTCGGTTGCAGACCCCTTTCTCCGACCAAGATACACTTTCTCCTTGTTCGACAGGAGGACTTTCGTACACACTGCGATCTTTATGCTGAGCATCGCCATTGTGGCATACTCAGTGCAGGAGTACACGCACAAAGCCATTGGCATCTCCATGCAGGGGGCATATGCGCCGCACTAATAAATCCTATGCCTTGCTTTCTGTGGGCTATGCCCGTTTCTGCGGATATTCCGGCTTTTTCTGGAGTTTTCTCCACGGAAGAAAATTCATTTTGTTGCCCGAGTACATTTGAAAGCAGGCGAAACACTTTTTTCTGTGCACACAGAGTTCGCTGGAGAAGCTGTGCCTACGAGAGAAATGCAAGTTTTATCTATTGATTTATTTCTGTGTTTATTATGAACATACTCCTGGCTTGTCTATGGATGCTTTTTCAAAGCTGTCCGCCCGAGTGTATATAAACAGTGCAGGCTCCGTGCAGGCGCCTAAATGCGGGCAGTCCTCAGGATGTGTTTTCTGAAGGCTCTGCTTCTGCGGACTTTCAGCTTCAGCTGGTGAAGGGCTTTGGCGATAAGGCATCCTGCAACAAACAGAATGAATGGAATCAGCACCAATAAGTATGTGGAAAATTTCGAAAGTATTCGGTACCTCCAAAAACCGCGGATTTTGTAGAAAGACATGGACAGTCCCGTGACAAACGCAACGTAGCACCCCATCCCGAGTTTCCCAGGCGGGGCCAAGCACGCATCCATAATATACGTGCCCAGAAGCAGCACCGCAGGAAGGCCGTGCATGCAGATGTTCGCCAGCATCCCAACTCTCTGGGGGCCCTCTCTCAAAGCCCTCGGGAAAACTGCTGCTGGGCAAGCCCAGAATATTGGCCAGAAAACGAGCATTATCAAGACCTCTGCGCTTAGCATGCACACCATCAGCTCTCTGCATGCTTTCTTAAACCCGTCATTCTTTCTCTTGTACGTTATCCCCGCGAGAACAAACGCGACCAGGCTTATAACCAGCGACATATTTGTAATAAAGAACAGCTTGCTGCCAGATATCCACCAAGAGACTCCGAGCAGCTTATCGTGGTCGACATCTAAAGATCCGTATGTGCATACAGCGCCCCCCAATGCACACAATATGCCGTTTATGATGTTTGTGTGCTCGCTTTTTTCTTTAATCATTCCCCTTTCGTTCATAGGAGCAACGGAAAAAAATTTATCTATATTAATCAGATAAAGTCAGTCTTCTCTAGACCCTTTTCTGTCTCGAGTGTCCTTCCACACCATTTCATGGGCGGAGACCAGGCACTTGTACACGAAGCACACGCAGGCAAAGCAGAAGCCAAAAAAAGCCACTTTTCCCAGGGGGCTGAAACCTTCAATTACTCCGTACGGCCAAGTCCCCGTCTTATTGTAGAACAGCACCATAACAGCGATGTAGAAGGCAAAGAACCCCGAGATAATTATATAGTGCACGCGCCGGCTCAAGAATACGCCCTCAAAAAACTCCACGAGAAGAAAGACCGTGGGAAACCCGTGCATGCACAGGTTGAAGAAGAGCGAGATTGTATCCTCCCCCACGTACGAGGACTTGACCACGACCGTAGACTCGTCGATCCACCAGAGCCCCCAGAAGATCGCAGGAATAAAGCACTCCACAGTGACGGTGAGCGCCAGGAGGTCAATGTGTGCACTCCGCATAAAAGCGTACACGCGAGAGTTTCTGCTGGAAGGCTTCATGTTTCTTCGGAGAAGCCCAATCAAAAGCGTCACCGTAGTGAGAAGAAGCCCTATATGCGTTAAATGATAGAATCGGCCAAAAAATTGTTTGATGCTTTTCGCCCTAAGTCTGCGGGGTTTTCCGTAATCAAGGTTTCCGTACAGGGAGAGCAGAGAGCCAAAGAGAGAGTTCGTATTATGGATTCGATTTTTCATTTTAAATAAACAAACATAAATTATTTTTAGAAATTACATGGCAGCATACGAAGAGTCTGTGTACAAAGCCAAACTGAGCGAAAAAGCAGAAAGATTTGAGCAAATGGTAGAGTGCATGAAAGATGCAGTGAAGCAGGCAGACGCAGCCAAAAATCCAATAGAGATAGAGGAGAGAAACATGCTCTCGGTCGCATACAAAAACCAAGTTGGCGCGAGAAGAACCTCTTGGCGGATACTGAGCAAGTTCCTGCAGGAGGCCAAAATAGCAGAGCCTAGCAACACGAAAAACATAGACGTTATTGTCGAGTACATAAAAATAGTTGAAAATGAGCTGAATTACATATGCGACGACCTTCTTTCACTTCTAGACACGTACTTGATCCACGACACAGCGAAGGACTCGCAAGTTTTCTTCCTGAAGATGAAGGGAGACTATTTGCGGTATAAGGCCGAGATAGCCACGGGGGAGTATCTTTCCGAAGTCTCTGAGCAGGCATACCAGGCGTATCAGCAGGCGATGGAGATGGCTGATGCCAACCTTCCTCCAACAAACCCGACACGGCTGGGGCTGTACTTGAACTACTCGGTCTTCTGCTTTGAGATCCTGAACCAGAGAAAGCGTGCGATAGAGATGGGAAAGCAGGCTTTTGACGATGCAATTTCAGAGCTGGACAGTCTGACCGAAGAGAGCTACAAGGATTCTACGCTTATCATGCAGCTGCTGCGAGACAATCTTTCCTTATGGGCTACGGAGTATAATGAAGAGGACACGGCGTATTAAAGCAGCCAGGCAGAGCGCTGGGCTGCGCCTTTTGGCTGCATGCCGGTAGAAGCCAGGCCGGCGCTCTGGAGTCGGGTTATTCGGGCCCAGTGGAATAAAACTGTTGGTATGCGGATTATTATTTATTCACTAGCGCGCGGGGCTGCGCTGTTTATTAGAAAAAGCTTGTCTGGCTGGACTATTTGCCTGACCCGGGACTTTAGGGAGTCCTTTATCAGTTTTAGATTTCGGGTTTTCATCTTGCTTTTTACGTCGAGTCCGTACGCCTTGTTGAAAATGTTCTGGCATATTTGCACGATGAAAATCTCCTCTGCAAACATGCAGAAATATTTTCCTGCAGAGACCTCGAAGGCCAGGCCCATCTCCTTGATTGCCTTCTCCAGGGCGTTGGCCAGCACATCCTCAGAGCTTTTGAGGCCTCTCCAGTGGCGCAGGATGCTGTTCTTCACCCTTAGCTTCTTGTCCGAGATAAAGTCCACAATTCCGTCCAGGCGGCTTGCACACCACTTCCCCTTCTGCTTTTTCTTGTAGAGCTGGTATACTTTGGTTATGCTGTTGTAGTATCCGCCGTCCTTCTTTTTGAACTGGTCGCCAAAAAGGTAGTTTATATACGCGCATATCCCAGGGTCCACAAAGGGCTTCTCTGGGATCTTCTCGCACGTCTCTGGAGGGGTTTCCCCCACCCACTCGTGCCTGTATATATCCATAATTTCTATGCGGGTGGTCCTGTTTGGGTTCAGCATCTGCAGGAGGAGCGACTTCAGAGCGGGGGACACGCCCTCCGTAGATATGTTTCCGGCTATGATCTTGTGGTAGAGAGACTGCATGTTTTTGTCGTCAAACGGGACACGCCCACACACCATAACGTACAAAACCACGCCAAGGCTCCAGACGTCGACCTCCGGCCCTCGGTACAGATTCCCCGAGAGGAGCTCCGGGGCTGCAAAGTACAAAGACCCGCAGAACGTCCCGAGAAACCCCTCTTTCTCAAAAAAGTTCGCCAGCCCAAAGTCTATCAGTATGGCGTTGTCGTCCTTGTCCACCATAATATTCTCTATTTTTATGTCCCTGTGAACTATATTGTGGGCGTGGCAGTAGCTCAGCGCGTCCAGTATTTGGAGAAAGTACTTTCTCGCCTGCGCCTCCGAGAGCTTTTTGCTCTTGATGATCTTCTTGAGCAGCTGCTCCCCCGAGATGTAGTCGAATATCAAGTAGAAGCACTCGTTTGTGTAGAAAAACTCCCGAAGCCGCAAAATGCTCTTGTGCACGAGCAGGAAGGAAATAAGCACTTCCCGCAGTATTCTGTTCTCTCGCGACTGCTTTTTCTCTATCCCAACGTACTTCTTTCGGCTTATGACTTTTATGGCAACTGTCTCGCTGCTTCGCAAATCCACGCCCTTATATACATAGCTCGTTGTTCCTGTTTCTATCACCTCCTTCAGCGCATAGTTGTTCATCTTTAGCTCGTGAGCTCTGTCCGTTGAGCTTCGCATGCAGAAACATTTTTCCTCGTATTTATTTTCCTCCCCCTTACCTCCTACGGGGCACTATGGCCCGAATCACATCTGCAAATATTATGCATCAGCTGCAAAGCATCTCTGCGCCTCCAAAAAGAACAAGCCAGTACACGCACACATTTATTTCCACGGAAGCCCTCACAGCTTCTCCTCTTCTCCCTCCTCCCCCTCGGAGCCAGGCACTTCTAGCGCAAGGACGTCTTCGCTCCTCTCCTGTGCCGCCTCTTTCTCCGGGTCCTTTCCCGGGCCCTTCTGGGCTCCTGGCTTCTCTCCCTCGCGCATGCTCCTTCTGTACATCCTGTATCGCACAAGATCTGGGATCGTGAAGATCTTTCCAGGCTCTATCTTTATCTTGTCCAAGCACGTAGTATGTGACGAGTGCATCACCGGATTTTTCTTGCTCTGCGGGACTGTGTACCGGATGTTGCTTTTGTTCGACTTCATCAAGGAGAAAAGGCAGAGCACGCTCTTGTACTTCTCCGAGAGAGCCTCCGCGTCCCCTGGCTCTGCATAGCTGTACTCCTGCGAGATGCTGTCAGCAACGCTTTGCGGCTCCCCCGCGCTGAGCAGCCCCCTTTGGATGGCAAGCACGGTTTTCCGCCTGTCCGCAGAAGCCCGCAGTATTTTCCGCCTCTTCAGCTCAAACCCCGAGAATGCCGTATTGCGCTTCTCCTCAAGAAGGAGCTTGCTCTTGAAAAGGTCCTTTATTTTCGTGTACTTTTTCAGGCACTCCCTCTCCACGATGGACAGATGCCACTCAGAGGTCAGCACCATCTTGTTAGACTGTGCAAGTATGTACTCAAGAGGGAGATTGCTGATTTCAAACATCATATGATTTAGTGATTTAATGAGAGCGGGCGTTATTTTTTTATTTATCTTTAAGTCTTTCTCCTCGTCTTTCTTTTTTTTAATTCTTGCCCTTTTCTTTATCTCTTTTTTATTTTCTATCTCAATCATCGCATTTGAATTCATCTCTTTTTCTTTCTCTAGCAGGCTTATCTCCGCATTTAGGACCTTTAGCCTCCTTTTTTCCTTCTCCCTCTTCTCCTTCATTAATTTTTAAATTAACTTTATTTTAATTATTACAGCAGTGATGCCACCCCTGCAAATCGCCCAATGAGATTTTCTTTGAAAATATTTAAAATAAAAAATAAAAAGAAGGAGAGAAGAATGGCCATATTAGAAAAGGAAAACAAATTTGTCCATAGAAAAGTGGATGAGAGAAAGGACAAAAGAAGGCCGGTGCCCTTGGATTATGATTCCATACAAAAAACAATAGAGTCAACAATGGACTCAGAGATAGTGGAAGAGCCCGGAATATCTTTGAAAATACCCGAGGCTGTCCAGTCTTGCGTCTCAGACGGGTCTCCCTTCACCTTCAAAGATACCAAGAGTATGGACGATGGCCTGGAGAGTAACTATCAGTGCTGCGGTGAGTCTCTCCCCACACTGCACGATTTGGTCTCGCACTACGAGAGATCGCACTACAAGTTTATATCAACCGATAAGAAAAAAGATGGTCTGCAGCACGTGAAATGGCACGGGGGCGACTCACACAATGAGATAGTGCAGGTTCCAACGGTGGTTTTCAACGACAGCTCGATGACGTACGACTACTTCAAGCCAACTGCCTTCTACAATACGATACTCCAGTCGGAGTCGCTTTCTCTGGGGGTTTTGCTTCCTCCGGTCGTGGTCCGAGACTTCGACATGGACGCGGAGGTTGAGCTTATAGGAGAGTCGCACTACGAGGACGAAGACAAAAAGCGGCCTTTCAAGTGCACCCATGCCGGATGTAATAAGAAGTACACGTCAGCATACGGGCTGAAGTACCACATGAGCAAGGGGCATACCGGGGGCGGAATGGAGAGCGAGAAACCGTACGCCTGTGATGTGCCAGGCTGTGGGAAGAGATACAAAAATGCAAACGGCCTGAAGTATCACTTTAATAATGGGCACTAGAGTAAAGATAATAATAAAGATTCAGAGTATTACTGCGAATTTACTTTTACGTGAAATACGAGCGGCTTCCACCGGGGGGAGGGAGTTCGTCATTGTCTGGGTCGTACTTTCTGAAGGGGTCGTCCTCGCGCGGGGGCCTTCTGAAGTGGGACTCTGGGAAGAACATTCCCGAAGTTCCGCCTTCTGCGTGGTCGCTGAAGAGGGCAGGCCTTCTCACGGAAAGAGCCTCGCCCGAGGCGTCTATTGTGTAGTCGCCTGGGGAGGCCTGCCTGAGAATTTCCGCCACTTCGCCCTGCACCTTCTCGGGCATGTTCTTGTACGCGGTCTCCGTCACGGTTATCCGAATGCTTCTCCCTGGGGGGGCTTCTCCTGGGAATGGGTTCATAAACAACTTCTTGAAAAACAAATATTCCACCTGCATTAAGTATGCAAGTGTGCAGAGCATGTCTCAACTGGGCCACGGCTTAAGTGCCCTAGCATTCTTAAGTCTGCTCAAAGCATTGTATCCTGGCCCTCTTCTTCGCATGCCAGGCTGGGCATTCGGGATATTTTGTGGTTCTGTCTATGCACTGTTGAGGCTGTGCGTGATTTTTATGACTGCGTCCAGGCAGGCGTTTATGTTTCTGTTCCAGCTCTCGACGGTGTTCGTCTCTTTCTTGAACTCAATTATGCCCTCGATCTGGGAGATGGTGCCCTCCACGAGCTTACTGCGGATCATCTCGACGATAATTTCGACGAATTCATCGGGCTGCATCTTTAATATCTCGACAATTCGGGCTATCTCTATTCTGCTGTAGTACTTGCTGATTACTATGATGTTGTACTGGCTGACTCTCTCCCGGATATTTGGTATGTACTGCTGGACTATTCCCTGGATGCCGTACTTCTCCTGGATTGTGTGCAGGGTGCTGTAGATGGCCTCCGTTATGAGCAGGTTGTTGGTGAATGCATCCCCAAGCACGCGCGTGTCATTTTGGCATATTTTGCTGCTGATGTTCGCAACAAGAATCTGCTTGGACTCTGCACTGTGGATGTCCAGTATGCAGAACAGGATCGCAAGTGCAGAGTATATGGACTCTGTCTTGCTGGCTGCCTCGTCCTTTATCCGCAAAGTGTTGAAGATGCACGCGATCTTGTAGTACTCGCTCCTGTGGATGTGGATGAAAAGCATTCTGTTGAGGTGGTAGTCGGCCAGCTCAGGCTCAGTCTCCAGCTGCTTCATGCTCATGCGCTGCGAGACAAGAATGGCCTGCCCGTACTCGCGCGCCAGAATAGCTATTCGGAGCTGCTCCAGCTGGTACTGCAGGATTCTCTTCATGGAGACGGAGGAGAAGGTCTCCACATGCACGGGATACACGTAAGACAGTGCTTTTTTCATATCTCCCCTTTTAACGTATATCTGCTTTATTGCGTCGGTTATGAATATTCTCAGCTCCTCCATGTATATGCGGCCCTCAACGACTGTCGTGAGAAGAAGCACCAAAAAGTCCAGAAACTCATCCTTGTCCTCCGAGGGGGGCGCCTTCTCCTCCGCCTGCGCGTACGCATGGCCTATGTCAATCAGCCGGACTGTTTCGTACGAGTTCTCCTCTATCTCCACGGGGGAGAGAGAAATGTACTTCCTGTATGCGTGGTGTATCATAGTGCTCAGCGCCTCTTTGAGCTGCCCCTTCTTCCTGGCCATTTGCCTAATTGCTTCTACAGTCTCCTGCGGGGTCTTTGTTGCATCCACTATTTCCACTAAAATGGCCGCACTTGCGTCTTTGTCCCCGTTGAGTCTGGCTGTTTTTTCTCTTTCCTGCAGGAGATCCATAAAAATAAACAAATTCCGAATATTAATAGAAAGCCCGATTAAATTGCAGAAGTGGCGTGCAGAGGCCGAATTTTCTCTTCCTGCTGCAAAATGCTCCCTGCACGGAATAAAGCGCAAAAAGGCTGTGCGTGTATTTCGATTTATTTCCGCCATTCGCCCAGCAGCGCAAGAGCCAAGCCCAGTGCGTGCAGAGACGCCTTTATTCCAGCACGGCTCTACTTCAGCAAAACCTTAACAAAGGGCACTGGAAGGTCATTTCCTTCATCGTCCTCCACGACCGGGTCTATTCTCACGGACTGCACGCCCTGCGGTATTCCTGAAGGGTAAATTATCTCGGAGGGCCTCTTCTTCAGATTCTCCATAAACTTCTGCTTGTTGTAGAACGTGCAGAACAAAACAGTCAGGCCGCTCATTACCGTGTGTATCTCCACGCCCCAAAGTCTCTTCAGCCTCTGGAGAATCTCCTCAAGCGGCTCGTCCTTCACCTCCAGCATATCCCACGGGCTGACTTCCAAGACTCCTCCGGGAAGGGTGATTTTCTCCCTGTGCGGGGCGACTGGCTCGCTGGCCATGAGCAAGGAAAGCGCCAAAGAAACAAAGGTGTTCCTGTACTGGGCAATTCCCGTCTCTTTCCAGAGGAGGAACTTAATGGCCTCGACCAGGGCCAGGCCAGAAACCACGGCTGTCGTTGTGGCTATTGCTGGGATGATTCGCCCTGCAATTCTCTTTATTTCCAGGGCGTCCAGCGTCTGTATCCCGTATACGGTCGACCGAATATTCGACGCTGCTGTTATGTATGCAATGTGCCCGTTTGTTTCGGAGTCTTTTTCAAACTCCTCCTCCTGCAGGGAAATGCTCTGCAGCTCCTCCCCTGCCAAGTCCCTGCGCATGGCCTCGATTTCCTTGTCCCGAATTTCGGCTGAGCCAGCCTCTCCGCGGGGGAGCGTGTTTTTCTCCGTGTACGCCTTCAGGGCGTCTTCAAAGGGGAGACTTTCCAGGGCAAACGTCCGAATCACGAGGTGGTACGCGCTTTCAACGTACTTCCTGTGGTCCTGATTCTCAAGAGAAAGCTCCACGGGGGAGGGCATTCTTTTCGGGGGTATCCAAAAAGGCGTGCCCTCTTCCGTCATGTGGTCCTTCGGGAAAGACTCGCACAGCCGCAAAGGGCCTGCAGTAAACCTCTCCACGAACAAGTCTATGGCGTACTTCAAGGCCTCGCTCGGGGTTTTCGGGCGCGTGTGCAGGAGCACGACTGCACTATCCGGGAGCTCGACTGTTGACGCCTCCCCAAGGGCCTTCTTCGCCTCCACGAGCCTCTCGTAGAAAAGGCTCTTAAAGTCTGCAAGTGCCCACTCCACGCAGTGCACGGGCTGGTACGGGAAGTTTCTGATCGTGCAAAGGGGGATAGACTTCTCCTGCGGGTCATTTGTGCTTCCGTAGTGCTCAGTCACTCCCGGGACAACGACCTGCGTGTGCCCCTTCGACCCAAGAGTGCCCGAGTCAATAACAGCCACTTTGTGATAAATAGCTCGGCTGTCTATGTACAGGCGCGCCTCCACGTTGTCGAGCGCATTTAAAATGACGTCTACTCTCCCGTAGAATTCATCGTTGAAGAGCGACTCTGTCTCCTTCCCGACCTTCGACACGTACGCCATGACGGGGCTCTCTCTGGCGCTGGGGTTCAGTGCAGCAGCCTCCCGCGCCGCCACTGCCGACTTCATCTGAGAAATGTCGTGCTCCCTGAAGAGAAACTGCCTGTTTAAATTCGACCTTTCAATTGCGTCCATGTCCGTCAGTGCAACTCTTCCTGTTTTTCCCATTCCGAGCATAACGAGGTTCTTCATGTGCTCGCACCCAATTGCGCCTGCGCCGACCACGAACACGCCAGCGTTAAATATCGCGTCTGCGCCTTCGCCAAATATCTCCACAACGGCCGAGTACCTGTTCTTCGTCGTCTGCACTCTCTCCGTCTTCTTCTTGTACATGCTCGGGGGAAGTGCCTCCAGCGCGTGGTAGTACATGAACTGCTGCAGAGGCGTGAACTTTCCGCTGCACGCCTTCAGGACTTCGTGGGCCGATATCCCCCCGGAGATGGACGTAATCGGGCAAATCGAGGTGTCTGGCTGCCGGAAGAACTCCCGCACGATGTGCACGTCCTCCTCGTTTATCGGGTACTTCTGGAGGTATGCTGCAACTGCCGCCTCAACGGGGGCTTCTCTCAGCCCGTCGTACAGAAGGAAGCACCTGTGCAAAATGTCCGATCCTGCGAACTCCGAGTGTATTATCGGGCTCTCCATCGCCTCCCTCAGCGCCTTAAAGCGGACAACGCTTTTCTTCTTGATTTGCTCAAAAGTTTCCCCGGAGAGGCTTTCTCCTGCGTATCCCTCGAGGGAGAAGGTAAACGCCTTCGCGTCTCGCACCGTGTATTTTCTGTTTTTCACGGATATCTCGTCTGCATCTTCAAGGGAGTGCCTCTCTTCCTCCACCAAGGTAACTTCTCCTGTCGGGGAAACTGCCTTGATGGTTCCTATGTACGGCGCCTCCCCGTTTGTGTCTGTTGTGACGAAGGAGTCCCCAAAGTCGCAGAAGACCTGGAAAAACAGGCCTTTCGTGCGCACAGCCACAAACGGAATGCCGAGCTTCCTGCAGGCTTCGTCCATCTGCACTTGGTCCTCAAGGGGGAAATCGTTCATCACGACTGCCGTATACGCAGAGACGTCCTGCGGGGCCGTCTCCAGGACATGTATCGACACCTGCGAGTTCAGCTCTTTCAGCTTGTACTCTATGCTTTTGTCGACGCGGTCCCCAATATCCGACTCTGTGCAGTAGTAGAGCGTGCTAAGGTCTTCGGGCGCGACAAGGCTTGGATCGTGCACAGAAATGGCCTTAACCCCGGCCAATGCAAGATTCTTAACGAGCTCCAGCCCGGACTTTTTCAGCCCAAGAACCAGCACACTCGAGCGAAGCATCCTCTTCATGGCCTCGCTCCCGATCACGTACAACTGTCGTGAATACAAAGACTCATCAACTTTCGGAGAAAATACTTTGTCTTGCTCTTTCATAAACAAAATAAAAACATCTGGAATTTATGCAAAATGCAAAACACGGTGTCCCGCTTTAAATCAATCAACGACGGAAAAGGCCGTGCGACACAAAAATAGGCGAAATGTGTGCAGAGCCTGCCTGAAATGCTCTGTGTGTAGGGTCATTTGTTTCTAATAAAATGACAATAATTTTTTTATATATGAATGAATGGAGCTACAATGTGGATAAAGTCCATACCCAAAGCAAAATGAACATTTCCAGCGAAGTAAACAAGAATGTGGTAAATATTTCCAGGGCGTGCGAGAGGGAAGAGGACAGCAACATGCTTCTGGAGCAAAGGTACCCAGACCTTTTCAAAGCAGTTGGGGAGCGAGGGGGGATTCCTGTTCTTGTGCCTCTTCATTCTGTTTGGTTTAGCATGGAGGCTATCCACCCGATAGAAAGACGGGTTTTCAGCGCCTTTCTCTCGGGGCATGAGGGCGTTCAAAAGTACGTTTCTGCCCGAAATACGATATTCAAGATGTACCAGGAGAATACATCGACGCACGTGAGCATAACTCTGTGCAGGAGGCGCATACCCGAAGATATTTCTACGCTCATAAAAATATACACATTTTTAGAGCACTGGGGACTCATAAACTACAAAATAGGCGTGCGGAGAGACATGGGGAAACTCATCGAGAAAATCCAGCAAAAAGACCTTTTTGACATAACGAGGGGGAGTGCAGTCGTTGAAACTGTGCCGTCCCAGGGCGTGCCCCCCGAAAATGCAGCGGCTTCAGAAGGCGTTTTGGAGGGCCTTGGGGCGGGGGAGGCCCGGGAAAAGAGCGAAGAAAAGCCGGATCCTGGCGCCTGCATAGACGTTAGCGAGATGTGCGAGGGGAAGCGGTACGTTACCGTTGGGGAGTCGAGCATTCCGGCTCCCGGGGGAAGTGCGAGCATGCAGAAGCCCAGCATAGACATGCTGCGAGATCCGTCGAAGCACTTTAGCCTGCAGTCTACAGGGTTCGCGCAGAACAGCATCCCTGCAGAGGCTGCGTGCACGTCCTGCGGACGGGTCATGCAGGTTCTTTCGATGGAGGAGAAAGTGTACTTTTCGGAGAGAGGCCGGATTATGCTGTGCAGCGGGTGCTTCAACGGGGGAGAGTACCCCGCAAGCTGCACGTACGCGAACTTTCACGTGCTGGAGGCTGGGATGGTGCGGCAGATCTGGAGCGAGAAGGAGGAGATGCTTTTGCTGGAGGGCATTGAGATGTATAAGGACGATTGGAAGGCCGTTGCAGATTATGTAAAGACTAAAACCCTGGAACAGTGCGTTCTCCAGTTTCTGAAAATGGGGATACAGGACCCTTTCCTGGAGATGGAGGCGATATCCTTCTCGGAGAACAAAATGCCGTTCAACTACACGCTCAACCCCGTGATGTCGACCGTTGCATTTTTGGCGAGTGTGATCCACCCGGGCGTAGCCTCAGCAGCAGCAAAGGCGGCAGTGGCGGAGATACAGAGGAATGCCGCGGAGAATGAGGGAAAAGACGACTGGCTGAACGGCCGCCTGAACGAGATAGCGGCTGTGGCACTGTCTGCGTGCATGGGCCGCGCGCAGAGCCAGAAGGTCCTTGAGGAGGGGAAGAAGGAGCGCCTCCTGGAGCTTCTCGTGGAGAGCGAGATGAAGCGGATCGACTTGAAGGTCACGGAGTTCACCGACCTCGCAAGAACTCTGAAAAAGGAGCGGGAGGACCTCGAGAAAATGCGGGAGACGTACAGGAAGGCCCACCTCGAGGCCCGGAAGGAAATTGCCGAAGTTGTTTCAAAGCTCAGGAAAATATGCAGTGAAACCGGAAGAAGCTTTGAAGAGGTTTTTTTCAATGAATAATAAAGTACCAAATTGCATTTATTCCGCGATGCTCTTTATCTGCGATATAAACTCGGGCGCTGAAAATATTTCTGTGCTCCCGTAGGAAACTTCCACGCCCTGCGCCTTCCCATACTCCACCACGGCCCTGTACTCCTCGTACGTGCCGCCCCCCAGAATGAACACATTTACTGAAGAGTACTCCTCTGCTCTTTTAGTGTACACCTCCTCTATCCGGCGCAAAACCCCGTCTTTTCCCACGCCAATCATCTTCTTGAGGTTGTTTATGATTTTGCTCCGCATGCCGTGCTTCACCGTGTTTTCCTCTACGTACTTCAGCACGGGGCTGTTCTTCACTCGGCCCTCGGCCATTTTGTACACGTCCGGATACTGCCTGCTGAACCGATTCTGCACGATCACGCACAGGCGAGTCAGCTCCGTCTCGTCTATCTTGCCCACGGCCTCCTCAACCTCCGCAAGGTCCAGGGACTTCCCCTCCTCTATGGAAAAGAGCTCATCTAAGTGCTTGCTCTTTATGGCCTCTATCGCATTCAGGACAATGTTCATGTGGTTGTACAGGAGCTTGTTCTTTCCGACAAGATCCGGGAGCTTTACAAGAGACTTCATCATCTCCTCGTTTCCGCTGTTCATGTTTATGGCCGTGCTGCTGGACATCTCCTTGTACGCGAGAAGGTCTTCATTCACTTTGTCAACGACCGAGGTAAAGGGCTCGTTTATGTTCTCGTTGTAGAACTCGTCGTACCTGTTCAGGTTGTACGCTGCTTCCCCCGTGCTTTCTCCAGCCTTCTTCACTGCGTCGTGGATCACAAGCTTATTCAGCTTAAAGTCAAATATTTCGTTGATCATTGCCCCGTACGAGTTCGTGTGGTACATCGGCCCAACCAAGTCCTCGCTCCGGTCTAAAATGATGAGGAGCGGGCGCTTGGCTTTTCTCAGCCTGGAAGACGCCCTGCCCCCTTGGAGGTCTGCTATTTCCGCAAGTCTCTCGAGAAATCCCGCGGCTATTCTCTGCGAGAGCTTGTGGTTGTGGTATACGGCAGGAGCGGGCATTCCCTTGAAAATCGACAAAAGGGCCATCTTCGCCTTTTCAACGTACTCCTCCTGCTCCCCCGCATTTTCACTCTCTCCTTCAGGGCTGGCTTCTCCCGTGTCATCGCCCGGTGCATCCGCATGCTCTGCCATTTCCGCCTGTGCGAGGGCGACCGGACTCACCCCGAGACTCTCCGTCATTCGCACAGTCTGCGCGTACGACTTTTCTATCCCGAGAGTGTACATGTTTTCGTGAAGGCACGAGTGCGTGGATATTGCATCGAACACTTTCACCACGCGATTTGCCTCCTTTATTGAGGCCAGCCTGATCGACATGTCTCTGAGAAGAGACGTGCTGACTATGCCCGTGAACAGAACCTCCACTCGGCTGTACAAGTCCATCTTCGCATCCTCCACTATGCGGTCTACGTTCTCCTCTGAGGCCTTTACAAAGTATATCGCCCTTGTCTCGGGGTTTCTCTCCCGCACGTCCTCCATCTTCAGACACTGCACAACCCCCACCTCCATAAGGTCCGTCATAACGAATAGTGGAGAGATTACATCCTGGCCCTCCTTGTCCAATATTAGGATAGACCACTCAAATGTCTCCCCTTTCAGCAGGGCAGAAAGCTCTTGAGCCTGTCTCTCTCTTAGCATTCGGGGCAAAATATTTATTGAATTTATAGAAAAAGCAATTTCCGAACAGCCTGAACAGGCACAGCACACTTTTTGGCTCTTTCCTGCGACGACTCTCCCCCGCCCTGGAGAGTGCATCTGCGCTTTTTGTGCACGGAAAGTGCTTTTTTGGGAGGATTTTCAGGAGGGCAGAGGATTTTGCAACGGATAAAATAAAATATTTTCGGTCTCTCGGCGCAGCTGCAGTCTGCACAGAGGCCGGGGGCGCGATTGCATGCTGTTTTTCTGTTTGGGCCTTTTCTGTGTTATTTTGTGTCTGCCTGGGCTTGTTTGTTTTTCTATTCTTTTTTATTTTCACGCATGAACTTTAAGAGCATTCGCATTGGAAACTATAAAATACTTGAAAGAATAGGGTCCGGTGCTTTTGGGGATATATACGAGGCACAGTGCATGGAAACGTGCAAGAAAGTGGCGATAAAAATAGAGAAAAAACCAGGGTGCTCGCAAATATCGCACGAAAGGCACATTTACAAGCTGCTGAAAACAGAGAACAACTACATCCCAACTGTTCTTCAGGCAGGTTCTCTGAACATGGAGGATATGAAGCGGTCTTTTCTGGTAATGGACCTCCTGGGGCCGTCTCTCGAGTCCCTTTTCAACTACTGCAACCGAAAGTTTTCTTTGAAAACAGTGCTTATGCTGGCAGAAATGCTAATAACTCGGGTCGAATACTTGCACTACAAGCACATCATCCACCGAGACATAAAGCCCGACAACTTTCTCTTTGGGGTCGCTAACCACAGCAAGTGCATTGCAGAGGTGCTCTCAAAAAACACGTTCTACATTCTTGACTTTGGCCTGGCGTGCATGTACAGGACCTCGAACTACACGCACAGGCCAATAACCACAAACAACAGGCTCTTGGGGACTGTTCGGTATGTCTCGCTGAATACGCATAACGGAATAAATCAGAGCCGGCGGGATGACCTGGAGTCGCTTGCGTACATGCTTATATACTTTATAAAGGGGAGGCTCCCGTGGCAGAGCATCAAGTCGTCTAGCAAGGAGATGCGGTACAAAATGATAGGAGAGAAAAAGGCAACAACCCCCGTGGAGGAGCTCTGCGCAGGCATTGACCCGGCTTTCCAGGAGTTTCTGGTCTACGTGCGAAGGCTGGAGTATGACCAGATGCCGGACTATCTGTATATTAAAAGAATATTTAGCAGTGCCATGATTCAGAATAACTTCATCTACGACTTTAGCTTTGACTGGTATAAAAGATACGCCGAAACTCGCGAGCCAATAGAGCGGTGCATGAAAAGCTCTAAGACTCGGCAGTAAGTGAATAAAAATAGAAACCGCACCGTGATTTTTCTTCCTGCTTTTTCCTGGAATTTTTTGCTTGCGCCTGCTGGGGACTAGCAGGAAAGTGTACACTGCTCTTTTTTTTGCAGGGTTTCTTTTTGCCAGAATATGCACCCGCGGGGAATATTTGCTGCTTTCCCAGGGCGGCAGAGAAGAGCGCAGGGCTTCCCAGAGGAGAATACTTTGTAGATAGTTCAAGTGCAAGAAGGTTTCGCACTATCCCGCCCTTGTTCTGCGATGGAAGTGCATGGACTCTGGAAAAAGTGCCTGGAATGGGGCCGAGAGATGCGCGCTTTTAGGGAGCAGGTGCCTCTGGGGGAGATGAGCCTCCGTGTGCCTCCCCAAGGGCGCATGCAAAGGCCGAAAATCCCCATTTCGCACTGCCTCTAGCAAGTATAAGCGAAGAGCCCGTGCATTTTTATTTTTACTTATGTGCGACAGGCCAGTGCTTTCCACGGAAATAAATCTCTCCGACTGCCTTTCGTGTGCAGGATGTGTTTCTGTGGATGAGGAGGAAGACAAGAGCCACCTGCAGGGCATCGACTTGATAAAAGCCGGAGGTGCAAACATCATAATAACCCCGCAGGCCAAGATGGCGCTGTACTCTACGGGCAGAAAAGGCAGTTTTAGGCTCTTTGAGCACTCTCTGGTGAAGTACTTCGGCGCGCTGGGAAACACTGTCGTGGACAGCACCGTGGGGACGCGTATTTTGCTGGAGAGGGAAAAGGCCCTTCTAAAAAGGCAGGGCACCGTTATAAGCACTATATGCCCTGGAACGGTGCTGTACCTCCAGAATGCGCTGGAAGGGATAGACCCACAGCTAAGCCACAACCTCTCCCCTGTGGAAATTGCAGCCAAATACGCGAGAGAAATCAGCCCGAAAAAGTGTGTTTCCATAGTCATGTGCAAAGACAAGAGAGTCGAAGCAAAAAACAACACGCACATAGACTACTGCATCACAGCGAAGGAGATGCAGGAAAGCCTCCTAGGCCAGGAAGAGATCCACGGGGGAGCAGGGAAAGAGCCTCCTCCCACGGAAAATAGCACCCCGTGGGAGCCCAGCAGACAAGACTACACCGAGTTTGAGTACATGCACAGCGTGAGCCGAATCCTGGAAGGTTCCACCACGGGAGGAGTATTTGAAGGCATTTCTGCGCACCTGCTCTGTGAAGCAGGCCCGCAAGAAGGGCGCCTCGTAACGGTGAAAAGCATGAAAACCCACAACGAGAAAGCCATTCTCCCCGGGGGGAAGAAGGTCCTGCAGCTCTTTGGGAGCAGCCGCATAATAGCCTTCACGAGCAAGCTGAAAAAAGACAAATCTGTCCTCGAACAGTACGCATACATAGAAATGAGCATGTGCACAGGAGGCTGCCTGTACGGCCCATCGCAGGGAACTGCAGTGGATGCCTCGCTCTATGCGGCTGTCCAGCAGGATAAAGTATCGCAGGAAAGTGTGGAGTACCCGGCCGCTTCCCCAGGCGAGGAAAGAACATTTGCAGCGTACAAGAAGAAGAAAAGGCGGAACTATTTGGTCGAGTGGTAGCAGCTCCCACGCGGAAAATATCTGAGAGTGAAGCGCAAGGAAGTTTCTGCTCTATTTACGAATTTATTTTTTCGTGCGAATGAACGAGTGGGCGCCCCCTAGGAGGCTGAAGGAGTCGCCGAGTGAGTCTCTGAACATTTTGCCGGAATATCCCACAAACATCACAAACACGTCTGTAAATGGCACCCGGACAATTCCAATAATAAATACGACCAGCCAAAACTACATCCCAAGAATAGACTATACGGCACTTCTGAACAGCGAAGTATTGGAGGAAGTCCGGGAGATGCTGGGCGCCTTTGAAGACGCAGAGTAGGCTAGGGCGTGCACTCCTGCTCTATTTCAAGGCGGCCCGTGGCATTCTGCACTGTTTCCTGGTGTGCCTGAAAATAAACGGAAATTATGTGAATTTTAGGGCGTTTTTATCTTTTCCCTGCGAGAATATCTGGGCATCGACAGTTGGGGATTCCCAGGCTCAGGATTTGCTCTTCAGATGCCCTGCGCGGAGGGATGGTTTATTCCGGCTAAGGCTCCATACAGGATGCAGGGCGCGTGCACTTTGCCCTGGGAAGTTCAGGCCTTCGGTTATTCGGGCAAGCATGATTCCGTGCGGACTATTAATATAATTGCAGGAAAATAAAATTTACACTATGAATAGGACGGAAGAGTATAGAAGGAATGTGCTGGACGGAGGCATTTCGCAGAAAAGCGTGGAAGCCCCCGATGGAAGCGTGAATTCTGTTTTGAGCATAGCCAAGGAGCTGAGAAACTCTCTGAGTGCGTGCCATGCTGCGCTAGTAAACAGACACACGCACGACTATTCGGATGTTGAGAGCACGGTCAAAGAGCTTGTTGCAGGAGGCAGTAAGGCCGTGGATATGATGGAGGCCATGGAGGAGAGCAAGTACTTGGAGGGCGTGGCGCACAACATTCGGGCTCTTATGAAAAGGACGGAAATGAAGCTGGAGGAGAGAAAAAGCAGGCGCGTCCGGCCCTCGCTGAATATAGCGCTGGAGCCAGAGAAGTCAACGTCCACGGCGAAGACTACGCCTGTCCAGATGCAGGTTCTCCACGAAGAAAACGAGCGCATTTTGGAAAGAGTTCGCTGCACGGAGAGAGAGCTCGTCCAGGTGAGAAGACGGGTTTCAGAAATAGACGTTCTCCAGAAGCTAATAACACAGGAGCTGTACGTGCAGGACGAGAGAATTGACGTGATTCTGAGCAACACAACAACAGCTTCTATCGACGTAAAAATAAGCCGGACGTACATAAGAAATGCGCAGGAAAAGAGGCAGGCTGCGAAAAGATTTATTTCTCTCTTTGTCATGATTCTGTCTATTGTTCTTCTCTTTCTGCACCACTCGAACAAAAGCAGCAAATAGGGCGCTCACGGGCCTCGGAATGCGCTGAATGCGCTGAGTCTGCTTGATGCAAGCTGTGTTGCTCGGTTTGTGAGCGCAACGCCAATCCCAGAAAGTCCGCCCCGGAGAGTCCTGCCTGCAAGCTTTCGGCTGTAGTCTCCGGCGAGGCACCCGGAAACAAGTCCGCTTTTGAAGGGGGAGAAGCCCTTGCTGGTGGCATACGAGAATAGTCCATTCCACAGAACAGATGTTCTATTTGTTGCAATGCCGCTGTAAGAAAGCGCTTTATTCCAGATGAACACTCTTCCTATCTCCTCAATGCTCTTGGCTATGGAGTGCATGCAAGCGAAAAGTGAAAATGCGAGGCAAAAGAAATAGCATTTTGGCAGGTGCAAGAAAAGGCCGTACAGGCGCACATTCTGTGCTTTTGGAGTATGGGCGGTGCAAGGCCCATGTATTAATAGATTTTTGATGTAATAATTCCTGTGCTCTTGCGCGTGCTTTCTTCGTTTTTGGATTTTCTTGCTGCAGCTTGAGGGCGTGGCAGCGTGCAGGGAGGCGTGTGAGGAGTGCTCCCACGCAGAGGACCCAGTACCTGCACGCACACCCCGCGGGAGACGAGCATTCGCGCTATTCGGAAGAATGTGCGACGGTTTTTCCCGTTGTGCTTGCACGCTCTGCGCTGTGGGCTTTTCAGAAGATGGGGCATTTTCCAGGGATGCTTGGGGCATTGCATGGATCCTGCCTGAAGATTTGGCCGGTCCAAGACAGGCCCATTCTGGGCGTCTGTTTGCAGTGGCATCAGCATTCGTATAAAGTTATTTTTATTTTTATTTTCCTATGAATCTAGAAGAATATATTGATTCACACGTATCAAGTAATACTCTAGTAGAAAATATGAACAATCTCGCAGAAATGGCGAGTGGTAGCGACATAAAGCAAATACTATACAGGCTGAAAACGAAGGAGCAAAAGAGCACTGGCTATGTGAGCGCGTTTATTTCTGCATACATTGAGGGAATCCCAAACACCAACGAAATATCGTACAGGCGGTGCAACCTCCTCACCAGAAGCACCGAGTGCAAGTGCTGGCCCGGGGAGAAAAAAGCCAGCAAACAGGAGCACCTGGAAAACCTTTTTACGATGCTAAGCATGCACCGAAAGAACTCGCACTTCGTTAGAATTCTTATGGCGAAGGTTTTGGGCGTTTTCAGCACGAGCATGAGCACAAGCACCATAATCAGCTATCTGTACGGGATGGACTCAGACCCAGAGTGTGCCGCCCTGATTATTGGCTACGTCCACTTGTACCACAGCCTGGGCCTGGACTATGAAGCGTATAGAGTCGCCCTGCTCCTCAACAAAATAGCTGTGCAGAGCCAAAGCGTAGTCGCGATGAAATTGCTCATTGTTGGGAAGTATCTGATGGGAATTTCCAACTACAGGGCGTACATCAACAGTGTAAAGATATTGCAGAGCCTGGGCGTAAAGGTCTCCCCGGACAAGGCCATACTCGGGTACGAAAAATACCAGAAAATCATCACAGACTACGACAAGCTTATTGGAGGCGTGGGGAAGTCAAAGAAGGAGGTGAACACCGCACACAAAGTCATTTTCCCTGTGAGTGCGGAAGAGAAGGCGCACTGGTCGTGGTACATTCGCGCTGTCCAGAGCCTGGAAAACTCGGGGGAACCCGCGAGTGCTCCCTTGGAGGAGAGCAGCGAGGCAGACCCCGTTGACGTGCTGATTGGAAGAGTCTCTTTCCTGCGCAGAAACAAGCTAAAGTACGCGCTCGTAGAGGGAAAAATCTCCATCGAGAAGGGAAACTCCAAGAGCACGTTTATCGACTACATTAACGAGCTGGACGAGGTGCACGCCCCCAAGCCCCTCCCCAGCGCTGCCAAGAGGGAGAGCGCAGAGAAAGTGCCCGAGCAGGCGGAGAAGAAGGCCGCAGAGAAGGCGGAGGAGGCTCCAGCAGCTGCCACGAAGAAGAAGACAAAAGATCAGGTCAAGATAATATTTGAGCATAGAGAGTATCTTTTCAGAAACATGATAAGAGCCTACAAAGAGGCAGAGTGTGCAGGCCTGGAAGAGCTGAAAGAAGACAGAACAGCAGAGCTCGCAGTGATAAACAACAGGTTCAAGCGCGCAAAGGAGAGACAAATGGCGATTCTCCAGGTGGCTGTCGACAGCTACTGCGCAGTGGAAAGCCTCGCCGAAAAAATCAGCCAGAGACTCGCCATAAAGGCGAAGCAGGAGGCAGAGGCGGAGAAGGAGCGGGCAGCACAGGAGGCTGTGGAGGCATACGAAGAGCCTGCATACGAGCCTGCAGCTGCGCCTAAGCCGACGTGGGTTAAGAACCAGGCAGAGTACGCAGGAAAAACCTTCAGGAGCGAGCACGAAGAGAGGCCGATTGCCCGCACGGAGAGCGCCCGGGAGAGGGAAGAAGAGGCCCCGCAGGACCTCACGTGGAGAAACAGAAGCTCAGAGCCGGCGCCAGAAGAAGCGAGTGATCCGAACATATACAGGCCCCCCAGCATGCACGCAAGCAGTTTTGTGGACTACACGCAGAGAGAAGGAAGCAGGCAAACGGGCATCCCCGAGCGAGAGAGTAAGCTGCATTGGGGGAAGACCCGGGCAGAAGATAGCTCAAGCACCGCAGAGGAGCAGGGCAGAGAGTTCCGAAAGCGGCCCGAGAGACCGGAGCAGGAGGCCAGAAGGGACAGGAGAAGGCCCTCCGAAGCGCAAAGCACGGAGTTTAACTGGAAAAAATAAAGACATATTCATTACACCTCAGATGCAGTGTAAAGGCGAATTTCGTGTGCACAGAGAGCTAGCAGCTCCCCAATGTTTTTACACTTTCTCGTCTTTACATCTTCTCACCATTATACTTTCTTGGAATCTTGCCTTCTTGGTAGCTCTACACCTTCTTCTCATTTTTCTTGGAATATTCTTTACATCTTAACATCTTTACATTTTCTCATCTTCACACTTTCTCACCTTCTCATTTTCTTGGAATATTCTTTACACCTTCTCATTTTCTCATTTTCTTGGAATATTCTTTACACTTTCTCATCTTTACACCTTCCCATCTTTGCACTTTCTCATCTTCTCATCTTCTCATCTTTACACCTTCACACTTTCTCATTTTGCTTAGAATATTCTTCACACTTTCTCATCTTTACATTTTCTTGGAATATTCTTGACGCTTTCTCGCCTTCTCATTTTTCTTGGAATATTCTTTACATTTTTCTTGGAATATTCTTCTCACCTTCTCATCTTTACAGTTTCTTGGAATATTCTTTGCACTTTTTCACCTTCTCATTTTCTTGGAATATTCTTCACACTTTCTCATCTTCACACCTTCTCATCTTTGCACCTTCTCACCTTCACATTTTCTTGGAACATTCTTAACACCTTCTCATCTTTATACTTTCTTGAAATATTCTTTGCACTTTCTCATCTTCTCATTTTTCTTGGAATATTCTTAATACCTTCTCATCTTTGCACTTTCTTGGAATATTCTTTGCATCTTCTCATCTTTACATTTTTCTTGGAATATTCTTTACATTTTCTCACTTTTACATTTTCTTAGAATATTCTTTACATCTTCTCATCTTTGCACTTTCTCATGTTTACACTTTCTTGGAATATTCTTCTCACCTTCTCATCTTTACATTTTCTCATCTTCACATCTTCTCACCAGTATACTTTCTTGACACTTTCTCATCTGGGAGTGCCTTCCGAGTCTTAGAACATTCTCCCCTGGGAGGCCTTCTCGAGCACTTCCTCGCTTATTCCACCAGGCAGCACCCAAAAAGACACTGCCTGCTTGCAGGAACTTACTTATAACATCCTCGGCCTCTGCACGCGCCATGGACCATCGGATAGTACGCCTTTTTGCATATTTATGCTCTTTCCTTCGAACCCCTTTTTCGCCCTTTGGCTCTGCTGCTTTTCAACTTCGAAAAATCCGCTTAGGCGCAAGCACACGCGACAGGTCCCAGGAGGGCACAATTTTACGCCAACTTTCGAGAAATTCCCTTCCCAGAGAGTTTCCAGGGGCTCTGAGCATGTCCGAATGCGGAATGCCTCATTCGGGAAGTGCCGAAAAGAGAAGCTCTGAAAAGGGCAGGCATCCAAAGAGGCATATTGAAATTCTAATTTACCCAAAATAGAAACCCCCCGGAAGGAATTTTATTTTCTTGCAAAGGCCTGGTTTTCAGCATATTCCGCAAGGGACTGCGCCAAACATGCGCGTGAGGGGGCTGGCACTTTGCCCTGCAGCAGCTATGCACTTCTCCAGGCAAGCCTCTACTGCCTGCGTTTTTTCGCACGTCCGCACACCTTCTCGCAGGTGCAAATTAATTTACGCGCGGCAGTATGTACATAAAAGGGTTAATTTGAGGAAATAGCATAAAAGGTCCAGAGCGCGAGTCCAGAATGTGGAAAGCCCGGCCTCAATAAATCCGAAGAAGTACAGAATGTGCGTGTGTGCCTTCCTGTGCCTGGTTCTGTGGGCTTATTCAGTGCGTGCCTGCAAGGGCGCTGTGCCTGAACCTGGGAAGAGGCCAAGTCTGAGAAGGCTCTGCTATAGAAGAGTGCATTTTATTTTCCGTGCATGTGCATTCGGTGGGTATACGAGGCGATAGACTCAGAGGTTGCAGTCCAAGTGCACTCCGGGAATATAGTGAAGGGAGTTCTCCGGGAGGTGGACAAGCGAGAAAATATGAGGGTGGAGACGCAGGAAGGAATTGTCCTAATTTCCAGCACGAGCATAAATGCAGTTGTTCTTCCCGACTTCATAGAGCACGTAATAGCCCACTGCAAGAGAGGGCGAAACTAGGAGAGAGCAAAGCCAAAGGCACGCCCAGAGAATGTGTGTGAATTCGGACAGAGAAAGTGAATACCACGCACTCTAGTCTAATATTTATTTGAAGTACCTTTCTATGGGTGCTATAAGGCCACTGCTGTGGATCACCGAGTAAGTGCACGAGAGCAAGATAATGCACAGAATGACGAAGGAAAGCCCTATTAAAACAAGAGGCCTCCTTCCAATCTTTCGGGGCTGGCTGTCTTTGAAGAGGAAGTTTATGCTGAGAGAGTCAAATGGGTCGTTTCGGTTGAATATTTTGGACCTGAACCCGCTAGACTCCAAAAAGTCCTTCTGGCTGCCTATATACGCGCCGTCTGTTCCGTCTTTGCTGGTGCTTGGAATTTCGTAGAAGAGAATGTCCCGTATGACTTTGTCGTTTATAGGGTCGGAAACCCGCTTCAGGCGCACAATTCGCCCGTCCTTGGATATAACCAGCTCAAACAGGTACTTGCACAGAAGCCTGGCGTCGTACACGATGGGAATGCTCTCGTTTTTCAGGAAGACCTTAGCAAGAACGTGCGGGAGGTTCTTCTCAGAAGACTCCTTAATGATCTCTGAGAAAGGCCGCTGTGTGAACGGCTCGACGCTTAAAGAGAGATAGTTTATGGGTGCTTGTGCCAGGGTATCCATGTTTTTCCCCACTTGAGGGTGCTTATATTTATCCAAGTTGTCATACAATGTTTTGAACTCAGACAGAAAAGTTTTACTTCAGATGCAGTTTTACTTGCAGAGTGCAGAGTATCTTGGGATTTTGCAGAAGGTCGTGGAGACTCTGCAGATGCAGGAAAGGAGAAACGGGGCGGAGAGAGAGTGCTATCTCCTGAGCCTGTTTACACGGCTGGAAGTCCTTCTCGAAAAAAGTGACATATCACATCAGAGAAGCAAGCACGCCAGGCGACACTTAGACGTGATCAAAAGGCTGTCCGAGGCCGTCCTAAGGGAGAAAGACCCTGTAAAGGCAGCCATGCTTCTTTCCATTATAAACAGCCCATTTTAGCAGCTGCAAAGCACGCATGCGTTTCCCCTGTTTTGCAGGCACAGCATGTAAATTGGCTCAAGGAAGAATCATTGGATTAATATGAAATTATATCTAAATTAGCTCATTTTCAATGTGCGCACACCTGCGGGTTATGCACAGTGTTCCTGCAGGTGTGCTGTGGCACTGCTTTGCCCCCAGAGTTTTATTACAGAATTCGAGATTCCGCATTTGTTTGGAACATGCCCCTGTAATACATTTTTGCTAATTTATTTTTTTCGCATTTTTATAGGACGCATTTTTCGATGTTTTTCATGGACTGGGTCTTTACTTTGTATTACTCAAAAAAGCAATTGCAATTTTGACATAAACTGTAATAGGTCTAAATTGAGCAATGTGTCCAATAAGGGAAGAATATTCTAATTTGGCCATTTCATAAATATAAATAACATAATGTTATTAAGTGCACGGAGAACAATACAGATGTCCACAAGCCCAGAGTCATACTTCGATAGCTTCCACAAAACATCCCAAGGAGAATTCAAGAACACTTACTACAACCCATTCCATGTAAAGCCCAGGAAGAGAACTAGCAAAGAGCAGCTGGAAGTTTTGGAGAAAACATTCGAGACAAACATAAAGCCTGATGCAGCCCTTCGCAAGGCACTGGCCACCAAGCTGCGGATGACTCCTCGGAGCGTGCAAGTGTGGTTCCAGAACAAGAGAGCAAAGGTCAAGAACACAAAAATCCAGAACGAAAAGAAAGAAACCGAGAAGGAAATAGAGTTGGAGTCGCTCTTTATCAAGAAGGAGAACAAGAAGAAGGACTATGAGTGTTTCCTCTCGAACTATTCTGGATACGATAAAGAGTACGGCGGCCTCCCGCAGAAGCACTACCTGGAGGAGACGCACCCGCAGTTCAAGGAGGAGGATCTGGAAACACTTGACAAATTGGTGCTTGGCGAGGAGAACATAGAAAAAAACAAGAAAAAGAAAGATGAGTACTGCACATTCTACTCGATGGCAAATACGCTGCATTTTGATCCTAGCAACTATCTTAATTAAATAAAAATACAAACCGTACGCGTTCTTTATTTGCTGCTCCAGGTTATCCGGGATTTTTTTATTTTTTTTCCGGGCTCTCTGCGCACGCGGGGCTTTAATATTAATATTGCATATTTCATTTACGACGTGCTTTGTACAGGCTGGGATATATTGCAAAAAACTCTCGTTTTTCGGGCATTGTTGAATGCCGCTTCTTGGGCTCCAACTTTATATATAACTTTCCCTGCGCGAATATGCCCCTTTGGTGGAGCAGGACACTCTGCGGCGCCCTTTGCTCTATATACCCTGTGGGAGCTGTCTATGCACACCCACTTGTTTTTCGTGTTTTGCGCATTTTGCTTCTTTTTCTTTATGTTTTTTTTGCTTTTTTTGTTTATGAAGTATCATAGCTTAACCATTAGGCCAAATAATATTTATGTGCAGGAAAGCATAGAGCACGATACTATAATAAAATCGGTTTCACTTACCCCGGTTGTATCAGAAACGAGCCTTCGTTCGAGTCTTCTTGCGTCAATTGATGGAAACGAAGTGACTTTGTGCAACTTACTGACCAACAAGATCGAGACCAAGATACTGAACATTCCTCTGAGCAAGGGAGTGCGTGTGGAGCTGCGCACAGAGGGGGACAACGAAATAGACGTTCTTTTCCTGGAAATAGAGAGCCACGACGTGGAGCACAAGCCCAGCAAAGTTTCCTACAAGGCCGTGCGCGTAACCGAAAAGGAGAAGTACACCATCGACAGAAGCGAAGCTGTGAAAATACTGAACATATCGATTAGCAACGAAGATGAAAGCCCGTCTATGAAGCCAACCCAGATAATTATAAAGGACGGGGATGTAGTACTGAAAATCACAGAGTTGGTGCCCGGAAAGAAAGAGTGCGAAGTTGTAGACATTGAGATAGAAAACCAAAACGTGGAAATAGAAGTGAAAGGCCCCGGCGCAATAGACATGCTGTTCCTGCAGGAGAACACGGAGGAGCCTGCGTGCTGCCATGGCGAGGAAAAGTGCTTGGAGGAGGCAAGCGCAGAAAGCGCAGAAGAAAAGCACCCGGCAAGCGAAGAGGAGAAAAAAGAGCAGAAGGACACGGAGGATGCCTGCAGGGAGGCACTGCAGGGAGCCGCCAAGAGAAAGCACGCGGACGATGCAGAGGGCGCCCGAAAGAAGGCCTTGCTGGAGACAGAGGGCAAGGTGCAGGAAATAGAGCAGAAGAGCACAGAGCAGCCGGAGGAGGCTGTAGAGGCCTCTGTGAGAATGCTTTCCGACGGGATTGGGAAGCTGATAGGAAAGAAGTCCTTTATATCCGTGAGCTACTCGGTCTCCGAAGGCTCGGGGTCCAAGAGCTTTGAGGAGACAATTTTGGTAAGGAAGCTTCTGGAGCACACCCATTTAAAGCATTTTTCAAGCGTTATTAGAGGGTCTCGGGAGGGCGCATCTTTCAAGGCAGAGCTGAAAGCACCCAGCGGCACAACGGAAGTACTGCTGAATATAGGAAAAGTCGCCGCCCAGCAATAAATTCGGTCTAATTATTTTTGGAAAAGCTGCAGGATCAAAGTGATGAGGGACGTCATAGCCAAAAATGAGGAAAATTTGGGGCAAAGCCCTTCGATCAAATAGATCCCTGCATTGAGATATAGAATAATATTGCAGAAAAATGGAATCATGAAGCGAGCTGAAAAAATAGAGCGAGGAAAAAAGGAGCTTACTCCTGTTTTTGTATCACACGAAAATAAGCTTGAATTCTATGTGGAGCACCACCAAATAAAGCCTAGGATAGTCGAGCTGTCTTCCCTGTGGAATAGCTACATTGAGCTGTTCCGGGAGTTTCAAGAAACCTTGGAGGAGGACGAGCGGCTTGAAAAGGCCATCGAAGACTGCTTTGAGGAGATTAACATAAAGCTCCAGAACGTGGGGGAAATCCTCTTTCTCCTCCTGGACGAGCTGGAGTCTGTGAAGTTTCACCAAAAGTTCATGGAGTTTGAGAAGATTCAGGACGACTTGTGCACAACCGCGTGCTCGATCCTATACATAAACAAGGGGTTGCTTACGACGAATCTTCTGGAAACCCTGGGGGAGGTTGAGTTTTCCCTGTACAGGTGTCTTACGCTTGGCCAGAAGGTGACAAAGGCAAAAAAGAACATGGAAATCAACTGGATACACCCAACACAGTACGAGATACTCAAGTATTTGTACAAAAACTGCCGATACAACCTGCGGGAGTACTTGATTGTGTACAAAAATGTTTTGCAGAGTGTGGAAGAGCAGAAGACCATCATGTTTGACATGGGAATGGCCGAGCAGCTGTACTCTGGGTTTCTGGAGAGCACGGCCAAGAACTTCCTCCCAGGAAACTTGATAGAGACGCACGCGAAAAACTACAACGAGAAGAGCCTTGAGGACAAGATCCGGCACCACGAAGAGTCCATATCCCAGAGAAAGTGCACAATAGACCAGGTAATCTGGCAGCACAAGCGGATAATTGGGGAAATTGACCAGATGAACTGGAATGCAGGGAAGGAGGCAAAGAACATCATAAACATGGAGAAGTCTGTTGACAGGAGGGGCGACTTCTCCATGAAAAAAATGTTTTCTCTCTTTGAAAGCGCCTCGAACCGTCTGAAGGAGTATGAAATTGCGCTTTCCCGGTTCTCGAAGCTTGTTGCCCGCTCCAAGAAGTCCGAGTCTACTGCAAACAGGCTGCTCCAAATCAAGTCCCTGGACTTCAACTACCTGATTGTTGAGGGAAACTTGAAAAACCTCAAAACAGACGTATTGCTACTATACTCCGCCTCTACTGAAATATACAACAGAAGAGCCATAATTTCCAACAGAGAAAACTTTGGCTAGTCTAGCAGACTATGTTTTATTCTAAATAAACACGAAAGTGCCATTTCTTCTTTCCCTGCCACTCCGAGAAGCTTCTTCTGCCTTGGCCTGCCCTGCTAAAAGTCGTGCAGGAGGGAAGTGCTTTCTCAGGCGCGGCGTCTTTGAAAAGCTGGAGGGCGTTCTAGCTCTTTGCCTAACTATCCGCTGCACTCCGCCACGAGCTGCTCCAGCCCTTCCCTAACTAGAGTGCATATTTGGGGATGAGCTGCACCTTTTCCATAGAAGGCTTCTGTGCACTCCTCATATTAGGGCACTCGCTGCTTGTAAAATACGCTTCTCTACGAGCCCGTTATTGCCGTTATGGCGTCAGAAAGGGAGGGATTTGAGGACGGAGCATCTCCAGAGGCGCCTGCTTCCGGGGCAGTTCCCCCGGAGGTGCCAGAAGACGCTCCGTCCGAGCCTGCAGCACCTTTTGAGATCCGGTAGTTCATTATGGCCACTATAATGAAGATCACAAACCCTCCAAAAAGTATTAGGAGGCACACTCCTATGAGCAGGCCTATTGCCGTGTACGCAGTGATTCTTCCGAGTCTGGCTATTTTCTGGTACTTCTCCGCAGACTTTAGGTCCTGGTCTGCCTTTTTGGCCTTTACCTCCGCCTTCTCCGTCGATATGGAAATTTTGTCCACGTCCTGGTCCTTCTCGTGCACAAGCAAATTCAGCTCCTGCGTCATTTTCATGACCTTCTTTATTCCCCGGGATATGTTCTTTACGCTTTTTTTCCGGCTGTCAGAGACCGTGTGCTTTAGAAAGGGAATTTGCGGGGACTCGCTGTACTCCACCGCCTCCAGCTCTTCCTTCGTGGCAGTTGGCCGGGCAATAATATACTGCGACTTTATGCGCTCTCTTTCCTCGGAGCTAAACTCGCTCTGCACGCTGCTGAAGGCCTCTATTGTTTTTTTTGTTCTCTCCACGAGGGACCGGATCTGCTGCTGTTTCACGTGCTTTTTGTGCTCGGACTTTCCTCGAATGCCCTTTTTAAGCTCTTTTATTTTCTCCTTTATCTCCGCCATGTTCTTTATAAAGTCGTCTCTCTCCTCGTCCAGGGCAGTCCGCAGTGCCTCCGCCTCCTTTTCGTCCGAGGCTCCGCTCACCCGCCTGGTGGCTTCCCCCATCCGGCGCGAGTCTTCCTGGCAGACTTCTATCTGCTTGCTCACGCTGTCTATTTCCTCCAGGAACTTCCGCATTTGTTTGTGTGTCACAACACCCGAAATACACATACAAGGCAAAACACCGCGAAAATTCCATGCGCGCTCAAGTGCTTTTCTCAGACAATTCCCCAAGTACTGCTATTTATTGGCATCTGTATCCCTATGTACACGCGCCTTCAGTCCGGGGCACATTTCAACTGCGTGCTCACACAGATGTGCTGTCTTGTGCAGAGCACGCCTCCGCCAAGGGCATGTTTTGGGCCTTTTCCTGCTTCTTTCTCTTGCCAGAGGAGAGGGAAAGCCTGCAAATAAGCGGAATCACTACCCCCAGCCCTGCTCCCGCCAGCACGTCCACAATGTCGTGTCTGTGGTCGGATATTCTGCTGGCTGCCACTATTATCCCGGACGCAAAAGGAACAATTATCCCCATGTACACAAGGACGCTCCTCACCCCAACGCTCTTGCTTCTTTTTATTGCCAGCACAGAGTCAAACACCAAGTAAAACACAAACGCAAAGGACATCCCAGCGTGCCCAGAGGGAAAGGACCTCCTCCCCTCCAGATACTTTTGCCCTGTGGTTCTCTGTATTCTGTCCGCATAGTCTGGCCGCTCCTTCCCAACGATGCACTTGATGACTCCTATGACCAGGAATGTCGCAAGACACCCGATGTACGTGTTTTGAAACGTGTCCACAGCCATAACGCTCTGATTGGCCAGGCCTGAAATTAGAATCTGCATAGGAGGCAGCAGGAATACAATAGCAAGCAAAACACAGTAGAATTCAACCGTGTCATTCTCCTTGTATGAGAGCCCGGGTGTCACACTTTTCATCGTAATCACAGAAAGTGGGCTTAAAATAGAAAAGATCAGGCCTGCTCCCAAGAGAATCAAAATTACGAGGGCCTTTGAAAGCATTTTTACAATCTGGTGTTTCCGCATAAAATATAAAATGAAACAATTTACCGCCAATTTATATTTGGTATAAAATGGGCGAAAGAATTTAAAGTATGCTGAAAAGAGTATTGGAAGACATAACAAATGTGCGAAACACAAACATAAAAGTGACAATAAAAAAAGAAGAAGTTCCTCTTCGTAGAGAGATTCTGTCTCCCTACCTGGAATATGCCGAGGCGTACTACAACCACCTGAACAGGAAACTTGCAGAGTTCTCGGAAATACTGAGGGAGTACGACTGCCCCGAGAGCATGTGCCTTTACACGCAGGGCGCAGCCTTTTATGCAGCGCACAAGGAGGAAGACAAGTACGCCTTTGGGGCATCTGAGAGCATGTCTCCTGCAAGCAGCCTGCTTGGAAACCTTATTACAGCACAGCCTGGGCGCCTGGGCGGCAGGTCGTTCGTTGTAGGGAAAGAGAACGAGTTTATGCCGAACGTGGACGAAAAATTGTTCTCTCTCCCCCTGGAGGAAGTCCTTGGGAAAAGTGGGAAAGACTCCGGGGCGAGAGAAGAAAGAAGTGGGCCGCAGAGGAAGAGGAAGTGCGAGGAGAGTCCGGGCGAGAGAAGGCCCAGGCAGGCGGAAGAGCAGGGCGTTCCGGACAGAGTCTCTGCTGCGAGCCCAGAGCGAGTCGACTGCTCGTCCTCGGAGGAGGTGGAGCTGGAGAGCGGAAGCGCCAGGAGGGAGAGCCCCTTGGCGCGGCGTAATAGAGAAATATCGATAGAAATGAGGACCACGCTTATAGAGTGGATGTACGACGTGAAAACAGAGTTTAGCCTGAACAGCACATCGTACCAGACAGCAGTCAGAATCGTAGATAAATACGCGCTGGTGGGGAGTCTCTCCAAGAAAAAGTACCAGCTTGTCGGGGCAGTCAGCCTCTTTGTTGCGAATAAGCTCGTGGAGTGCGAGTCCCGCGGGCTTATGGCGTACTTGGACGTGTGCGACGGAGCATACACGAGGAGTGAGTTCCTGGGGTGCGAGAGGGATATGCTCATGAAAATTGGGGGGTGCCTGAACTTTCTTCTTCCAATGCATCTTATTAAGGAGGACCGGTTTTTGCTCGGGAACTCCCTCACAGAGTACGCCAGTGAGGCAGTGCTTCTGGATGCCTCGTACGCATGCCTCCTGCCGAAGGAGCTTTCTGCCTTTATTGAGGCAAATGTGGTGGCGTGCCTGGGGGTGGAGAGCTCTCTGGCACGTTTGCTTCTCTTCTGAAGAGGTCGAGTGTTTTGCTTGAGCAGCAAAACAAACAGGTGAAAGAGCTCGTTTCAAAATTGTAAAAATAAACCCGTAGTTTACCTGTGTTTTCTGCAGGCGCTATCATTTGTAGATAAAACAAAGCCTGCCTTGTGTTTCATGAAAATACAGAGCGGAAATATTTCCTCCCGGCTTTGGTTTTTTATTCTCTCGTCTTCGGCCTTGTTCTTCTTTTTCTTTGCGTACGACAGCCCCTCCCCGATGTACTCCGGGCTTAGGGAGATATTTGGCGATAGATACGAGGAATACCACAATCTCCTGTACGCAGCATACGCAGTGCCGAATCTGCTGCTTCCCCTGCTGTTTAATCTGTCGGACAACTCAGAGCCTGCCAAAATGGTGTACACGTACGCACTCATTGTCGCTGGGCAGAGCATATTCTGCCTGGGCGTGGGGATGGGCGTGTTTGAGCTTATGCTTGCAGGCCGCTTTATCGTTGGGCTGGGCGGAGAGAGTTTCAGCATAGCGCAAAACAAGATGCTGGCGTCCCTCTTCTCCCCGCACGAGCACGGGAAAGTCTTTGGCCTGTGCCTGTCCATTGGCCGGCTGGGGTCTATACTTGCATACCTTCTCCTGGGGACCCTCATTGAGCAGGGGGCTTTTGTGTGCGCTCTTATTTCCACTGCGCTTGTGTGGCTCGGGGGACTTTTCATCTTAATAACGTACAGAAAGTGGGAGGTTAAGTGGCAGGAGTGCTGCGAGCCCCTGGAGGAGGAGGAAGTCCACCACCTCCTGCCGTTTTTCATCGCCATGACGGTGCTGCTTGCGTGCGCGACTTCCCCGTTCTCCAGCAATAACTCGGCCATTCTCCAGAAGAGGCTTGGCATAGACTTCAAGCAGGCGAGCAGAGCACTGGCCTTCCAGGAGGCGACTGCCCTTATATTTACCATTTTCATTAGCATTGCAACAGACAAGTTCGGGCACCGCCTCAGCTGCATATGCCTGGGGACACTTTTTCTCACGCTGGGACACTCTATGATATTTTACTCGAGCCCGTTATACTGGATCTCCGTCTTTCTCCTGGGGATGTCTTCCGCCCTGCAGGCGTGCAGCTGGCCCTGCTATCCGCTGCTTTTGTCGCAGAGCAAGCTTGCAATAGGCCTGTCTCTTCTCTCCTGCTTCATAAACCTCGCCTACTCTGCATGCCCGCCCATCATCAGCCGAATATCCGATCCCTCCTTCCGTGTGTCGGAGTACTGCAGCACCTTTTTTGCCGGAATGTCTTCAGTCATTGCGCTATACATTGTCTTTGCAAACTCTCGGCACAGATATGGCCTGAACGGGATCCGCCACTACCGCGCCGAAGGAAAAATATAGACAGAACCGTGCTTAGACCGATAATAAATCTATTTATGCACGCTCTACTGGATCCATTGCGTGGAAACATGCATTGTCAAATGCGCATTTTCAAGGCTCTTCGTGCAAAAACAGCTGCAATCTGCCTGTACACCGTGCTCTTTGCTCGGGCTGTGGAAAGCAAAAGCTACCACTCTCTGCATAAAGTGTAGAACTAGTTTGAGTTATTGAATAATTTCCTACGCACACAGCTGTTTCCAGTGCATAAAGTGTACTGCAAAGAAATAAAGTGTACGTGTTTTTTATGAATGAAAGCCCAAGTCAGAAGACTCGGAGAGCGCAGGCAAGGAGAGGGCTGGCAGACCACTCTACAGCAGGCCCTCTGAAGACCGCACCGAGTAGAGATGCCCGTGCAAGAGTAGACACTCTGATCGAAAGATCGCGCACTCTGCAGCAGAAACCCTCCAAAAGACACAGTAGGAGTGTGGGAGGGGAAAGAAGCTTATGCGTGCGTTTCTGGCGTGGGGTGGCACTTTTGGGAAACTCTCTCGGCAGAAAGACGCCATCTTCAGCGCGCATCCGAGCTGCAGTTTGGCGCAGTTTTCCAAGAGCACGACCAATCGCACCAATCACGACCTGCGCCAGAAACTGCCCGATTGTGATACGCTGGCAGTAGAACGCGCCAACGCCCAAACAGAAGCATTAATTTTCGCATGCGGGCGCAAAAATTTAAGGAGATGGACGGCAAGAAGAAAGAGTACGAGGAGGAAATCGGGAACATTCTCAGAAAAGTCATGGAGGTAAGCTACCAAAGAAAGAAAAACTCCGAGGAGATTATTTCTCTTCTGAAAAGCATCCGGCAGGAGGAAGAGCCCTCCTCTGTGAGCCAGTCTATACTAAGCGAGTACTCTGTTCTTAAAGAAAGAGTGAAGAACAATCTGGGAATGAAAGAGTCCAAGTAGTTTATTTCTTAAACGTGTTTAAAAGTGTTTTTTTTCCTTTTTCCAGGCTTTTCTTTAGTCTGTCAGAAACTGACTCTTTTTGTGCAGGCGTGCTTCCAATAAAGTTCTTTCCTCTTACAATTTCCGCCGGCTCTGAGCTATGCTGCGCCCCGCCCGAGAAGACGCGCGTGCTTCGCTCGCCTGCATACTTGCTGGGTGTGATTTCTGGGGACTTTCCTTCGCTCGCCTCGCTTTTTGCACTTTCTACATTTCTGAACATCCCCAGGCGGTCGGCCCCCTCGGCCCCGCTGGACACAATTCTCCCAGGCACTCTCCTGATCGCGGACTTTTTCTTGCACACCTCCCTCTCGGCAGGCGTCTCCTCCTTTGCAGGCGCCTCCTCCACGGGCTCGCTTTCGTTGGCGGAGGCAAAGCGCAGCTTCGACTTTTTCTGGGCTCTGCTGGAGGGGCAGGAACTGCCTGCACCAGGCGTGATCACTGGGGCGCTGGTGGCAGCTTTTTCCCTCACGTCTCCGCGCTGGAGAGCCTCCACGTACTCCTTTGCAAGGGGGCTTTTGAAAAACGAGGGCGAAAGCTCCTCCTTGCTCCTTTCTCCGTACCAGTCCAGGAAGACAGCGTTACTCCCCGTCATAAAAGGGCGAAGAAACTCGCTGTCCACAGAGTCTAATAATAGTGACTTCACCGTGCACACGCCTGTCCCCAGCTCCCGCATTCCGCCAGCGCACTTTGTGCATGCCAGCACCGCAAAAGGCAGGCATCCCCAGCTGGGGTTCTTTCCTCCGCACAAGAAACAGTGCTTATTACCGCTTTTGTTTATTACATGTTCATTCATAAAATAATAAATGCGCAAATATAAATACCCGCAGATAAAACAAATTTCCGTGCCCACTTTCAGGCCAAACTTTAATTTTATTCTGTCCTCTGCCCGCACCTCTGCACTTCAGTTTATTATAGGTATAGCGAGTTTGCAAACACAATATCTCTTTTCACGAGGGATATCGCAGCCGAAAACTTATTCTCCATCTCCACGTTCCCAATGACCTTTGAGGCCCGAGCCATTTCCTTGAGCACCTCCTCCAGCCGCCTGAAGCACCGGATGATGCTTCCCTCAAAGACCTCTGTGGTTTCGCATATATCTGCGAAGCTGTATCCCTCCGTCCACCTGTAAACGACGTCCATGAGGTTCGAGCAGAACTTCTCTGCGTACTCCTTGGCCTTGAATCCTGTGTCGAGCCGCTCAAACTCCATGGAGAGTCTCTCCACCGTCTGGGTGAGTATTTTCAGGGCCTTCTCCGACGCTGGCGTGAGCGTGATCTTATCGGACTTATCGTCAAAGACGACGCAGCTGAGAAGCGAGCATATTCTTCCGGGGGAGAGTTTGCTGAACTCGTTATTAAAAAGCATTTCCGTGAGGAGCAGTTCGTCTCCGCTGCTGATTTCACTTGCGACTTTCCCCTTTATAAGGACCTCCTGCTCCGAGAGGTAGGAGAGTCCCTGCAGGATTCTCCGCTTATTATTGTACTCGTCTATCATGATCAGGCGGGTCTGCTCCTTCTGCTGTGCGAGTGTCTCGATCTTTGCCCTGAGCGCGCTTCTGTATGAGAGGGACTCTATAAGCTTGAAAACTCTGTCCTTCTCGAGGGGATTCAGCGGGCGCACGTACTGATCGTACAGCCTATCCGCAGCCTCCTCCAGGCGGTCCTTCATCTGGGAGACTTCTCCTGCCACTCCCAGTTCTGGTGCGCTGTAGAAAGAGAGGCTCTGCTCGAGCTTCTTGTTCTTTCTCTTTGTCTCGCTGAAGAACTCTCTGAAGAACTTTGCCGTTGCCTTCTTTGCCTTCATCTCGACCGAAGTCTTTGCGATGCGCTTAACCTCCTGCAGCGAGACCTCCCGGACAATTTCATCCTCTGTCATCACGGAGACATTCTCTGCGCCCTTCTCCATGACCACAGCGAGCACTTTCTTCTCTCCTAGCAGCACGTCCGAGTACTCCACCTCGAGCTTCTCGGAGACTTTCCTCGTTTTCCTAGGGGAGACTTCCACCTCTACGATGCGCCCTGGGAGGAGCAGCCGGTTGCATACTGCTGCTGGCAGCAGCTCGTGCGCGCACTCTGCCTCCTGCTGGCGGATTTCAAAGTACTTCTCGATCTGCTCGAGGTCCTGGACGTTTCTGCTCGCGTCTGCGTACTCCTTTGTCTCTCTCTCGTACTCAGCCAGGCACTGGAGCAGCTGCAGGTACAGGGCCTTCCCCCGCATTTCGCATCTGAACTGCAGGAAAGAGTGCTTTATCACGTAGTCTTCATCTACTCCGTCGAGTCTGAGGATGTTCAGAATCGTGTTGTACGAGAGCCTGAATGCGCTGTCCAGGGTATTAGACGGCCCGTGCAGGACCTTCTTTATTTCCTTCTCGCTTATGGCCAGGCCCGACTCCAGCGCGAGAACGACGTTTCCGATCTTGTCCGTGCCTCTTCTTCCTGCACGGCCGCTCATCTGGATGTACTCTCCGCTGGTGATAAACCGCGTCTGCACTCCGTCGAACTTCTTGATGCTCGTGAACACGACAGACTTTGCAGGCATGTTCAGCCCAATGGAGAACGTCTCAGTTGCAAAGAGGACTTTGAGAAGGTTTTCCTGGAAGAGGATTTCGATGATTTCCTTGACGATGGGCATGAGCCCGGAGTGGTGCACGCCAATTCCGCGCATCAAAAGGGCCTTCAGCCCAAGTATCTGCGGGAGCTTCCTGTCCTCCTCCCGCAGGGTGTTCAGTGCGTTATTGAAAATTGTGTCGATCATGTTCTTTTCCTCCTCCGAGGCAAAGTCAAACTCTCCCTCCGCTGTTTTTGCGTACTGCTCGCACTCTTTCCTTCTGAAGGAGAAAATTATTGTGGGGAGGTTATTCGTCTGCTTCAGTATCTGCAAAATATCCACGACGTCTATCTGCTCTCTCCTGCGGCCGTACCCGCCCTTGCTTCCAGGGTTCTTCTGCACGAGGGCCATGCTTCTGGTCTGGAAGGTCCCGGCCTTATCGACGACAAGGGAGATCTGGTCGCTGACTTTCCTGAGCTGGTCTGTCTTTTTCACGATGGAAGACTTTCTCCCCGGGGCATTTGCGTATATGTAGTGCTCGAGGGGGGTGGGTCTTTTCTCGGTGTATATGACGTGGCAGGGCTGCCTGTGTATCGAGACAATCCACCGCGCAAACTCCTCTGCGTTGGGGATTGTTGCGCTGAGGAAGATGAAGCGGGTCGTGGAGGGAAGGAGGATGATTGTCTCCTCCCAGACGACTCCTCTCTCGCGGTCTCTCATGTAGTGGACCTCGTCAAAAACGACAAAGTGTGTCTCCCGGAGGATTTCTGTGCCCTTGTAAATCATGTTCCGGAGGATTTCCGTTGTCATGACGATGCAGGTGCTGTCTGGGTTTAGCGTGACATCTCCTGTCATGAGCCCAACATCTCCGAATTTTTCGTTCAGCTCTCTGTACTTCTGGTTTGAGAGGGCCTTTATGGGGGAGGTGTAAATGACCCTCTGCTTTTTCTGGATCGACAGGTGTATTGCGTACTCTGCTATAAGAGTCTTCCCCGCGCTTGTGTGGGCGCTTACCAAGAGGCTTTCGTCTCTCTCGAGGCACTGCAGGGCAAGCACCTGGAACTTATCGAGCTTAAACGGATACTCGCACTGTATGGGGAAATGCGTGCTTGCGAGGGGGGTGTATTCCATGTTCTCTGGGACGATTGCATTATGCCGCACGGTGTTTCCGTCGTCGTTTGTCTCCACAAAAGAGTCTACTTCCACAGCAGTGTCCAAAAACGTGTCGTTTTTCTTCACGTCCGGCACAGAAATGTGCTGTGTGGCTCCAAAGAGGCTTTCCGAGGTTTTCATAAAAGTGCAAAAAAAAGAAGTTATAAGGGGCAAAAATGACCAGAGCGGGATTCGAACCCGCGCCTCCGAAGAGACCAGAGCCTTAATCTGGCGCCTTAGACCACTCGGCCATCTGATCGGCGCATATTAAACCCACGGGACGCCCTCTCGGGCGCCTTTCGGGTGTATAAATAATTTTCTTTGTGTTTATTTATGGCTGCAGAAGATGCGCTGCAGGAGCTGCGAGAGACACACCCGGAAATATTTGAAGAGTCCATCGAGCAAATAAAGCTAAAAACCCGCATGATTGAAAACGAGGTGCGGATGCTGAAAAACCACATAACTTCGATAACGTACGACTACGAGGCGAGGCGCGAGAAGATCCAGGAGAACAAGCAGAAAATAGAGCTGAACAAGCAGCTGCCCTTCCTGGTGGGGAATGTGGTCGAGATTTTGGACCTGGACGCGTCTGTTTCCGAGGGGTCCAACATCGAGGAAACCACGAGCCAAAAGGGGCTGTGTGCGGTCGTGAAAACGTCGAACCGCGTGACGACGTTCCTGCCCTTTGTGGGGCTGGTCCCTGCTGAGGACCTGAAGCCTGGGGATTTGGTGGCCCTGCACAAGGAGACGAACATTGTCTTTGAGAAGCTCGAGGACGACTACGACGTGCGGGTGAAGGCTATGGAGCTGGACGAGAAGCCGACGGACTCGTACGAGGACATTGGGGGGCTGGAGAGGCAGATGGAGGAGCTGTACGAAGGCGTTATTTTGTCGATCACGCACCCGGAGAAGTTCAAAAAGCTGAACATCACGCCCCCAAAGGGGATTCTGATGTACGGCCCGCCAGGAACGGGGAAGACGCTGATGGCCCGAGCATGCGCTGCAAAAACGGGGGCCACTTTCTTGAAGCTGGCGGGCCCGCAGCTCGTGCAGATGTATATAGGAGACGGGGCAAAGCTTGTCCGAGACGCATTTGCGCTGGCTCGGGCGAAGTCCCCTGCAATAATATTCATAGACGAAATAGACGCGATCGGAATGAAAAGAAGCGACTCCGACAGCACGGGAGACAGGGAGGTGCAGCGGACTATGCTGGAGCTGCTGAACCAGCTGGACGGATTTTCAGGAACTCCGAACATAAAGGTGATAGCAGCCACAAATCGCGTGGACATTCTCGACCCGGCGCTGCTCCGGTCTGGGCGATTTGACAGGAAAATAGAGTTTCCGCTGCCGAACAAGGAGGGAAGGAAGAGGATACTGCAGATCCACTCTAGGAAGATGGCGATGGACCCGAACGTGAACCACGAGGAGCTTGCCAGGTCTTCGGAGGGCTTCAACGGGGCCCAGTGCAAGGCCGTGTGCGTGGAGGCAGGCATGATTGCGCTGCGCGCAGGGAGAAACATGATCACGCAGAACGACTTGATAGACGGCATTCAGGAGATTCTCTCCACTAAGAAGGCGAACCTGCACTATTTCTCGTAATAAATTGCACAGTGTTGAGCTTGCGTGCAGCGCATTTTTTCTTTCTCTTTCTTCTTTGGCTGCAGTGCGTGCTGAGGGCAGGGAGTCTGGGCACGGCAGATTTAATATTGTGGTGAATCATTAGAATTCTCACAAAGTTGGAGATAGTACAAATGGAGTGGCCAACATCCATAAAATTTGAAACGCGAATATGAGTAGTGATCGCTAAATGCATAAATACGCGACACGAAATTAAAGTGTGAAAATTTAGACATGAATAATGTCAACGAATCTTAAGAAACGAATATCACGGCATTCAAGGGTCAACTACATACTTCTCTAAAGGTTAATAAATCTTTATTGGAGCATGCCTTAGACCCAAGCAAACACTTACCCCGGATTTACGACAAATATTATGGCCTGCATACGCTGTGCGCCAAATTCTAATGGGGAGATGCTCTGCATGCGCACTTCCCTGTGCTACATCTCTGAATATTCTGAATATTCTGAGGGAGGAAGTATTCTAGAGAGATGCGCAACACTTTCTTGTCCTGCCCGAAAAAACTGAAGATTTTCGGCTTTTCAGAGCCAAATGTGCCTGGGCGTGGGAGTTTCACGAGAAGCTGCCGGGACTGCCCTCCTGCAGGCCTGTATAGGGGCTGTTCTAGCGCAGAAAAAGAGGCTTCTCCCTGCACGGACAGAAGCTGTCGTTTGCCGTTGTATTTTTGCGCCTGCAGGAGGATGCAGGGCTTTCTCGGGCAAGATTATGTGTCTTGCCCAGTTCTGGTGTTTGCGCGCGATGTCTTCCATGGAAAGCAGGCTCTTGGGAAATTTCGGTTAAAAATGCAGGCTTTTTATTTTCTATGGGAGACCTTCTGCCTTTTGCTCTTGCCAAGACGGGGCTTTTTCGTCTTTTTCCCGAGCTTTCGGAGGTTTCCGGGCTTGCTGCCTCGGCCGTTGGGCTCGTCTGTTTCGGGAGTGGACGCAAGGGCATTCTTGACTTTCTCCTCCACCTGCGACTTCTTTCGCCTCTCCTTCTTGGAGGGCCTCTTGAAGGGGGTGACTTTCTGGGGCTTCCTTGACTCTACCAAGTTCTCCTCTATTTCCCGCATCTCCTTCTTAGATTTCACTCTTTTCCCGGGGTGGATGATCAGGGGAATGTGGGCTGTTTTGAGCTGTGTGAGGGCGTTGGCGTACCTAAGCGTGGCCTCTGCAAAGGCTTTTTCTCTCTGTATGTCCTCTTCAACAGGAACCTTCTCTACGTGCGTTATTCCAGAGTACAGCATGAAAAAATTTTCTGTGAATGGACAAAAAGACACTTGGTGGGAAGAAAAAGCTTGTGTTTGAGCCCAAAATGCCGACTGAACCCATGAATACGCACGTCTCCTCGGGCACGAAGCCTGTGAATGTGGAGGTTAAGAGGAAAGAAGTCAAACGAAAAGAGGCTCCTGCGCCGCATGTGCACAGGGCCCCGGAGCCGGCGGTTACGCTAATTGGGGGCGCGAAGGAGACAAAGTCTTTCATGTTTAGCTCTGGAAGCACGCAGGAAATAGCGAATGAAGACCTGCTGCGCATAGAAAATGCCCCTCTGACGGTCGACAAAATAGCAGACGCTGTGCGGAGCAAGGAGGTCTCTGGGTTTTCGCTGGACTTGGGCCCCAAAAAGAAAGTGCTTCTGCAGCTGCCAAACCTTTTGCCGGAAGAGAACCGCCGCTACATAAAGGGAAAGCTGAGGATAGAGGAGAACGAAATATACTTAACCGTGGCTGGAAGAGTCAGCGCGAACGCCCCAATGCAGGACTTCCTCTTTCGGATTACGCCTGTCGATATGGGCATGCCGCAGGAGGCATACAAGAAGGAGGACTCGCAGGAGTCCCTTCGCCGAATTGGGCAGGTCGACACAAAGTTCATATCTTCTCTTGTAAGGGATAAGTAGGCCTTCTTTCGCAGAGCATGGCTGGGCGAGCGTGCAGGCCAAAGACTAGGGGTTTCGGATGCAGTTGATTGGGCAGTTTAACTTCTGATGTGCTGTTGGCTAATTTGTGTGATTGGTGGATCAGTGCCTGATTTGATTGGGCTGTGCATCATAAAAAGATTGATTGCACGTTAATTGGATCAGTGCCGTTATCCGTGTTTAAATTAAAAGTATAAATACAATAAATGTCGTTAAGAGCATGCGAGGAACTCATATATTTATAGTATTGATCTGCTATGGGTTTTTGGAGGCATTTGCAAGCCAAGCTCCGACTGCGGCATCAAACCCGAGTCAAGTAAAGTCTGCAAGTGCGAAGGCTACTACAGAACCTCCAACTGGAGACGCTGAAGTTTCTGCAAAGAAAATAAAAGAGCTTATGAGCCAGGGAAAGGCTCTGCAATCGTGCCTTGCTGGCACAGGTGGCAAGCCGTGCATGGAGAATGCAGAAATAGACGAAAAGACCTTGAAGCTAATAGATGAAACTGTAGAGATTGCAAAAGCTGCAAACCAAAAAGAAACTGCAGAGAAGGCTGAGGCCCTACAGAAAACAAAAGAAGAAATTAAGAAAGAAAAAGAGAGCCTGACCAAGTCCGCAGAGCTTGCCAAGAAGCACGGCGAAGAGCTTCTGAAGGCGAAGACCGAGCAGGGCGAGCTGTGGGACAAGATCTACCGCAGCATCCAGCCGGCTACGATTAAGATGTTCAACTCTAGCGCAAACGTCTTCAGCAAAAGCAACCTCTCTGAAAGCGACCAAGCCATTGGGAAGGACTACGACAAATTCACTGAAACTCTCACCAGCGCCATCAGCCTTATCCCGGACGATTACAAAAAAATCTTCCGGAATGTTAAGAATGCTGGCACCCCAGTCTCTGTGAAGGAGTTCAACTCTATTTTGTCTGGATTTCTGGCAAGAGAAAGACTTTCGCAGATATTAAAGAACTTGACGGACGAAAAAGACAAGTTTAACCCAAACCAGAAGCTTCTGCACCCAATGAACCACACGAAGTGCTATCTCATCCAGGGCGTTATTGACCTCCAAAAGAAGATCAACGAGAAGAATGCTCCCGCCGAGTGCGTGAAGAAATCAGATGAACTCATCGCTGCTCTGATGAAGACAAATGTCTTGGAGAGGTACCAAACCATAGCAACTCTTTTCGAGGAAAAGTTTGACTTGAAAAAAGCTGTTCAGGAGATAGAGAAGTACTGGGATGCAGCAATTTTGATAGTAAATGGTTCTATCTCAGAGATCACAAGCCCAACTGAAAGGCACCATGAAGCCAATGCTTCGATTTTAGCAGGTCTTGCAGCCGTGAAAAAAAACACGTCCGATGCTATTCTTGCACTTGGAGAGATTTTAAAGTCTCCCACTGCGAAAAAAGACATTACGTCTCTTTGCACCATAAAGATCGACGAGAAGGAGGGGCTTCCTGTAGGCACTGAAGTTATAAGCGAGCACATGGTAGAGGACTGGCTGCAGATTTCAGAGAACCGTACATACACGACCAGCATAGGAATAAAGGCAGGAAATGCCGTCTCTTCCATAACTGGAGCGGCTTCTAGATTTATTTCAAGCAGATTCACGAACAGCACAGACTCATGGGACACCAGCCTGCTTGAGGGCATTGAAAACCCCACCCAGGAGGTCAAGGCGGCTCTGGCGAGCATAAGGCTGATCATAAGCAATAATGCGGTTATTATCAACGCCATACACGAGCACTTGAGAGAGGTCTGCTCGCTTGAGGAATCGGGTGCGCTGGGAAATGTGTATAAAGACGACAGTGAAATAGGCCTGCTGAAAAAGATGATGGACCTGAAGAATATACTGCCAGACATCAGCTTGCTTGCTTGCTGCTTGGAAAAGGAGCGCATTCTGAGAAGCACCTCAGACAGCTCCAAGGAGAGAAAGTTTACTCCGCACTACGTATGCGCTGCAGCCAAGTTCATGGCTGAAGAGGAAGTAACCAACACAACGTTTGAAGCAGGGCAGATAACATACGCAGACTTCATAGCAACCGACGCCAATGCACAGGAGATCATAAAACACATGAAGGATGTTCTCTCAAAGTACATAAAAGAGCTCAAGGAGTCAAAGGTCCTTTCGGAGGGCGTGAGCAGCGAGTCTCTGAAGGGCATAGAAAAGTCTGCGTCTGAAATAAAAGCCAAGCTGAGCCCAAGCAAGAGCATAAACATCGAGGCAGAGTACAGTAAAATAACTGACTACCTGCACATGATGAAGAAGAGCCTGGGCGCGACTTCTAAAGTGTCGGGCGTGCTTGAGTTTTCTGCGCTGCGAAGCAAGATGGTCGTCTTCAACGGCCTGGTCAACATTCTCAAGCTGTACTCTTCAAAGAAGGAGCTCTTTAACGTGTATGCACAGGGAGAATTCCAGAAAAAGATCGAGGGTTCTGTAGAGAAAGACCCCAGCATAAAGGAAATGAGTGAGCACCTTGGAAAGTGGAAGAGTGCCATGTCCAAGGGCATAACTGCAGTGCAGGAGCTGCTAGACCACCTCACTGGAGGCCTAGTGCCGGCTGCTCAAACAGAAGAAGCCGTCCCGAACAAAGAAGTGTCTGCTGTGCAGGCATTCACCGGCAAAGGATGGATAAAGACAAAGATCACAGCATTCATATGCATCCTCGCCATTGTTGTGGCATCGGTCGTATGCTTTGTGATGTCCAGAGTCAAAAAGCACAGGTCTAGCTGGCTAAGTTAAATAAAGACTATGCAGTACTTTCCTTCACACTTCTCGCCCAAGCTAATATACCCACAGAAAGCGCCAAATATTTATTCTTTACGATCCCACGCAGCCATAGTCATGCAAAAGCTAATTTATGTATATTCTACACTCTACACAGGCTCAGGTCGGGCCATCTCCGCCTGCGTGTCAAACATGCAGGCAGGAAAGCCCAAGCAAAGTGTACGCGAGGCACTGCATTTGGCACGTCCTACTTAAACTGGGAGACTCTAAGCAGCATTTCTGTTCTTCTGCGAATAAAGTCGTCCTCCTGGGAGGTGTCGACGTTTGCGGGGGACGACTCCGGCCCTGCTGCCAGCTCCACTGTTAGCGACCCCTTTACAATTAGCTGCGGGCCTCCTACACTGTCCTCCAGCACGACGTCTGCGATGCTTCTGTTCATCTCCTCGATGGCCCTCCACTTTTCAACAAGCACGCTAGGGTCGACCTCTCTAGGGTAATTCTGTGCGCGTGTAGCCATCTCCAGCAGATACTTTCCTTCAAAGTACTTTGCATTTATCTTCTGGTACCTTCTCTTCACAAGGTCGTTTAGCACGCCCATGGAGGTGTCGTACTCGTACTGCAGCTTAGCCCGGACGGTCTCCACCTCCTTCTCAAACTCCTCTATCTCCTTCTCCACCCCCGAAATGGCGCCGTTTGCTTGCCTCTTGGCCAGGTCCATCTCATGGCTCTCGCTGATTCTTTCGCTCAGGTTGTCGCATGCATCAATGTACGAGACCATGCGGTGTCCCTGATGCATGTTTACGTCTGGAGCAGACCCCCCGATCCGGCACTGAGTGCAGACAGGCACACTGCATTCTGTGCAGAAGTAGTCGACTACGACTGTTGGATGGCTCCTGCAGTGGAGGAACCGCTTCTTCCCAACTTTGTTGAAGTAGTACCGCGAGTGCCTCTGCGTGAATTCGTTGCTGTGGAAGTAGCTGTCGCACTTGTCGCAGAACGCAGCCCTTTCTGCCAGACAAAATGAGGTTGCCATGCTTTCACAGCAGTATTCGCACTTGTCGTTGTTTTTGCTTTTCTCCTCCAGCTTTCTGTCGTACGTAAAGTCAACCTCTGCCAAAACCAGGACTCTGCTGCTGTCTGGAACCACGTAGCTGTAGGAGGCAAGATTTTTCGACTTTTTGTACAGGCCAATGACGGACTCAATTGCCTCTGACGCGTTGCCAATAATGAAGGAGTCGTACCCGTGCGGGGTTTTGCAGTTTAGCGCGTACTCCTCCGACGTAAATAGAGACGATCCCACGGCGATCTGGCAGTACATCATTTTGTGCTTGATTTGCTCAGGGTCAATGGGAACCCCTATTAAGGGCGTAATAGTGGGCTCGTGTGCGCCTTGGCTGCTTCCTTGTGGCTTTATGAAGGCGTGTATCATCTTCTGGTTTTTGTACTTCTTCAAAAACTGCAGATGGCCCATTTGCGAGCTGTCTGCCACTTTTATGTCATCGACCAAAAGAGTCATCGAGTTAAGAAGGAACCGCAGTTTGTATTCAATGTCGTCCATCCTAAATAAAAATATTTAATGAAAAATATTTACATATTTATTCCTGCGCGCACGGCCTGTCTAATAGAGTGAAGCCCCATATAAAATTGTGGTGAATTTTTGGAATTCCCACAAACTCGGAGACGGCACGATCATGGCTTGATTTAATTCTCAAGCCTCTGAGGCATGAAATTGATTAGTGGTCGCTAAAAGCATAAATATGCGATACGATGTTAATTTCAGAGAGAAATAAAGTGCAGAAGTAATGCCAAGGAATTCTAAACATCGAACAGTACGACATTCAATAGTCGACATTTATAAAGCTCCAAACGGTAGCAACTCTTTATTGGAGCTTGTCTTAGACCAATGTCAAAATATAAACCGGATTTACGACAGCTGTGCATCTTTTGATTTGGCTGGATTTTCTGTTTTTCATCCGCTTCTGCTGGGGCAGGGAAATTGAAAGTTCAATGTTGCTGCACTGCCTGGGCTGGCACATATTAGAAAAAGCTGAAAAAGTATACTTTTTTGTATGGTCTGGTACGTTGGGAAAACTCGAAAAAACATGAAGTATGTGCACAGCGAGCGAAAGCTGGATGTTTTGGGCGATATGTTCTACAATCTTTTGTATCTACGATTGTTTGCAAGCGAAAAGAGCGTGGAAGAAAGCCTGTGCGAGCTTGTTCAGAGTCTGCCGATAAACATCTTCTTGCACAGCGAGAATGGTGCTGGGTTGGCTCTGGAATACTGTGAAAGCGCAGATATAAGCTTGCTGGAGGCCAAAGCAGATGGGTACAGCTCGAAGGAGAAAGAGTTCCTGCACGCGCGCATAGCGATGTCTATGCACATAAAGACGCGGCTGATGCAGATCTCTAGAAAGGCAGGGGCTTTGCACGCCTTCATTTGCACTGAGATAACCGGCGGAGACGCAGAGAACATAAAAGCCAGCAGGCCTGGGTATACGAAGATCCAGGCCATTGAGAAAAGCAGGGGTGCCCTGCTTCGGATCTTCAAAGAAGCTGTGAAAGACGCATTCTACGAGGTGAACAGCATGGAGAAGCTGCTTGATTTGATAAAGGACACACCCCCACGCACGGCATTGCCCCGGAGAGTTTTCCAGAAGGATGAAGTTGCTGAAAGTCTTCTAAAGTGCTCGGGTGCAAGCAGAGAGTTTCCAGGAACGTGCACCCTGTCAAACAGCACCCACTCCCTGGGCTCACGGCTTCGCAACGACAAAATAGTGCGGATACGGAACAAGAACGACTTCCACAACTTTTACCCGAGCAGCCCAGGCTATGAGAAGTGCGCAAAGTGCAGAGAGATGTCCCCGGTGTACGAGGAGAATCAGTGGAGGCTTGAATTTGGTGAGCTTCCTCTCCCAGAAAATACTGCGTTGGAGTTCTCCTTTGCCCCAGCCATTTTTCTAGTCTCCCTGTTTCTGATAGGTGGGTATCTGGCATGCGCAAGCATTAAAGGCCTCCTAGCCTGAGAAAAAGCAGAATGGTCCAGCACTGCATAATATGCAGGTCTGTGGTGTAGCGTGTGATTTTGCATCAGTGGATTTTTGACAGTTAATGATGCTCTGCCATATTATTCCCTAACAAGATTTATTTCATCCTAAAATATTCAATTAAATCACGCCTATATATACTTTGATTTTAATTATTTTTTATGGAAGAGAGAAACGCGGAGGTTTACCTGGGAAGCCCCAGCAAGATGCAAGAACTCTCTGAAAAAATATACGCCGTTTTGCTTGAGCTGGACTACAGCAGGCCAACTTCAGAGCATCTTTTTGCATTTGGCGAAAAATTTGACCATATGGACTTTCAGGTCGTTGTAGTTGAACCTGAAGTAGAGGCAATTTTAAACTGGGACGATGAGGATGGATCTTTTGGGGTATTTCATAGGGAGGAGTACACGGAGAGCCAGCTGCGGGAAATACGGTTTTCCTGCATGAACATCACCATGGCTGCATCCCATATGAAGGAGGCTCTGAAAAGTTTTGTGCTGAACGAGAGCGGAGAGGTCTACGCCCAAGCAAAGGCCCTTGCAGGGGAGAGGGGAGACCATGCAGATGCGGCTCTGGCGGAAAGAAAGGCTGCAGTGATTGGCAGCCTGCGGGCGGAGATACAAAGGGTGTTCATCGACTACTGCGACAGGAACCACAAAACTCCTATTATTCAAGCCGAGTGCGTGGAGGTAGGAGAAGTTTTTTCTACGGTTTTGAGCAGTAGTGAAAATGAAAATCCACCTGTCCCCGCAGAAGAAGCAGTTCAGGTAGAAGAAACAGTTCAGGCAGAAAAGCATGCAGTGCGTGCTGAAAGTGTCCAAGACAGCTCTGAGGGTACCCTGAAAGAGCGCCCCGAAGCGCGAACATACGCAGATGTTGTGCAGGGGATTATGCGCATGCGCCGCTACAAGGAGAGTCTTGCAGCGAAGGCTCTTGCAGAAAAGCTTTCAAAGGCGCCGCAGAGTGTGGCTGCAGAGTGCTCTTCCCCCGTGCACGAGGAAGAAGCTGCTGAGGCGATGCTTTCAGAAAATTCATGCGAGTCCGAGGAGAGTGCGGATGAGGAAAGCCTGAAAAGTCAAGAATTTGCGGATGTAAGTCCATTAGAAGAAACAGACCATGTTCAGGAGGAG